GTCAGGTTATCATTTCTTATAGTCAGGTTATCATTTCTTATAGTCAGGTTATCATTTCTTATAGTCAGGTTATCATTTCTTATAGTCAGGTCAGTTAATTTATCAATTATGATAGTCAGGTCAGTTAATTTATCATTTATAATTGCCATGTACATTAATTTATCATTTCTTATAGTCGGATCAGTTATTTTACAAAGCTTACTTTTAACAAGACACAATAAACTCTCAGTTCACATACGATTCAACAAAGTTACTTATCAGTCAACATTCTGATCATTTTGTAGCACAGTCAAACTTGATATTTTGAAACTATTAAAATAGTTATTATTTTAGACGTCAGTTATGTGTCCAAACTGTCAAGTCAACTATTAAGTCATAAAATTAGACATTAATCTCTTTACATAGCCGAGTTTAATCAGTTGATATAATCAAATCAATTATATCCTGAAGTCAGCTACAAGTTTGAATCATTAGATTAATATTCGTATACAAAGTCAGTGTTGACCTACTGAGACATTTAGGACAGATTAATTTGACTGACAGTCAAACATCATGTTTGTCATGTCAATTTTTCTGTTAATCAAGAAAGTCGTTTTCTAGAGAACACATATGCCAGTTACCAGTAGATATAATGGCTTGTGTCTGTCATGTCAAACTGTGAATGTGTTATTATAATTCACACAAAGTGTCAAGAAGAATTTACCAGAAAATGCTGTCAATGTAATTATCACATTAAATAATGGCAGTATCTGTGATGTCAAGTGTCGCAACTGACACAAAGTGAACTGAGTAATTTACCAGAAAATACTGTTAAGACAATTACCAGTTCCCATTATGGCCACTGTCTGTCGGGTCAAACTGTGAAAGTGTTATAATTCACACAAAGTGAAATTAGCACACCCAAAAAAAAAAAACCAGTGTCTGTGATATTTAATTGTAAAATCATGTGTTGCAACTCACACAGATATTTATCATATTACACTGCATAGTTAATAATTAAATAAACATCATATTACTTCGCTCTCGTCCTCCTTTTTTTTTTCTTCTTCTTTTTCTTCTTTCTGTCTCCCAAAAGAGCACAGACTCTAGCTAATACCAAGCCACTGTAGACTTGTTCAAGATTGTTCGATATTTCAGATAAATTTGTCTACAGGATGAGAAAGCCAGACTCATACTAACCTTCCTTTATTGTTTCCTACAAAATATATGATAGGGTAGTGTGTTACTTAACTAAAAATTGCACAGCTAAGTTCATAATTATTTCACATTCTAAAACATTCTTACAACTTCACAAGATTATGTTGATAATGTTTTCAAACAGCTGAGATGATTATTTATCTTAAGCTGGAAGCTAGTATTGCTGATTATTCAGTTAGCATCCAAAGCTCTTAGTCACAAAACATTTCAAAGCAAACACTAGAGAAAGAAAATGAACTCTGAACAATTACAAGCATATGACTGCGATGAGGATAAGAATACAGTGGAAGTAGCCACCGTAAAAGTATGTACTGGAAGTAGCCACTGGATAAGCACACAGTGGAAGTAGCCACTGGATAAGTACATAGTAAAAGTAGCCACTGGATAAGTATGCAGTGGGAGTAGGCACTGGCTAAGTACACAGTGGGATTAGCCGCTGGATAAGTATGCAGAGGAAGTAGCCACTGAATATGTATGCAGTGGGAGTAGCCACTATATAAGTACACAGTGGGAGTAGCCACTGGATAAGTATGCAGTGGGAGTAGCCATGGAGAAGTCAAATTTCTTTAGTAAGCCCTCCCCAAATGTGTGATGGCTCTTAAAATGAAAAAAGTAAGAAAATCTCAATAATCATTGATGTCACAGGATTATAAATCAAAATACACACCAGAATATGATCTCAAGTGAAAACAGTGTCTGTTTACATACAGTCATGTGTGGCATGTACAGAAAAAAAAAATATAGGGCCAATTGGTATGTTTTTATTTTTATATGTCACACTTCTCATAATTTTATTGGCCAATCATCATTTGGTTGATGAAGTAGTCCATTTTATGAATGTCACTTTTATTTCCCTCAAAGTTTTCTGGTATCTTTTTTTCCCTCAGTTCTTAAAGACCGCTGTCTCAAGAAAAATTAAATAAACAACAAGACGACCTGGCAAGCAGCTAGGCTGTCTAACCACTGTGTTATCATGGCTCTCATTCAGTATCTAGCTCAATAATTTTAGAAACAGAAAACAAAACTTGGTGTAGATATCCAGTCCAAAAATAAATATGTAAGACCCTTTAACAAGTGTCCAAGAATAAGATGAAAATGAAAGTAAAGAAAAATGATAGACAGAGAGTGTGCTTCTAAGCTATCCTGCAGACATATGCAGTTTAAAAAAAACTGACAGTAATTAAAGCTATGTCGGTCAAATATAAATTAATTTCTTAGCATTTCAGTCAAAAAAATAAACAACTGCAACATAAGAGTTGCATTAAAAAAACAAAAGCTAAAAAATCATTACACGACCTTTCTTATAATGCATACCTCATTCTAAACCAGATGTTTTCACATGTAACAAGACTGCTGGCTTTCTTACAAAGCATTTGTTTTATATTTCCTCTGAGCAAGCAGACAACATTCTTATATTAACTGTCTCATCAGGAAACAATTTTATTTTTGAAATTCAAATTAATCTACTTCTTGTCTGAAGATCCTAATAGTTGAAAAGTAGGACTCTGAAAAAGAAAAAAAGACACAATAGCTCAATTCACAGAAACATTTTTTTCTCATAAATTATAAATAAAAAAAAAAAAAACCTTTACCCAGAGAAGCAGAAAATTAACATATGTGGTTGAGTACAACTCTTCCAAAACGTCACTTTTCTGCTATGTCTATAGTGACCTGTGTATGAGACGCACAGTTGATGCTATTAGCTGCTTTTATATCTGCGCAAATGTTTAGGAGGTCAGGATATCAGTGCATTAACTAACAATAACATTTAAGGGGATGGTTGTTTCCTCTAAGTTAAATATTTTTTTTAAAGCCAAATTAACATCAGTTTCCCATTAGCGTTGGTGAATAGAGGTCGGGGTCACAATATGAGTTTCCTCGATATATGCTGCACCAGGAAATGTATTCCATTAAATGCTAATAAACTCTATTTGCATTTATTGATAACTCTTTTCATATATCTTTATATGCTACGAATTTTAAAAAAAATGTAGATAGATACATGGCTTTTTTCTGGAATTCTAACGGGGTCATTACCCCTTGAAAGACAGAAACAGGCAAGAAATAAAAGAGGTAGTAATATTACATTAGGAAACATGGAATGAAAGAGTTACATGTAAAAGAAGGAGAATAAATGCATTTCAGCATGTATGTGTGTGTGAGAGAGAGAGAGAGAGAGAGAGAGAGAGAGAGGTGAAGAGAAAATAATGAATGTTTTTCAGTGTTGTGTGTATGCAGTTGGGGAAAAATTAGAGAACTGAGAATACAAATCAGCCTGTGTGTATACATGTATCTATGTGCTGTGAGAAAGGCGAAAAAGAAGTGAATACATTTGTATGTGTGTGAGAAGGCGAAAAAGAAGTGAATACATTGGTATGTGTGTGAGAAAGGCGAAAAAGAAGTGAATAAAATGGTATGTGTGTGAGAAAGGCGAAAAAGAAGTGAATACATTGGTGTGTGTGTGAGAAAGGCGAAAAAGAAGTGAAAACATTGGTATGTGTGTGAGAAAGGCGAAAAAGAAGTGAAAACATTGGTATGTGAGTGAGTAAGGCGAAAAAGAAGTGAAAACATTGGTATGTGTGTGAGAAGGGCGAAAAAGAAGTGAATTCATTGGTATGTGTGTGAGAAAGAGGTGGTAGGGGGAAGGGACTGCATTTTAGTGTGTGTGTGTGTGTGTGTGCGCGCGTTCAGGAATGCGCCTGTGTGTGCGTGTGCATAAGAGAGAGAGAGAGAGAGAAAGAAAGAAAGAAATGTATTGCATTTCAGTGCCTCTGTATAAGAAACAATTAGATGGGGGGGGGGGGGAATAAGAGATAGATAGATAAAATGTGTGTACAAACAGATATTGTGTAGATATATGTGTAGAGAATGGGTGTTTTCAGAAGTATGCAGGTATTTCAATACTGTGTGTGCGTATAAGTTTAGGAGCTACCATGGTGTAGTGGCTAGACGCTTGCCAGCAGATTTGAAGGTTGTGGGTTCAAGTCTAAACAGAAACCGTCTTTATTTTTTTTTTTAAGTTGTTTTGGCTCCCAGCTTTAAAAGGGTACCAGGTAAAGTCATGGGAAGTAAAGGTGGCCAGCGTAATGTTGACGATATCACAGACTGAGAGCTGAATGGTCTATAAAATATAGGTCTAGCTCTATATGCCTGAAGGCGTGCTTACAAATAGGTTTGTGAATGTCTGTTTGCAAAAGCTTTTTCTTAAAAACAGCTGCCAGTACTCACCACACAGTTAAAAAAAAAAAAAGTGGCAGTACTGACTCCAAAGTGTATTACAGTAGCAGTTTACAAGAATTATGTCTAAAAAGGTGCCGGTGCTGCATGCCATTGTATACCATCAGAAAAAAGCCCTAAATGCAGGCATTTGAGTCTGTGCATATCAGCCCATTTACTTTGACTTAGTTTAATTTCACAAAATGTGAGAGCAGGTGACGCCTACTGATGGATGTAATGTCCTAAGTCCCTTCCCCAGCTAATAGTGAGGGTACTGCTGGGGCGACCATTTATTAACCCTCACATAATGCTTCAGGTCAAAATGGACGCTAGGCACGGCCACTTATTTTTTTTTTTTTTTTTAGCTGTGGCCATCGCATTTTTGCTCCATTTGTAGACTGGAAGATTATAGTTTCGTCGCCCAGCTTCTGAGTTGAGTGCATGGTGTGACACTGTGAGCTACGTGTGTTTTTCGTTGGCACAGGAATGGAGCAACTATGGGGTGACCCGTTTGCTATGAAGCTGAAACTAGGATTACCAGATTACCAGATATCAAACTATATTCTCACAAAAAAATCATAGAGTACCTGTTCAAATTTGTTGATTTTAATGTTTGGAAGAGTAACTGCTCGGTCTTGCATCCGCAGACTGGCATTTGTAGACCCGGCTTCACTCATGGGACGTACACGCCGGTCATACTGTTTACCTGACCCAGTACGTTCTAGCAATTCATAAATCAAATATAAAATTAAAAACATTTTTTTTTTTTACAAATCATTATTTTTTTAAAACCAGATCTGAACATTTATCGCCTAATTACACATTTTTAAAAACAGTCCTACGACAAAACTTTGGACTAACAAAGATACAAACAGCGGGGAATGGAGAAGGAGAAGAAGCAATGAAATTCATAACCTAGTTAAGTCACCATGGATCACTGGCATCATGAGGGCTAGTAGAGTGCAACAGCTAGGACATGACATACAGAGAGAGGCAACAGCTAGGACATACAGAGAGAGGCAACAGCTAGGACATACAGTGAGAGGCAACAGCTAGGACATACAGAGAGAGGCAATAGGTAGGACATACAGAGAGAGGCAACAGCTAGGACATACAGAGAGAGGCAACAGCTAGGACATACAGAGAGAGAGGCAACAGCTAGAACATACAGAGAGAGGCAACAGCTAGGACATACAGAGAGAGGCAACAACTAGGACATACAGAGAGAGGCAACAGCTAGGACATACAGAGAGAGGCAACAGCTAGGACATACAGAGAGAGGCAACAGCTAGGACATACAGAAAGAGGCAACAGCTAGGACATACAGAGAGAGGCAACAGCTAGGACAAACAGAGAGAGGCAACAGCTAGGACATACAGAGAGAGGCAACATCTAGGACATACAGAGAGAGGCAACAGCTAGGACATACAGAGAGAGGCAACAGCTAGAACATACAGAGAGAGGCAACAGCTAGGACATACAGAGAGAGGCAACAGCTAGGACATACAGAGAGAGGCAACAGCTAGGACATACAGAGAGAGGCAACAGCTAGGACATACAGAGAGAGGCAACAGCTAGGACATACAGAGAGAGGCAACAGCTAGGACATACAGAGAGAGGCAACAGCTAGGACATACAGAGAGAGGCAACAACTCAGTATAATGCAGACTGACATTTGTAGACCTGGCTTCATTCATGGGACATAAGTTGTTTACTTCACTCATTATGTTCTAGCAATTCATAAATCATGTGATCAGAAAAATCCCTTTTTTTTTTTTTTCTTTAAACAAATCATTTATTTTAACTAGGTGTGCCTATTTATCTGACTTATTACAAATAGTTTTTTTTTTAAACATACTTACGATGAATCTTTGAACCCATCAAAGATGTAAACAGTGGGAAATGGAGAAGGAGAAGATAAAATGAAATTCATAATCTGTTTAAATCATCACTGGCATCATAGGGCTAATAGATTACAATGGCTGGGGCATATGGGCAGAGGCAAAAACTGAGTACACAAGAGAGCTCACTGGACATAGACCATGGGGAAGACCAAGATATTAGTGGAGAGATAGTATCCAAGCAGACCTACATACACTTGAGGTCACCAAGTGGGAAGGCAAAGCTAACAACAGAGATGACTTGGTGAAAGCTGGCTGAGTGCTTAAACTCTGCTTGGAGAATAAACGGCAGCAGACAAAGAAGAAATGACATTCTACTGATGATTCTGGCAATTTTATGCCTCCTTTTATTTTTCAGAAATTTTCAAATACTAATTTTAGGCTGGTTCGACATGAGTAACTCATTTTTAAAAAATCTCTTTTGAGGTTAGTCGAGGTTCCAACATCGCTGGAAATGGTTTGCCCTGTTTCTGTGCCGGTGAAGATCACAATATTGTCTTTCACTGTGCCATTTGAAAATAAATGATTAAATATCAAACACCAGCAGAATTTTTAAGCTCACATAGAAGTAAATACATAAGGCAGCCATCAGATGTGCCAACACCGGTAATCACCTAGCAGAAGTGCAGCTAATTGTTGATACAAGCCAAATATGAAAGCCAGCACTGCTTTCGCCACACGGCATAAGTAAATGTCATTCCAAAAGTAATCGGCTGTCAGCTATTTTTAGCGCGGTTCACAATACGAAGCCCAGCAACAACACACACAAAAACATTCCACATGAAATCCACGTCTTACAGTGTCACACCAAACTCTCCACTCATTCTTCCACCTCGGGCATTCAAACACGCCCCAGGCAAGCATGATAGCCAGTGCATTACCACAGCTCTTGAATACTTGCGTTGTTCAGAAGAAATTAAAGTAATAGCTATAGAAGAAATATCTAACTGAAAAATAAAAAAATAAAAACAGGGGTAGAGAGTGTTATAGCAATGGCAATCTGGCGTCACTTCAAATGCAATTTTGGAGTGTGTGTATTTGCAAGGAGATTTCAAGGGGGCATTAATCAATTTTGAAAGTGAGTTAATTTGTACTTGTAATAATCATTTTAGCAGGAGTGACAGGAAGAGATGAAATCAAGAATGAAATCATAAGAGAAAACGTTAGCACAGAATAAATTCCTAATTACATACAAAGAAAACAAATCAAATGGTTTACCGACTTGGAGAGAATGACTGGTGGCACCATACCATACAGGGCATACACCAAAAGAGGAGATGAATGAAGAACTTGATGAAGACCAATAACATTAAAGAAAGATAATATCAGATAAACTCTAAAACAGCACAATGTCTATGGTCAAGGCGGCCAGATGAGCAGGAAGCAGAACTGTTTATCTCCCACAACACCCTGACTGGTAAAAGAGGAAGTGAAGAAGAAGAATGAGTTTCCAGCAATGTTAGCCATGGTGCATTCATGCAGACTTCTTTCAGTCTATCTTTTAATGTAAATTATTTACAAATAATATTCCAATCCTGTAGGAGACTTGGCCTTCACTCTTTCCTCCAGGACATCTTTTAACAATCAGCGATGTCCCTTTTTACATTTAAACTTAACTTTCCGACTCTGATCATATTCGGTAATGTTTTCTTCAGTCCTCAGTTTGAAAAAAAACACACACATTTTCCTTACTTTTCTTCTTTAAGTTTAGATGGAACAATAATAGAGGGGTATATGCCTGGGAAGAGTGGAAGAGGAAGGGCAAAGAGAAGATGGGTGTATCGAACGCGGGACATCTTACTTGTGATCAGAGTTATCCTGAGGATTTTTATGGGAACAGGTTCTGCAAAGAACATGCTACTGACTGGCTGACTGACACTAGGATTTCTTGATTTTATTATTGTTATATTTACACCGACATAAAAAGCATTATCTTGTAAAATGTTGGTAAATATCCATATTTTATAATTTGAAAAAAAAAAAAACCTATTGTCTTTCTAAATCCCATGTGGGTTCCGGGGCCTCACTGTGGGGAAAACAAGAATGGACCCACTGTCTCCCCAACAAGCATGTCCTAGGAGTCAACTAGCTGGGGGCTTCCTTCAAAGGCAGAGTGCACCTGCCGGAGCAGCAAGGAACACCCAAGTGCACAGAAATAAGCCGGTAAAACAGATGTACATGCACAACTCAGGCCCTGGAACAAAGCCAAAGTCCAAATGGACAAACAAAAAGGACTTTCCACCTCAGCTTACAGCTGATGAACAAAGAAGAAGTCTTTCTTAAACATAAAACTTACTTCTGCGTTTTCCGGCCAAACTGCTGTCAGCATATTTGACACTGAAATATAAAGGTAATTAAATTACAAATCAATTCAGCTAATGGAAGTAAACATACAAATTTGAATTGAAAATCTGAATTGAAAAAATAAGTATAGTAATCAATTAAAAAATGAATAAACACATAATAAAACAGGAAACTTTATTAAATGAAAGACACACACACACACACACATACATTGCCAATTTTGACCTAATCGTAATCACAGACAAATGTACATACACATATGTACACACAATCTTTTCCTTAATGTTGCCTTTTTGTTATTCTTCTTTCCACGTTCATCGTTCACAGAGGACAATTAGTACCATAACCTTGTGTATGGTAGCTTAGTCTTACCTGACCAAGATCTGGCACTAATTGTTTATATTTCTGCTCGTATTGACATATTGTTAGTCAGCTGGTCTCCATGTTTACTATCGTTTATTCTGGAATGTCCGTGTGCATACATATTAGTAATGTGGAGTATGACTTCAAAATGCTGTCCACCCATTCAGGGCAAACACTCTCAGTTGCAATTTTCTGTTGCATCTTTATATAATCATCAATGATTTTACCTATGGCTGACTGTTCTGTTGCCCATGCATAGAGTGACCATATGTCCTATTTTCACCAGGACAGTCCCATTTTCGGCATGTCCTAGACATCCAGCTGCATGGTCTCGAGGTATGGCATCCGCCTCTGGTGCTGGAGGTCTCGCGTTCAGGCCACAGTGAAGGCAGGGATTTTTTCATGTGGGCTTCTAGTAATTTCCCCTGGTCTGTGGGTAGTAAGTCGGACGCCCATGTGTATTGCTGCACATGTAAACAAAATCCCTTTGGCAGTTGGAAATAAAAAAAATATTTGCCTAACGGGACGACTCAGGTAAAAATCTGGAGTTGAGAATCCATCTAAAGTATTTCAGGATCCTCCCTGGTGCTCTGAAGTTCGTGCACTGGACTGAGATTCTTCAGACTCAAGACTTGAGTTGGAAATAGAACTGAGCACTTGTGGGTTACTACCCTTGTGCCATGATGTTCATTTGTCGTATAAACCAAAACCTAAACCTAAACTCCACTAAAAAAGTCAATTGTCTTATTTTCCCACACACACAAATCTATAAATAAGCTTTATAGCCAATATTTGTATAAGGTTTCAAAGATACTTGTAATGTCTGAATTGTGTTGATGGACATTTTTTCTGAAGCATTTTTGTTCTGTTTATTGCTTAGTAACAAAAGTTTTGGTTTAAATTCAATTATAAAGCATGTAATTAACCCTTTTCCCGCCTCTGAGCTAGGAAAAAATGGAGTGTGGTTAGTCTGACTTGCTTGAGATGTCCCATTTTCAATAAAAACATTAATTGGAAAGTCCAGTTTTCAGCTCCAGATATAATGGTCGCCCTACACATGCAAGTGCTCTGGAGGCAGTAGTAGCCTCCAGTCTTCTTAAGAATCCCATTTCCTTCAAAGTCAAAGTGCATCTGCCTGAGAGGCGAGGAACCAACAAGCTGCATACAAATAAGCCAGATTGGTAAAATGGATGTGCATGCAAGCCTCAGGTTTTGGAACAAGACTAAAGTCCAGAAGTGGACAAACAGCCACAGCATTCTGAAGGTGTTTACAGCTGGTGAAGAAGAAGAAGGAAGAATCACATTGGACAGCCAAGGGTAGATAACTTAGCACTACTGGCAAATAATTTACTTCTTTGCATCCCCCCCCCCCGTGTGGGTTCCGGGGCCCCATTGTGGGGAAAACAAGAATAGACCCACTGCCTCCCCAAAAGCACGTCGTAAGAGTCGACTAATTGGGGAGCTTCCTTTGAAGTCGGAGTGCATCTGCCGGAGAGGCAAGGAACCAACAGTCTGTATTCAAGAGAATGAGATCTGTAAAACTGATGCACACGCAACACTCAGGTTCTGGAGCAGGACTGCAGTTCAGTAGTGGATGAGCAACCAGAACCTTCCGCCAGAGTTTACAGCTGGTGAACGCGAAGAAGAAGAAGAAGAAGACTTCTTTGCATAAACAAGCAAATATAAATAATAGTTTTTAACAAAAATTGTGGGATAATTTACAGCAACTAAATGAAAAGAAAAGTGATTTTAAAATTTAAAGAAAGGACAACAACAACAATAAACTAAATCCAGACAACTTACAACTGACATGGCAAGCCTACAATCATTGCCCTCTTAAAGTCAGCAATGAAAATGGGATTTATGCGAGGCTCTCCACCAATGTTATTCATTATTTTATGGTACAGATCGGGCGTATTTCGGCAAATGGAAAATAACAGACGAAATGCTGTTCTGTTGAAGGTCAAATATCCCAAAGTAATGGCTGCAGAACTTCTTACCTGGCATAAAATAGTAAATGTTGAAAGTGAAGTATTTAAATTAAACTGAAAAATTTTATGAAATGCAACAGAGATAATTTCAGCTGTCTCTTTGTGTGGGTGTGTGTGTGTTTCTACACAACATTGAAGTTACTTTAGTCTTCTTTAAATAACTAACAATTATTTTGCAAACATTCGGCTTCCTTCTAAGCAGACACAAGGACTTGTTAAAGAGGTGGTATTTTTGTCTGAACAAACTTATAGACACGGGTTCAGTTCAATAGCAGTGGCAGAATTATTTTATCTGGCAGAATTGACAAAACTTATACGAGTAAAGTAGGTCACAAAGATATTTTTTCTAGAAATTGTCTTTGTTGTATAGGTGGTACAGAAATAAACCTGTCATTATTTAATTGCCTAGAATATGTCTAGGCTAACACTTTACATGTATCTCTTTCAATTGTGGTGAGGTAACTAAGAGCTCATCATCCTTATCATGTGCCATGCTGGCAAGCGTAGACTGTCATGTTTTGTCATCTCACACGATTACCAGAATAACAGATCAGCTCAGTGTTTAAGTCTCGCCCCATCATCTGGCCAGACCATCTAGGTATTTATCGCTTTGCCTTTCTCTTTCTCTCCTTCCATCAGTTTTGCCAGTTGTTACCAAGTTCTCGAGTCCATCCCTTCTCATAACATGTCCAGAAAACACTGGTGTGTCTATGACTTAATGTTCTAACAAGTTTATGACTTTCATCTGTGTGTTTCATCTGCTTCATTTTTTTTTATCCTTGCATGAAATTCTTTGCATTCTTTTCAAAAACCACATCACTGCCACATCTCAAAGCTAAATAGTGCCAATGCTGATGTATCATGGGCATCATGTGTATCATGGGCATTATGTGAATCATTGGCATCATGTGTATCAAGGGCATCATGTGTATCATGGGCATCATGTTTATCATGGACATCAAGGGCATCATGGGCATCATGTGGATCATGGGCATCATGTGTATCATGGGCATTATGTGAATCATTGGCATCATGTGGATCAAGGGCATCATGTGTATCATGGGCATCATGTTTATCATGGACATCATTGGCATCATGTGTATCAAGGGCATCATGTGTATCATGGGCATTGTGTGAATCATTGTCATCATTTGTATCAAGGGCATCATGTGTATCATGTGGATCAAGGGCATCATGTGTATCATGTGGTTCATGGGCATCATGTGTATCATGTGGTTCATGGGCATCATGTGTATCTTGGGCATCATGTGGATCATGGACATTGGTAGTCTGGTAGTCTTAGTTTCAGCTTCATAGCAAACGGGTCACCCCATCTTTGCTCCGCTCCTGTGCCAACGAAAAACACACAGAATGTTTATCACAGTATTAGAATTGCAGTTCATCATTGATGGTAGCAGAAGTCGCCAACAGATCAGCAGTTGCCCACGCGATAAATTTTAATCACATACGGGCACCACAACACTGCACGACAGGCATCGGGCCATTTTCTGAATCTAGAATTCACACCACCAGGTTGGTCACAGTCGAAAAAACATTCCAAATGCAATCCGCAGCTCACAGGATCATGGACACTGAGGGCATCATGTGTATCATGGGCATCATGTGTATCTTGAGCATCAAGGGCATCATGGGTATCATGGGCATCAGTAGATTAGTATATGAGAGCTATTCAGGTGTTGTTTTATAAAAAGAGTGATAAGAAAACTTGTCCAGATTTTAAAAAACTAACAAAGGTATCTTGAAGAAAATTAACTCATGACAACTTGTTAATGGATTAAAACGTGACAATAGGAAACTTGTCAGGGAAGAGACTCAGGGGAAGACTACGATACAAAATATCTGGTATCATGGCTTGGAGAACATCTGAATAAAATAAATTATTGGTAGTTCACAAAATGAAAGACTGGGTACATGCTGTTGGCCCCATATTACTGACTCAATCGGCCATGAGCTTCATTTACTTGCCAGAGTTCATTCCAGTACTGATGGCATTTTTTTTCTGGCGGTAATCAACAGCACACAGTACCAGCAGCTTTTTTTCTCTTTTTTTGGCATCCTTTCTCAGATTGACAGACACTTTCTAGTGACTACTGGCACGTCCTTTTTTTTAAATTTAATACATTTTTTTCAGATCTTATGTGATGAATAATAGCACTATTTTTTAGAAAAGAAATATCATAATACATACAGATGTTCCTGCAGCAAGAGGTAAGAAGAGTGGGTGGAGTTTTATTGCAAAGGTGAATGGACACTGAAAACAGAGCCTCACATACAAGGTCACTACATCAAGTATGAGAATGGAGGTGGAGGCAGTAATGGCAGCTGTCTGGTGGCTTGAGTGCAGCACAGTCTGACATGCTGTAACTGTAAGACTCATAGAGCATGCTTCGGAAAACTGAAACTGGTGTCCTGTGCACAGAGTGGCTTGCATCTCTTGATCAGATCCAGATCAAGAACATATAGATTCTCTGTCCAGGACATTCAGGTGTGTGAGGTAACAAGCAGGTTGATTGATTGGCTCCTGCTTCTACTCTGGTGAGCTACTATATGATAACGCAGATATGGTGAAGACTCTATGGGATCAAATGGACAGTGCAAAAGAAGACATAGGGAATCCATTCCATACACTGAAAGACTAATTAAACGATGGTGTGTAGAGGTTCTGGAAGATATTCAACACTGAAGATAAAAGAGAAGCGAACTTCTAATCGGGTTGCAACTGGTACTATTAGCATGTCAACGTTTCGTTGGTTACTGAAGAAGGGGACGGAGCACATATCGGAATGTCTCAAGTGCAGTGATGTCAATTTCTGATTTATTCTTTAATAGAAAAAACCATGATGGTACCAACTTTAGGCTTTATTGATCTAGGCGTCTAGGTCAGTTTTCAAAATTTCTCTCCTCACGGGGGATTTGAACACACAGTCTGTGGGCCAGTAGGTAATCAGGCAAGGCACTGCATTACAGCAGCTCAGGTACTATTTTGACTCTTAAAGACTGGGAGACCAATAGTTACCAATATGTATCTTTTTCTTCTTCTTTTTCTTCTTCTTCTTCTTTGCGTTCATCAGCTGTGAATTCTGGTGAAAAGATCTGGTTGTTCGTCCACTTGGACTCTGGCTATGTACTAGGACCTGAGTTTTGCATGTACATCTATTTTATTTGTGAGCAGTTCTTCCTTGCCACGCAGGCAGATTTATTTTGACTTTGAATGAAGACACTGATCCTATTTCTAGGATGACTGTAGCCATTGTTGAATGGGACATGAGGTTTCCTCATTTTTGTGGTGGCCTCTTCGTCCATTTATTTACAGGTGTTGCACACAGAGAACCCATTTAGGGCAACCACGTGTAGACTAGGCGGCTGTCAGGGGGAGGAAGGGGCAGATCAAGAGCATTCCCCTCCATTTAAGGCAACCACGTGTAGACTAGGCAGCTGTCAGGGGGAGGAAGGGGCAGATCAAGAGCATTCCCCTCCATTTAAGGCAACCACGTGTAGACTAGGCGGCTGTCAGGGGGAGGAAGGGGCAGATCAAGAGCATTCCCCTCCATTTAAGGCAACCACGTGTAGACTAGGCGGCTGTCAGGGGGAGGAAGGGGCAGATCAAGAGCATTCCCCTCCATTTAAGGAAGCTTCCATAAATGCAGAACCAACACATGACACTCTGGTAATGGGCTCACCCTAGAATTCATCACGTCCTGCACATACTGTGTAACCTCGCAACCCTATGTTGAGCTAAATGGTTTAAGATTCCCAATCCCATCTTGAACTTCTAAAAAGGAATTCTCTCTAAGAGAGCAAACCATTTGATGTGCTGTCTTTCTATGTAATTTATAATTGGTTCTGTGCCGACTTTATCTCATATGATCGCATTCCTGATTTGATCTCTTCTGGTCATTCCTACAGCCTTTCTCAGACACCTTATTTCCATGGTTACTAATTTATTTTTTGGTATCAGAGGACATTTAAATCTGTTATAAAACAATAAATGATGTTTTTGTTGGTACCAACAGATTTAAGGATGAAAAAGGCACACAGAATCATTCACCCACACATGCATGCATACATGTGCATACTCGCATACACGGTAAACAATGCTGTATTAGTATTTGCCTATAAAATAGTAAACTCTAAAATTTACCAGTTCATTTTCTGAGTTGACGTTTCTCACTAACAGATCCAGTACTCCTGCACTGACCATAGCATCAGACAGCCCGGCACGCATATGTGCCAAAGAGGCAAGAAGACTGCAGGCAAGGGCAGCTACTCTATCCTCAGATGATATTTTTGCAATCAAAATTTCTATGCCTTGAGCTGTAAGGGATACTTGATCCTTGTCGATAATAACTCGAGACAGCACAATAGCCTAGAGAGGATATTTAATACAATCATAAAACCAGCACCAAACTTTCTTGTAATTTCTATGATCTATCTGAGTTACTGTGTTAATTCTCTTCCCCAAAAACATCACATTAAATTTTGATTTTGCACTAAGGAGATCCCAGGTCTGACCCTGCATCGTACCTCTCGTCCTTTTTAGGATGAAATTTTTTTGTCATTTGAAGCCCTACTCTGGCTTTTGCCAGGGGCTGCAACACAGCCTGGCCATAAATATGGCCTAAAGGCTGAAGCAGTTTCTGGGACCTCTCCACGGTGATCCTCACCCACATGGTGACACATTGTGTTATCGGGTGTTTATCGCTTGTGTGATGTCCTGGTGGGGTAGAAAGTTAGTTAGTTAGGTCAGGCCAGTTAGCACTGTGGTGGAAATCAAGCTCTATGGATCAGGGGAGGTCATGCTTCCCATCACAGCCATCATAGAGGGTTGTAGCCCCTCCCTATATATATAACAAAGTAAAAAAAAAAAAAAACTGGCAAGAAGAACAAAAAGGAAAAGTAAATTCTGACTGATTTGGTCATATGTGAAGGACAGAGAAGCTGCTGGACAGTTTGGCAGTATGGCATGGGACAACACTGTCAGAAATGACTGAAAATATACAAGGCAGAAGGTTGTGGATAAACATAACTACCAAATCATACAGCATGGACTAAAAGAAAAAGAAAGAACAAGTACCTTAGCCCTTTTTTGTGGGTAAAAAATCTGATTTATGAAGTTATTCTTTATGTTAACACAACAGTTAATACTTGCAATTATGTTCAGAAAAAAAGCTGATAAAGTTGGGCTTAAGTGATGGAGCTAAGGGGTCAAGGATATATGTTGTTTCCAAAGAGTTTCTTTAAGAAGTCCTTGCAGAAATCAACTCTGATGCTGACAGGCGTGGGTGATCATACTTCACCAACTCACACAATCTGCAGAATCTTGGATCAGGTCTGTGTTCTTGTCCTGCTTTTCCTACTTATGCCAGCAGCTAAACCATCTAGGTATATCTCTCTTTGCTGTTCCCTTTCTTTTTACCCTCCAGATTTTCTAGGCATCCATAAAGAAGGTATTTTGCTGATGTTTTCTGTCCTAACACTGACAATACTAGTTGCTGGCCACAGCCATTGTCACTACAGAATGATTCTCTGCCTACAGTTTAGACCTGAGACCATGCTCAACATCTTTCTACATTCATGTGCAATCTACAGTCTTTATGATTTCTCATGGCTCTTATGAGACAAGTGTGAGTAGCCCACTGACTACCATTACCGCATGTTATGCGATCTGCCGACGTTTACAACTATCTACCATGATCACACCCCCTGCGATCATAATTCTGGACATTTGTCGCCTTGTAAAAATTGAGACTTTTGAAATAAATATAGTTGAACAAATTAGTCCATTGATTTCTCCATTATTCTTTTAAGGAAACAATTCAGTAATCTTAAAGTTAATTTTCCACAATTATTTTGGTGAGGTTCCTTGTCGAAGGCTCAAAAATGAATGTTTCGATAATAGCGGTTGACAGTTATGGCCCGCATGGTGGAAGAGTTTGGGGAATAATCCTGATGCTGCAGAATATTGTCTTGTTTGTTTTAAATCAGAAAAAAAAAAAAAAGATATTTCTGAACAGTTTCATGACTGTGACTTTGATAATTCTTACGAAATGCTATGAAAAACATTATCAAAAATGGAAGACGATGTTTCGCTTACTGCAGTGGCCTGGCAGTCAGAGGTAGGTGTGTTATGTAACATTAGATTGGGTGAGCTGTTTCATGAGTGTGCTTCAGGTTAGTATTGTTAGATGCATCTGGTAGTGCAGATTGTGTCCAGGCTTTGTGGCGTACAGTTTAGCAGAAATCGCTTCACAATGCAATCCTCTACATTTACCGGGATGTGTTTTCTGCTATGCAGAGTTTGACAGTTCAGTAATTCCTTATCAGCAAACAGCCAATAAATTTGCAGAATTTTATTTCACAGTTAGGAAAAGTGTTAATCCAAAATTATTTTTTTTTTAAAAGTTCTTTAAGTGTCAGAAAATGTGTTGGTTGCCGTTTTTCCAACAATGTACAGCCACATGATGATGATGATGTACAAGATTTTGCATTTTTTTTTTTTAATTCTTGAAATTTGTTCTCCATTCAATTTTGTGCAAAACTGCAAAATATTATGGGTTTATATGAAATAGTTGTAAAGCAATAGAATTTTATTTTAGTCTATATTGCTGTCAGAAAAAAAAAGGTTTTTGTTGTTGCATTTTTTTGCACCAATCTGCAGCTACATAATGATAATTCTGTCAAACAATACATTTTGTTCTTATTTCAAGTTTGTGCAAAAAAAAAAGAAAATATTATAAGGTTTTGTTAAATAGTTGTGAAGCTATAGCATTTTTAGTACACACTGAAATGTGTGGTATCTGGGGAAAGTGCAAAGGTTACCAGGCGTGGTAGTCGGTGGGTTAAACTTATGATGCTCTGGGACGAAGAGGAGTTGAACCACATGTGATGGTACAGCAGGACCAGGATTATGAGACGGGTTGTGACCCACTTACACCTCTCCATGCTCATCCTAGAAACTGGCCAACACTGGTAGGATTAATATTTCGTTTGAAGTCAAAGTGCCTCTGCCTGGAAGGAAAGGAACCTGCACACAAATGAAACAGATCTACAGAAGGGATGTGCAAACAAAACTCAAGTCCAAGAAAAAGACTAAAATCCATAACCCGACAAACAACCAGGACTTCCCACCAGTGTTTATAACTAGTAAATGTGAAGACAAAGAACAAGAAGAGCTGGTGCTCTACTTTACCAAAGGCTGTCCCATAGTTCAAGAGGACCAAGAAGGGGACATAGTTATCTTATAATGAACCATGTATAACAAAATACTTGAAAAGCCTTTGTAACCTTATTATCACCAGTACCATTTCAATGGTGTACCTTTTAAATACACAGACCTGATTTGAGACTGGGTGTGTGTGTGTGTGTGTGTGTGTGTGCGCACGTGCGTGCGTGCATTTGTGGGTGGGTGGGAGTGTGTGTGTGTGTGTGTGGGTGGGTGTGTGTGCGCACGTGCGTGCGTGTGTTTGTGGGTGGGTGGGTGGGTGTGTGTGTGTGTGGGTGGGTGTATTGGGTGGGTGGGGGGGGTGGAGGGGTGGGGTGTGTGTGTGGATGTGTGTGCGTGTGGTTGCGTGTGTGTGTGCATGCGTGCGTGCGTGTGTATGTGTGTATATATACACACGCACACATACATACATACATATACACTATTAGAATGACAACCTGAAAAGCACCGTAGCACTGGTAGAATTCATCCGGTGATTCAATAAATGTTTGGAACAGACTGAACTTGATTCCTCCTGCTTCTCGCATGTGGTACTGTTGAGGCGTGTTATTGAAGGCAAACAAGGTCAAGGCCATGCCTGCCCTCAGCTGAATTTCCTAAATGAAGTGTAAAATAAATATTTTTTCAGTTGAAAATAATATATTTTCAAAAGTATTTATAAAAAAAAAGCTGAGGACATTTTTTGTTTCTATAAGCAGTTTGTGCAGCTGCAGTTGAAAATCAAATTAATATGATAACACAATGTTTTAATTATAGATTACGAACACATTCTGAATAAATTGATTCTCCATGCTGTGCGTTTCGCTTGTTGCAGAATCTTTCTGATCACATTTTGTTATGCTGGGGGCTGGGGGGGGGGGGGGGGGGGGTTGAGCATGGGGGTGTCTTGCAATATACTCAAGGAAAGGGGGGGGGGGGGGTTGAGCATGGGGGTGTCTTGCAATATACTCAAGAAAGGGGGGGGGGGGGGGGGGGGGGGGTGGGGGGTTGAGCATGAGGGAGTCTTGGAATATACTCAAGGAAGAGTGGGGAGCACAACCTGAAAAAGTTGGAGACCACTGATCTAGATGAAAGTCAAAGTTAATGCCAAACCAGCCATTTCTTGTGGGAATTCTTGCAAAAACAAAGCCTAACAGGCAAGCAGAGCTCATTAACTCAGAAAGAGACTCTTTCTATGAGAGGGTTTAAATATGAAAAATGTTGAAAAAAAAATATTTTAAAAGTTAGTTGTAACCTTTACAAGATGTTGCAGAACCAACCTCAGTAATTTTTTTTTTTTTTTGCTGTGATTTCACCAAGCAATTTTACCTTTACTGCTGTTGAGTTGAGTTAAGAATTGACATCACAGCCCTCAGGACATTCCCATTCGTGCTCCATCCCCATTCCAATACTAATGATGCGGGTCATAGTCTGGTTGTATGTCCATCTTGCCTTTCCTTTGAGCGTAGTGTGCCAACTAAGCCCTCTGGTCACACCCAGGTGCATCATTCTCTCAAGCCCATAATAATCTAGTTTCTCTTCTGACTTCATTAATTGTTTCCAAAGGGTTTGACCACATCTGCCTTGTCATGTATCAATTCGCCACCCAGTGGTGCAGATCCAGCCAGTCTGCCTGTTCATTTCCCACCACGCCGGCATGACCCGGAGAAAAGATCCAAAGTATGCTCACTACCTGTGATCTTCCCAGCTTTTGAAAGTGGTCTACTGTTAAACTGCCTGCAGTTGGGATCGAACGTGGCATCTTCAAATTATGAAGCACATTTGAAACCCCAAACCCATTGCCAGTCTTTCTAATGCAGGAGTGCTCGATCTGTTAGTGAGAGAGTTGGAATCCAGAAAAAAAAATCTCCACTGTTGTAGCCAAGAGATGTTGCCACAAGTCTTTGTGTGTGTGTTCTCAGTTCGTTAGATGGTTCTAGGTGTTGTATGCACATCTGCAAAACTGAAACAAAATGGCGACTGTACTTATGGAGTGTACCCTCAAAAAACAATGTGCTGTTGTGAGGTTTTTTGAGGGCAAAAGGGCTGCCTACCCTTACAGCCCCAACTTAACCCCTGGTAATTTCCAATTTTTTGGTCCATTGAAAACCCACCTTGGCAGGAGATATTTCGCGAATGACACAGGAATTGAATGGGAACTGAAAATGTGGTTTAGAAGCAGGTTTGGGAGGACTGATAAAACGATGGGACAAGTACATCAATGCTGGTGGAAATTATGTTAGAAAAATAAAGAGACAGTGCATGTGTAAAAATAAAGGGTTTTCAAATTGTTATCAACTTAATTTTTTTTTACACCCTTTTGCTGCTACATACTCAGCGAACGTTACCACTGTGCTAAGCAAGTTCACAGCTGAGCTTTTCGCCTGTGCTGAATTTTTCTATGCTCCAAACGCAAAAAAAAAGGTTAGCGGTGAGGACTCTATTTTGTACACCTGAAAATATTTACCCTAGTTAAGTTGGCTATGGCTCGAGTTTTGACAAATCAGTCGCTCTATGGTGACGCCAAGAAACACATTTATAAAAAGAAAACAGTAGAAACTAGACTTATTTGCCTGGTTTCACTCGGGATAATGAAAGAAAATGTATCCTTGGCTAAGTCTATCTTTGTCTTCACCACTTCCACATATGTAGTAGAAACTTCACAGTGGAAGGAACACAATAGCCTTCCAACAAGATAATGGTACAACGCATCTAAATACACCTAAACGCATGTGATAAGGGTTTTAATTTTATGTAAATGTGTCAGTTTGATAACATTTAGTTAACGTGTATTGCCATTTTATCCCCCAGAATATTGGTCCTTAGCAATCTGTAATAAAAGTCTAAAACGTATTAATATGTCCCTAGTGTTAAGGGCACAGAAAACAGAAGACCTATTAATACGTGTTTAGTAGTATACAGGACAGACGTATATATATGTCCATAGCAGTGGAAAGGTTAAACAACTATTTGTGACTTACTAATTGACTCCCCATTGTATAATCCCAAAGCTGTTTTAAACACATTTTGTTCATTGAGAGAAAACTATTGCAAAGTAAAAAAACATACCATATCTTTCAATCTGAGCAAAGACAGTAGAGTATCAAATGAGAAAAGTGGTTCCTCTGCCAGTTTTTCTTGATTCTCCTTGCAGCTGAGAGTGACACAGGCCAGAGTGATAGCAACCTCCACTTGAATCTCTTTGGACGGAGCATTCTCCAGCAGGTGCACTAGAACAGTCAGACCTCCTTCCTCTGCAATTTTCAGTTGGGTGACCATGTTGTTTTTGTAAGCTACACCTGGAAAGGTCATCACATAAAGTAAAGACATATGATTGTTAAGTCAGCAGGACGACTAGTGTCCTCTGTCATATCATCCCTCCTTTATACAGCACAATTCATGTCATCTATCATCCTTTAGTTATATGTACAATGAATGTCCTGTCTTATCATGATTCCTTTATATAGGACAATCAATGTCCTTAGTCCTATCATCCTTCAGTTTTATGTACAAATAATGTCCTTTGTCTTATTATCATTTCTTTATATAGGAAAATCAAAGTACTATGTCGTATCATTATTCCTTTATATAGGAAAATCAATGTCCTCTGACCTATCATTATTCCCTATGTACAGGACAATTAATGTCCTCAGTCCTAACATCATTACTTTATATAACACAATCAATGTCTTCTGTCCTATCATTATTCCTTTATACAGTACATTCAATGTCCTCTGTCCTATCATCATTATTTTATAAAGGACAATTAATGTCCTTAGTCCTATCATCATTACTTTATACCGGACAATTAATGTCCTCTGTCCTATCATGATTCCTTTATATAGAACAATCAATGTCCTTAGTCCTATCATTACTTTATATAGGACAATTAATGTCCTCTGTCCTATCATTATTCCTTTATACAGCACAATTAATGTCCTCTGTCACTTCACTACTGAAGATATCAACCGCCTCCGTTCATCTCTAGGGTTGGCCTTCTCTTTGCAGCTGGTAACACCAAATGTTTGTAGTCTTTTTGGATATTATCTCTCTATTGTCATCTTGGTCTACGACCATTTGACTCCTTTGTATACACAGATTTTAGCTCTCTGTCATCTGACATTCTCTCAACATGCCACAGCCATTTTAGCTCTCTGTAATCTGACATTCTCTCAACATGCCACAGCCATTTTAGCTCTCTGTAATCTGACATTCTCTCAACATGCCCCAGCCATTTTAGCTTTCAGTCATCTGACATTCTCTCAACATGTCCCAGCCATTTTAGCTCTCTGTCATCTGACATTCTCTCAACATGCCCCAGCCATTTTAGCTTTCTGTCATCTGACAATCTCTCAACATGCCCCAGCCATTTTAGCTTTCTGTCATCTGACAATCTCTCAACATGCCCCAGCCATTTTAGCTCTCTGTCATCTGACAATCTCTCAACATGCCCCAGCCATTTTAGCTCTCTGTCATCTGACAATCTCTCAACATGCCCCAGCCATTTTAGCTTTCTGTCATCTGTCATTCTCTCAACATGCCCCAGCCATTTTAGCTCTCTGTCATCTGACAATCTCTCAACATGCCCCAGCCATTTTAGCTCTCTGTAATCTGACATTCTCTCAACATGCCCCAGCCATTTTAGCTCTCTGTCATCTGTCATTCTCTCAACATGCTCCAGCCATTTTAGCTCTCTGTCATCTGACAATCTCTCAACATGCCCCAGCCATTTTAGCTCTCTGTCATCTGACAATCTCTCAACATGCAGCCCCAGCCATTTTAGCTCTCTGTCATCTGACATTCTCTCAACATGCCCCAGCCATTTAAGTCTATTAGCTTTTATGCTGACAGAGATCAATGGCGATTTAAACAGATAATGAATGTCATTATTGTCTCTCATTCTACATTTCCTGCTATTTGCATCCTTGATGGGTCTAAAGATTTATGGTAAGTTGTGCTCCAAGTTCTAGAGCTTTATAACACGACTAGTCTTAACGTTTTATATATTTTATTTTGGTGTTATGAGACAGAGGCTTTGATTTTAGCAGATGTGAAGGGCATAGTATTTTTTATTTTGTAACTTTATTGTAGACTGAAATTATTCTCTTAGTATGTTGCAGCAGCTGAAATTTGCAACCACGTTTTTATGTTTCTGTTCGTTTGATTTTCATATTATTGTCTAATTATTACCACAGTCGCATATATTATAAATATAACTCTGCAACTTGTTTTTAGAATTGTGAAATTTAGCCAGGGCTGCAGCTAATTTTACCTCTTCCTTTTTTTGGGTCTTATTTCTAAATGTCCACACACAAAAATTGTTTATGCATATAGATGCATCAGAACTGTCCCCCTTATTTTTTCCACAGCAGGCAATTAAATATTGACACCAACCAGTCAAAGGCAGCCAGTAGGAGAACAAGTAACTGAACCAATAAGAAGCAGCTAGAACAAACAGAAACACCTTCAATCAAATTCTATACTTAGTTAGTTAGTTAGTTAGTTAGTTGGGTTATCGTCATTGCACTCCGGACATGTCCATAGGTGCTCAGATCCTCCCCTCAGTATGAACCCCAACGTCCGATGGCTAATAGTACCAGTTCTATGTTGATTAACAAGTCTTCTGACGTGTCCGGTGTGCGTCTCGTTTTTTGCTGTGCCGATCTTAATTCCCAAGTCTGCCATTCTGGCGAGTGATGTGGATTCACTGCCACCAAAGTCCTCTATCCTTCCCATTTCTCTGAGGGCATTGATAATATCAGCATGATCCATAGGCCGACCGTCGGTAGTGATAGCGGATCCAGCCAACCTGTCAGCTCTATCATTTCCATCGACGCCTGCGTGTCCCGGAACAAAAATAAAGGTGACTCCACGCACAGTGGACTTCTGTAATGATTCAAGCCATTGTCTTCGCACTGAACCTGCCTGAACCCTCCGGATCATACTCATTGAATCACTGAGTATACATATGCGGGTGTATTTTTGTGTTTCAAGCCAGGCAAACGCTTGCGTCACTGCCATCACCTCCATCGTCATGCTGCTGGTTGTCATGGAGAAGGCACCGTTGGCTTCTTTGACTGTTCTGCCCGCTGAGCGTGCTGTAAATGCCCATGCGCTTCTTCTTTGGCGTATAACGGATCCGTCTGTGTAGATTAGTGCATCTGCTTCGTCTGAATTTTCACCGATGAGAGCGTTGACCTCTGCATTAACAGCAACAGGATTCTCTTCTCTACATCGCCTGTTGAGTGTGACAATACAGGAAAATGTACAAATAAACGCCTGAGGCACAGGTATCCATTCTGCACCAGGTATGATGTCGGTTAGGCTGCATATTTGCCTAATAACATCTTCTGCCCGACCTAGCCACGATTTTCCCCTCTTCAGTCTGTCGCCCTTTTCACTAAAAAGCGCTTGATGCAGTGGGTGTTTCTTATCAGCACATATTTTGAGGTATGCCCGAGCCCTCCACATTCTGATCCTTTGGTTCATTGTTGGAAAGTCAAGTAGATACCTCATTGCTTTACAGGATGTGTCTCTTGTACATCCCAAAATAATGCGCATGGCTTCATTTTGCACCTTTTCGAGTCTTTCAATCTGGGTAGCACTGACAGTGAGGATGGCCAAAGCGTATTCAATGGGTGAAAGGACCAGACCGTAGAATAGAAGTATTAGTAGTCTTTGCTCGATATTGGAAGCAGCCATAATCCTCATTGCAGATAGACCTTTGCGTGCTTTTGTTATCACATGGTCAACGTGTTCCCTGAATGACAAGCTGCGATCGAACCTCACCCCGAGAAACGTCATAACGTTGGTTCTGATCAATATATTATCACGCATTTTCACTTCTGGTAAGTCCGACTTGACAATGTGATTGTTCAAAGAGAACCATGACACTGATGCCTTCGAAGGATTGACATAGGCATTGGAACCATCACACCAGGCGGCAATTCGATCGAGTTCTTTGTGCATTGTGCTGGCGATCTCCTGTCTATCACGCCCTCGTCGATAAATCAAAATGTCATCAGCAAATGACAAAGTCCTTCCCTTTCCATTCAACTGCTGCTCAGTGATCATCACCGTATAGACGTTGAATAAGACTGGTGATAGCGGTGATCCCTGTGGCAAGCCTGGACATATCGTTTGCGGTTCTGAGGACCAGCTACCACATCTTAGTACAATCTTTCTCTGGAACAGGACCGCAGCAATCCAGCGGATCAGAATAGGATTGATTTCTAGTTTAAGCAGTAATTGCATTAAATATTCGTATGGTACTTTATTGTAGGCATCTTCTAAGTCCAACACTGCCGCACATGTCTCTTCTTTAATCTGAAATCCCTCGTACACATCGTAGGCGAAAACAGCAGCATTGAACCATGTCTCTTTCTTCAACCTGTACCCTCCAAGTGTTGATGGGAACTTATCATGTAGTTCCAAGTAGGTGGTCAATCTTTGTGCGACAATTTTTTCCAAAAGTTTGCCAACAGTATTCTGCATCGAGATGATTCTGTAGCCGCAGATCTTTGAGTGGTCTTTATTAGGCTTTGGTAGTGGGAACAAATAACTATGGAGCCATTCCTCTTGTATCTGGCCACTCTGGATGCTGATATTGAATTCCTTTGCCACGCTTTTCAAATCAGCATTCGACATCATCAGCATGTCATTGTATCGGATGCCGTCAGGTCCTGGAGCAGTGCTGCGCGATTTCTTGAGGCAAGTTCTTAAGGATTCTATACTTACCTAAACACAAAATCCCTACTACCTTGACTACCATATGAAGAATTTTATGGGGAGTTTTCGAAGAACGTAAAAGTCGTACAAGCTGTGAGAAAGCATCTGCTGCTGCAAGCTTGTTCTGATTGGCCATGTTTTCTGTACCAAAAGCAATTGCCATCATGCACCCTGCAGAAGATAAATTATAACAAAACAACTGTTTTATTTTTTGTAAAAAATCATATTAATGACAATGGAGAATTTCCACACAGGCTTCAGTCTCCTTTTATAGATTAAACAAGGAGAATATCGGTACAAAGCATGTACTTCCTAACACTACTGATAATCCTGTCAAAAACATGCAGTTCTAGCACTATACTCCAGGATGCCATGGAGACACAGACAAAAGTCAAACATATCAGCAAAGGTTATTTTATAGCACATGGCATCAAAACATTCAACCAACAACTAATTATCAGATCTTGCATTTTCCTTTCTTGACACAGAACATTACATCAAAACATGTCCTCATACAACAATGATTTTTTTTTTTTTTTTTTTTGGGTCCAGATTTTGTATTGTACTTCCTGAGACAGTACTATAATAAAAACATATCCTCAAACAACTGTTTTTTACAGCTATTTCCATTTCTTTGTCCTCAGCCTTAACCACGCCACCCATAAAGCAATAGAACTGACATTTCTACTTGGGTCCAGTTCCCAGTAAATGTCCCTTCACTGACTTTTCTACAACGATGTGTTTATCAGACACCTAGTTAATGCTACTGGTTGCCTTCCTGATTCTGCAGATTTAGAAGATCATGATATTTACTAAAATTAGCAACTGGGGAAAAGGTTTTCTTATGAACCAAATGGTTTCTTGAAAACCATGCTGACATGAAATTTTCTCCTTAGCCTCGATAATAGAGGTCATGGGTCATGGCATGAGTCACCCGATACCTATTTTGTTTCAGGCCATGGGGAATGTATTTCACTCAAAAGCTTCACTGTTTATGTTTACTGATTAACTGTTTTTTATATTTTTGTGTATTTTTAAATATTTTTATATTTTTGTGTATTTGTAAATATTTTTTTTGTTCATTAAAAAACACATTTTTATCTACATAAATTCTTTAAAAAAAATTTGATTTATTAGTCCAAAATTGCTGTTTTAACACATTACTTTAATGTTCCTGGGTGAAAGGGTTTTACCTACATCAGCATATGACTAAAAAGACACTTTTTCACATCAAAAAGCATACTGAGTATCTGTGGAACGAACGAACGAACGAACGAACGAACAAACTTTATTTTCAAAGGGTTACAAATTGGGCACGCAGGCCCGTCTGACATTCGGCCCTTTTAAGAACTCGTTTTTCAGAGTACCACTGCCTGTTATCTAAAATGCATGTTATGGATATAGAATAAAAATATACATTATAGAATATAATACATACAACATGTGTACACAGTCTTACACACTCTCCCATTCTCATATATGCACACTCATATACCGACATACCTAGCACATACATACATACATCCATCCATCCATCCATCCATCCATACATACATACATACAAACATACATAAACGCATCTACATATGTACACAAACAGAAAAGACACACACATACATATATGGACATAAATGCACACACACATTCCATACATACACACCTACACATGCATGCATGCATACACACACATACAATCACATGTACAGACACCCACAACTACACATTTACACTTGCATGTAAGCATACATACACACATCAATACATACACCTACATCATTACACACATACATGCTTACATACCTAAATACACACATGTACACCCACATACGTGGAAGAAGAGAAAGGGGTCAAACAGCACAGCAGTGGACACAAAATATTAGAGACACCCTTGGCATGAAAGTTTATCAGGTGGGAAAGTAACAAAGGAAAGAGCGGTATACCAGCTGCCATAATGAAAGCGACATTTTGCAAAGGACCCAATACATGATGATGATGATGATATTACCATAATCTACATTGAAAACACACATATTTACCAACAAATAGCAACTTTTCTGATGGTTCCAATAACATCTGCATAATGTGAGACACTGTGGTTCGTTCAGCGATGTATCTCTGTTGTGTTCTTTTATTGCCAGCCAGCGCCCACAGAGAGCAGGCCCCTTGTTCACGAACCTCCACATGCTGATTCTAATTTCAGTAAATGAAATTCAACAATGTTTATGCTACCAGAGTTAACAAAAAAACGGATCAAATTCAAAATAAAGAGATCAAAAGAAGACAAGGATTGAAACCAGATATCCAGTTTATTAACTCACTGAATACCACGATTGCACATTATGTGATCCGCTGATGTTTACGCCTGGTTACTACAAATGCATCCCCTGCGATCGCAACTTTGGATTCTCGATGCCATGTTAAAATTGTGATTTTTGCAATAAATGTGAATGACACCATTAGTCACTTTGTTTCTCTATGGTATTTAAGGGAAACCATTTGGTAGCACGAACAAATTTTCCATGAATTTATTTTGGTGAGAAAGCTGACAGTGACATCCTAGATGTGATCAAGACTGTTTGGGAGCATGCAAACAATGTGGAGATAGGAATCGATCAATATGGTCTGGAGAGAATTGTACAGCTATGAATCATAAGGTGATCTTGTCGACATTTCGTAATGCGATTCGTAATGTTGAGGTGCTGGGTTCGATCTCAGCTGTGGGTGATTTGGCAGCAGACTGTCTGGCCTTTTTTTTACCATAGTACTGTGAGTCGACTGTTCAGAGAGCAATGGCAAACTACTAAATGTAAATTTGTCCAGAAAAACCACAAAAGCCAAAAAAAATCGCTGGATTTGGTTCTGTAAAATCCTGTAAAGGATATGTAATTAACTTTGGCCAAAGTTTATACATTTAAAACTAACATCAAATTAGTAAGGCTATCCTGGTCAGAAATATGGAGAATGACCAAAACAATTACTAATTACTAATAAACTATACAAAGGAGATAGATATCAAAAGCAGCGGAAGATGAATGTGGAAAACAGCTTGGTAATAAATAATAGCATTATTAAAATCCATTATCTTATATTTTTTTTAAAACAGAGAGCTGACGAGTCATTATCCCCAATGCTTGCTTTAAACAACTGTGCGCAAACCTTTGCAAGATGGTTGGCTGCAGCACACCCACTGCTGTCTTTGAAAATATATTCTGGTGAGGCCACAATCTCGCCCATGGTGTGACTCTCATCATGACTCTCATACTACTGTCTCCCCGTGTGGGTTCCAGGGTCCAACTGTGGGAGAAAAATAATAGACCCATAACCCCCCTCCACTAACAAAGCATGTCATAAAGTCAATTAAATAGGGGTGGTTTTGTTTAAGTCAGAGTGCCTCCGCCTTAGAGGCAAGGAACCAGTAGTCTGCATACAAAAAAGCCAGATCTGTAAAAAGGATGTGCATGCTAACTCAGGTTCTGGAATAAAAGTAAAGATAGAACCATCAAAACTTCCTGCCCGAGTTTAGAGATGATGAATGCAACAAAAGACACCACTGCTGATAACTCTAGACAAGGTGTCTATTTGGAAAAATACAGTAAAGAACAAAGGGTAACTATTTGTTAGATTATAAAACTGAAACACCAACTTTAAGTAACCGTATGAGGGCTTTTGGAGCGTCTAGGTCCAGGAAACAGTTCTGACACTGTATGTTGTTGGTTGCCAGGGCTTCTAGTGCATTTGCTGCCTTCACTTGTGTGGTCACGGACCGACTGCTCTTTAAAACATCAACCAGAGGCCTAGAAAATCCAGAACATGTGATCCCGTAATCAGGTGCTATGTAAACATTTTAAAATCAAATCAAAGTTGACTTTAAAATCAAACTGTCACTAAAAATGCTAAAAAGCTATGACACCTACTTAACTGATGTGGTGTAATTTCCAAAGTGACTGCTACGGTAACCTAGCAGGCTAGAGGCTCACCTGCCAGCACAAAGCTCTTGAGTTTGAAACTGCATCGGGGCGGATAGTTTTCAAAACTGACCTTGGCTTGCAGGTCAACACAGCCTGAAATGTGTACCAGGTAAAATCTGGAAAGTTAAGCTGATTGGGACGATGTTGACCCCATCTCCTGCCAAGTGTGGATTGGTCTAAAAAAATGTGTCTAGCATCATATACTTCGTGTGCCACTGGCATAAAAAGAATCCTTCACTTTATTTATTTATTTATGTTTTTTTTTTTTAAATCTTACATCTCCACAGTGAAGATCGACTGCAGTAGATTTCCTGCACTCTACATCTTCCCTACTGGTACATTCTCAGACTACTACTGATCCATCTCTTGGTGTTATCCTTACATTTGTATCACTGTCTACCTCTTGCCTGCTTGCTTGCAAATTTTCATTTCAGTTCCATTTTTATGTGTTATTATCTTTTATCATCATCATCTGCTTGTGCCATTATATGTCATATAGGGCTCACAATCGAGTCCTTCATTTTGTACAATCAGGTAAAATTGTTTTGATATCATGGACAAAATACAGTCTAGCCCCTAGGGCCTCTCTCATCCACATTTATTTTAGGCTTTCTCTTGGACAATCTTATTTCCTCAGTCAATTTGTTTCATAATCCAGTGCCTATTTGGTAATTCTCTTCACTTCAGCCCAGTATGTGCCTAAAATAATGCTGTCTTAGTTGTCTGATAATTGGTGATACCAATGGCAGACGACACATTTATCTGACTTCTTCACCTTTCTTCAAATCTTATTCAATTTTCATCACTTTCCTCAGATATTTGTTTTCTAATGCATTTAACTTTTATTCCATGTCTGTATTGGTTCTCCAACTTTTGTTCCATGTCTTTATTGTTCTCTAACTTTTGTTCCATGTCTGTATTGTTCTCTAACTTTTATTCCATGTCTTTATTGTTCTCTAACTTTTATTCTATGCCTTTATTGTTCTCCAACTTTTGTTCCATGTCTTTATTGTTCTCTAGCTTTTGTTCCATGTCTTTATTGTTCTCCAACTTTTATTCTGTCTTTATTGGTTCTCCAACTTTTGTTCCATGTCTTTATTGTTCTCCAGCTTTTGTTTCATGTCTTTATTGGTTCTCCAACTTTTGTTCCATGTCTTTATTGTTCTCCAACTTTTGTTCCATGTCTTTGGTGGTTCTCCAGCTTTCACTAGCATATGCTAAAACTGAAATAACATGAAAATAAAAAAAAAAAACATAACTTGATTTTTGAAACTATATAATTTAGAGTTCCATTTTTAGCTCAGGGTTTTTCCAACCTGCTGTTGCCTTGTCAATTAGTGTCATAATATAACTCTTTGAGTCCCAAGAAATGCATCATACAATCATAGGTTCCTTCCGAGAAGCCCAATTAACGCATGATGCATCCATTTTAGTCACTCTACGCTACATCTTGGGCCTGTGATGCTAAACCCCCTGGAACTCAAAGAGTTAATAAATATCTTTTCAGTATCTGAAATCAACAATGTGTCATCTGCATAACTTATATCGTTTTTGTGTGTGCCCTTAAATGGCAGATTATTCATGCCATTTAAATTTATCATTTTTTTTTTCTGAATAGGGAAGGAATTTATAGAGACACTGCACAACCATGTTGTATCTCAGCTATGTGCTTCCATCTCTGACACTTATTTCTCTATTTCTGTCTAACACCTCTCACTGAAGACTGTCTTAAAATTCCTGTCAGCAAAACCACTTCTAAGAGTATCTAAATTATGCAAGAATCATGGATGTTCAAGTCTCACATGTTAAGCAGCTGGCACTTACTTAGCCGCACCAAACAGAAGAGCTCTAGTCTGATTTTCTGTATTTTTCTGGACGGCAGCAGCCAAGGCTGAAGCAGCTCCTGCCTTGAGGTCACCTGCAGAAGACAAACAGCATCCTTAGAAATTATCATCATTTAGGAAGCCATTTATGCATCAGTGAACAACCACATGGCTAAAACATATTTTCTGTGAGCTTCCTTAAAGGAAAAGTTAACTAAAGTAATCATATAGTTATTTATTCAAAACTTTTTACTTTGTTAATCTAAGCTTTTTTTTTTTTAGCCACATAAGTGTGGTGTCTAGATGTATACCTGCCAGCCCAAAGTTCAGGGGTTTAAAAAATAATCTAAGATCCAAGATCAAGGCAGCTTAAATTTGGTACCATGAAGTGCCCATACTGGCACATCATTCATTAACAGACAATTGGCCTACACAAATGTGGGCCTAGCGAAGGTCTGATTTGCCTGTGGCAGGGAAACAGTTTTTTTATATTTTTTTAACTGATCTGTTTTTTTATGTTGTTGTTGAAAATTATTAATCTAAAAATTTTGCTTTTATTTTTTATGTTGTTAAATAATTCTTTACTTTTTCAAGTGAACCTTTGACTAAGTTTTTTGCAGGGAGTTGACTGCCATATATTTTTTCTTTGTGTTCACCAGCTGTAAACTCTGGCAGAAAGTTCTGGTTGTTCGTCAACTTCTGGACTGCAGTTCTGTTTTGGAACCTGAGTGTTACACTCGCATCCGTTTTACAGATCTGACACATTTATATTCAGACTGTTGGTTCCTTGTCTCTCAGGCAGATGCACTCCGACTTCAAAGGAAGCTCCCAATTAGTCAACTCCCACGACATGCTTTTGGGTAGACTGTGCATCTATTATTTTTTTCCCTATAATAGGGCCCCGGAACCTACACGGGGATTAACTGTCATGAAAACAATGGTGACATTACTGATGTGTGGGATGGGAGACAAAACAGGTGGCCACTTTGTATGCATCATCATCATCATGTATCATGCTCATAAGTGCAGGCAGTCACGGCTTGATTCAAGAGAAGTGAAGACGCACGAGAAATATCCGGGCAACCACCAGTATCAACAGTTATAAGACAGAGAAGTGAAGACACAAGAGAAATATCCGGGCAACCACCAGTATCAACAGTTATAAGACAGAGAAGTGAAGACACAAGAGAAATATCCAGGCAACCACCAGTATCAACAGTTATAAGACAGAGAAGTGAAGACACAAGAGAAATATCCGGGCAACCACCAGTATCAACAGTTATAAGACAGAGAAGGTGGTGCTATACAGGACACATTCTTAGAAGAGGTGAATAGAGAATTACCAAACAGGCACTGAAATGGGAAAAAGAGGGCATACGAAACAAGGAGGTCCAAGAGAAACCGTAATGCTAACGTTGATGAGAGAGGCCAAAGGTGCTGGACTGGATTCCGTCCATGTTATTGAAGTGACTGAGCAGGATAGAACAGAATGGTGAATAGACTGTGAGCCTTATAGGACATATAGGGCAAAACAGGACAATGAATGATTGAATAAATGAATGAATGAATGAATGAAGAAATGAATGAATGTATTAATTAATGAATTAGTCAAGATTTTGCCATCTCACATAATCTATGGTATTATAGATCAGGTCAGTGTTCTTCTCCTGCTAAATGCAAACTGGTCTTGCTAGTCGCCCTCAGCCAGCATCACTTGGGACTTGAATTCCCATCAACTTTAATTAAAGATTGTGGCCTCTCCACAATAGAAGTTAGCTATAGTGGTTCGCATGCTTTAGTGGGACTGTTATATGTGTTGAGGTCTCCATCTGTTCCTTATAGCACAATATAACTTGATAACATAGCTCACTAACAGTCTGAATGTTCTCTGTGTTCTTGATTCATAACCTGCATGACAATACATCCACAAAAAGCCATGGCCTTATAATTTACATGGCAACACATTTTAAAAAAACAACTCAGTTTGCAAATTTATAACTTAAATAACATCATCCTCATTATTCAGTTATCCCATTTATATGCCATATTAGGCTCATAGTCTGCTCCTCCAATTCTTTCAACCCTAAGCAATCTTTATGTTATCATGTATGGAATCCAGTCCAGAACCCTTGTCCTCCCTCATCAACATCTGTTAAAGGGTTTCTGTTAACCGTCCTTGTTTTTGCTTGGATAACTTACTTGACAACACATTCTTCTTCTTCTTTGTTCACCTGCTGTAAGCTCCTGCAGAAAGTCCTGGTTGTTCATTCTGACTTTGTGCCAGGGCCTGAGTTTTGTGTGTACATCCATTTTACTGGCTTTTCTGAATGCATTTGGTTGTTCCTTGCTGCTCGGGTAGATGCACCCCGACTTCAAGGTAGCTCCCAAATGGTTGACTCCTACAACATACTTGTTGGAGAGGTAGTGATCTATTCTTGTTTTACCTATAATCGGGCCCTGGAACCCACACCGGGAGACATTTAAAAAAAACTATTGGATTTATAACTCAAATTACACAGGGAAGGTTAACCGGGTCAACAAATGCATGCATAAGTAACATGTGTTGGCCGAAAGGTGCCATGCTGTAAACGGACACAACGCAATTACATCTTCGGATGAACGTAGAAGAAGTAACTCAAATTACAACAAATAAAATAACTCTCCCTCTGCCGTTGCGATTATAACTAAAATAACTCCACTCTATATTTAAAACTTACTTGACAACACATCTAAAAACTCTATCAGTGGTTGCAAACCACCAGCTCCTGCAACAGCATTTTGATTTTCTGTATGGCCCAGGCATAAAACTCTGATGGCATTCACTGCGTTCAGAAGAACATCTTCCATTTCTGACTCCAGCAGATGAACAAGCAGGGGGATAGCTCCACACTCAGCAATCACAGTCTGAAATAGATATACATTTTAGGGCTGTGAGAGCTGTCAGTCTGAAATAGATATAGATTTCAGGGCTGTGAGAGCTGTCAGTCTGAAATAGATATACATTTTAGGGCTGTGAGAGCTGTCAGTCTGAAATAGATATAGATTTCAGGGCTGTGAGAGCTGTCAGTCTGAAATAGATATACATTTTAGGGCTGTGAGAGCTGTCAGTCTGAAATAGATATAGATTTCAGGGCTGTGAGAGCTGTCAGTCTGAAATAGATATACATTTTAGGGCTGTGAGAGCTGTCAGTCTGAAATAGATCTAGATTTTAGGGCTGTGAGAGCTGTCAGTTTAAAATAGATATAGATTTTAGGGCTGTGAGAGCTGTCAGTCTGAAATAGACATAGTTTAGGCAAAAATCTGTGGTCAAGTAAGGGATGTAGTCACTTAATACAAACAAGGCTCAGAATTTACTGCTTTCGATCACATTGACCAAGAAATATACGGTTTTGTTAACATAGGCATGTGTGAATATGTGACATCATCATAAGCTATTATATAATGCGAGGATGATGTAGCAATGACAACAAAATCAATTGTTTTGTTTGTTTGTTCACTCCAATATTGAAAATGTTGTGTCTAAACATAATCATACCTACTATGTTAACATGAGAGTCGCTGTGGTGTAGCAATTAGACGCTCACCTGCCGATCAAAAGGCCGTGGGTTTGGGTCCTGACAGAGCCCTGGCTTCCAGGTCAACCCAGCCTTGAGTGGGTACCAGGTGCAGCCCTTGGAAGTAAAGGCGGCTGGCAAGATGCTGACCCTATCACCCCCCAAGTACAGACTGGTCTATAAAATATAGGTCTAGCCCTATATGCCCAATACATCTGAAGTACAGGGAAAAGTGTTACAACTATGTCTAAACAAAACTATGTCTACTATGGAGTGTTATGGGGAAACCCAATTGCAGTGAAGTTTAAACCTCAACTAAGACTATGACTAAGAGTAAGACTTAGACTAAGACTAAGACTAGGACTAGGACTAAGACTAAGACTAAGAGTAAGAGTAAGACTAAGACTAAGACTATGACTAAGACTATAACTAAGACTAAGACTAAGAGTAAGACTAAGACTAAGACTATGACTAAGACTAAGACTAAGACTAAGACTAAGACTAAGACTAAGACTATGACTAAGACTAAGACTATGACTAAGACAAAAACTATGACTAAGACTATAACTAAGACTAAGACTAAGACTATGACTAAGACTATGACTATGACTAAAACTATGACTGAGAGTAAGACAGACTAAGACTATGACTATGACTAAGACTAAGAATAAGACTATGACTAAAACTATGACTAAGAGTAAGACAGACTAAGACTATGACTATGACTATGACTAAGACTAAGACTATGACTAAGACTATGACTAAGACTTTGACTAAGACTCAGTCTATGACTAAGATTAAGACTAAGACTAAGACTATGACTAAGACAAAGACTATGACTAAGAGTAAGACTATGACTAAGACTAAGACTATGACTAAGACTAAGACTATGACTAAGACTAAGACTATGACTATGACTAAGACTAAGACTAAGACTAGGACTATCACTAAGAGTAAGACTAAGAGTAAGACTAAGACTATGACTAAGACAATGACTAAGACTATGACTAAGACTATGACTAAGACTAAGACTATGACTAAGAGTAAGACTTAGACTAAGACTAAGACTAAGAATGTGACTAAGAATGTGACTTAGATTAAGACTATGCAGTTGCAACTAGCATCAAAACTATTATAAATGCACAGTGACCACTTTCCAAAGATGAAATGCCATTTAAAAAACTGACAAGCCAAGATCTCGGTATTTATGGGACAACAGGGTTAAGTGGTAACCTACCTGGTTTCCCTCCACAGTTGCTAGATCAGCGATGATGATGGAAGCCCGCGACTGTAGGTCATCTAATGAAGATCGTAGTAGAGAAACAATATATGGCACAGCCTCTGCTTGAGTCAAAGCCAGCTTGACAGGTTTGTTCTCTGAGATGTTGCATATGACCGAAGCTGTCACAGACTGCATGATCTCATTCTCTGATTTCAATAGTTTCACTAAAGATGGTATTGCACCTGATATTTATAGCAATAAAGACAGTCAGTATGAAGTCACAAGCATTTATACAATAAGTATTTACTCTTTGAACAAATATATCATCATCCTCATGCAGTGGATGCCAGGGTAGCATAGTGCTAGCTGTTCACCTGCCAGCCTGAAGAACTATTGTTTAAATCCACATCGAGGCAAAATTTTTCAATCAAGCATAAAATGGCTACCAGGTAATATTAGGTTAGTATGTTTATGTTGCGGCGTCCGTGGCTAAGGCGTTGCGAGTCCGACTCGTAATCCAACGTACCGCGATCGAAACCCACTGCGGGCTGCGTGGATTTTTATGATGGTATGGGATGTCACAGGTCGACCCAGCCTCAAATGGGTACCAGGATGGATGTCCTGGGAAAGTAAAGACGGCCGGCATAATGCTGACCACATTACCCACCGAGTGCCGATTGGTCTGTAAAAATATGGGTGCTCTTCCCATACGCCCGATGCGCCTAAAGGCGTGAAAAGGGATCTTTACTTTACTTTTTACTTATGTTTATTCTACGGATCAACATCATGGCATAGGGGTTTTACCCATAAGTGCTCCGTGCTTCTTCTAATTCAAGCTGAGTCTGAAGAATCTCAGCACAGTGCATGAACTCAGTAGTACCGGCGAGAATCCTGAAATACTTTGGCTAGATTTTTAACTCCAAATTTTGCTCAGACAGTGCTGTTAGACTACTCTTTTCGATTTCCAACTGCCAAGATATTTGTTACGTGCGCAAGAATACAAATGGGCGTCCGATCTTACTACTCAGAGACCAGGGGAAATTACTAGAAGTCCAGGTGACAAAATTCAAGCCTTTGCCGGGGCTTGAATCCGGGACCTCCAGCACTCGAGGCAGACACCATACCTCAAGACCACTCAGCCCCTAAGAGTTAATAAAAATGGCCGATGTTCACCGACAGGGCTATAAAATGATAGGTCTAGCAATATATGACTCAATGCATCTATACACGTTCCCATGTGGGGCGTAATTTTGAAGTCCCACTCGGGCTGTTGCCGGGTGCCCTGATATAACCCAACCTATGGGTTGAACCAGGTTTCTGAAACCCTGTCCCCAGGTGAACCTTATCCAATTGGTGGTACATTGTGTTCATGAGTCATCAGTTCTCGTTATGCCTAGTGGCACATGAGGCTTCAGAGAGGACTTTTCATGCTTTCCTGTCCTGTGCAATCTTCAGTGCAGTTTTCCATGTCAAAGATGCCACACTCAGGTCACTTTCCATCGTTCATCTCCATGTTGTTTTTGGGCACCCCTGTTTTCTCTTTCCCTCTGGTGTCCATGTGAGAGCTGTTTTGGCAGGTATATCAGAAGTCATTCTCATAATATGGCCAGGCCATTTCCATCTTCTCTTGGTAATCATACTGTCTAAAGTTTCTTGGTTTGTGGCTTGAAGTAGTTTAGTGTTTGAGATTGTATTTTGATAATTCTACGTAGACATGTGTTGTGGAAGGTGGACAGCTTGTGTGCATCTTTTTTTGTCATTCTCCAGCATTCCGCTCCATAAAGAAGAAATGGCAAAAAGATGCTCTTGTAGAGCCGGAGTTTTGTTCCTCTGCAGTAACTGTTGGATTTCCAGATTTGCCTCATCCTTCCAAAAGCAGCTCTAGCTTTGTTCAGGCATGACTGTATGTCTTCCTCTGTCCCTCCCAGTAGGGACACCACACTACCAAGATATGTGAAATGTTCTACATTTTCAAGTGATTGGTTACTTATGGTCACTGGTTGTTGGTTTGGACTGTTTGTCATGATCTTAGTTTTCTTTGTATTTATTCTCAGTCCCACCATTTCTACTGTGCAGTGTAGTCTGTTACTTTTCTCTTGTATATGTTCATGTTTATGTGACAGGAGTGCTATATCATCTGCAAAATCAAGGTCCTCAAGCATGGTGAATGGAGTCCATCGTATGCCTCTCAATGTCCTGTCTACTGTGTTCTCTAGTATCCAATCAATCACAAGGTTGAAGAGGAGAGATGACATAACACATCAATGTCTTACACCTGTCTTTACTGGGAAAGATGTATTGTAATTTTTTATACTGCAGGAAAAGTCTTTATAGAAGAGAGCAATTATATTGACTATTTTTTCTGGAATTCCATAATGTCGTAAAATTTTCCACAGACCGTCTCTATTGACGCTGTCAAAAGCTTTCTCAAAGTCCACAAAATTAATATATATACTTCTCTGCCATTCATTGAATTGTTCTAAAATGTTACGTATGGCAAAGATGTGCTCAGTTGTTCTTCTGCCCTTTCTGAATCCTGCTTGTTCCACTGGTAGACATTTATCTACTCCTTTTTCAAGCCGCATTATGATGATTTTACAAAATATTTTGCTTGGTACTGAGAGTAGAGTAATTCCCCTCCAATTATTGCAGTCTGTTAAGTCTCCTTTTTTGGGGATTTGGACTATTGTTCCTTCAGTCCAGTCATCAGGCAACATTTCTTTTTCCCAAATATCCTTGAACAATGGTTCTAGAATGCTAGCAGTTGTTTTGGGATCTACTTTGAGAAGTTCTGCTGGCAGTTCGTCTTTGCCTGGTGCTTTGTTGTTCTTTAAAGTGTGGATAGCTTTAAGGATTTCTTGTTTGATTAGTGGTTCAGTAATAATGTCAATGTTCTGAGAGGCTGGTTGAATATCTGGGGGATTTTCAGGATCAGGTCTGTTCAAGAGGTCGGAGAAGTGTTTAGTCCACTGCATGCCTTGTTTTGGTTCTGTGGCGAGCAGTCTGCCTTGGTTATCTCTGATAGGTATGCTGTGATAATTGTTTCTGTTTCCCCAAATTTGCTGGGTAATTTTGTGTTGCAGGAGTTTATCCCTCGATGTGATGTTCTGGTGGGGTAAAACGTCAAGTCAATTTATGCCTGATGTGCCTAAGGCATAAAAAGGGTCAAAAGAAGAAGAAAAGAAGAACAAACCTTATTTCCAAAGGATCACAAATTTGGCACACAGGCCAGTCTTACATTTGGTTCTTCCAAAAACTCATCTTTGACAAAACAATTGTATATTATAAATAAAGCATGCTATATGCTTCTTCTTCTTATAGTTCCTGCCGAGTGGTGTTGGTAGTCATGTCTATCCACAACCTTCTGTCTCATGTACTTTCAATATATTCTGACAAAGAAGATCTTCCATGTCATGATGTCAAACTGTTCAGCACTTTTTCCTCTTGGTCTCCCTCCAACTTTCCCATCCTCACGATGTACTCCAGTTATCTCCTTCTCATGACAGGACCCACACACAAAAAAAGAAGACTGTTCACTTCTGAAGTGGACAAACAGTTCTCTTCATGAGTGAGTTTTTTTTTTTTTTTGTGTGGAGACATCTTTATTACTCTTTTTATCTTCTAGAGTATTCTCCTCCTTCATTTATAAAACCATATCTCCACTGCTTTGAAACAGTTTTTCACTAATCCTCCAACTGTCCATTATTCACTTCTGTACATCAGAATAGTATTTATTCAGCTTTTGAGAGTTTTCTTTTTGTTCTTATTAATAAAGAAAGATTACAAATAATATTTTTTCACTCTGTAAAATGCTTCTTGTACTTGAGCTGTGTGCATATATCAAAATTCACCATATCAAGATCATTATGTAACAGGTCTTGCATTTGGAACATCTATTGTTCCTTTCCCAATTGCCCTGCTCAAGTTTTCACAACCCATCATGTCTTCAGTATCTGTGTTTGCTTAACCTTGCCTTTTCTTCCAGGCACCAAATCTTTCACCAATGCTCTCTTAAAGCCACTGATATTTAATAAGTCAAAAGTATTGCTTTCTGAGACATGATGCCATTTGTGAGCCAGTTTTCTTTAAGCCAAAGATCTTTTACAATGGTAATCTGGTAGTACTGGATGTAACCTTTGTCATGAGAAGGTGGGAGTTAAGCCTTTTTTCCTTATTTCAATGGCACACAACACTACTTAGTCCAGTGACTACCATGATCACATGTTATGTCATTGGAAGACATTTACATATGGCTACCAAGATCACACCCCCTGCAAACGTAACTTTGGATGTTTAAATTGTGACATTTGTGACAAATGTAGTTGAAGCTGTTATCCATTCATTCTTTAAGAGAAACAACTTGGTGTTGCTTAAAGTAAATTTTCCATTAATTTGTTGGTATTGTGGAACAGTTTGGGGAGAATTTCTCAGGCTATAGGATATTTTCTTGATTGTTTTAAATTGGAAAGTGAAGGTGAACTTATTTCTGACCAGTTTGATGACTGTGACTTTGATAATTCTTATGCCATCAAAAACACAGCTGAAACTTAAAGACGATGATTCACATGCAGCAGAGGGTAGGTAAAGTTACAATGGTTTGTGTAAACTGTTTCATATATGTGCTTCAGCTGTACTGTCAGATGTGACGGTCAGGGTATTACGGCCTTCTTTTGTGTATTATGGCTCTGTGGCTGAAAATTGAATGAAAATAATTTCACAGTGCAATCGTTGATGTTTACCAGGGTGCAATTCTGTGATGGGCAGTTTGGGAAAATATTGTTGTTTGGGTTTTTTTTTTTTTAAGTTTGAAGATTCAGTCAAACTGTAACACAAGATCTTGGTGCAAAATGGCAAACAGGCATTAAATTTGCAGAACTGTTATTTCACAGTTAGGTAGAGCTGTCATCCAACCTGGTATATATATTATCTATTATTATGTGTAGGATGTTTTTAGGAAGAGAAAGTTGATCTCCCTAATCCTTTACATCATGGAGTGTAGACCAGTTGGTTACCCTAAATGGCAGAGCATCTTGAATTTACTGGCAGTTTTTCAGTCTTTGTTGGAAAGCACAACATGAGGGGGGCAGAAACTGGAAAGTTTTATGGGTTATCATCTGAGATAACAACCACATTAGAAGTCACCATAACATTATTCTACATAAGCATTATCATGTGTCATTCATCCACTAGTCTCAGTGTGTATTATAATAATGAGATTACTCCAGGTTATAGATGTATGCTGAGAGATTACTCCAGGTCATAGATGTATGCTGAGAGATTACTCCAAGCTTTATAATGCTTAATTTCATGAGGCAGGCCTAGTTTATGTAATAGTTAAGTATGATACAGTCCAGTTTGTGTGATATTTAGGTATGGCACAGTTCAGTCTGTGTGATATTTAAGTATGGCACAGTCTAGTTTGTATGTTATTTAAACATGGTAAGATCCAGTATGAATGATTCTTACATAAAGTAGATTACTGACAAAATAAATTGTACAGAGAAGGACATACCTGCTTTCAGAATATGCTTCCAGTTATAGGGTTCTGATGTCGACAGTACATCCAAACATTTGACAGCACTGTCTCGTTTAGCTTCTTCCTCATCTGACAGCATTTCTAAAAAACCCAAAAAATAAATTCATCATCACAGTAATCACCACAGTCATCATCACAGTCATCATCATCATCATTCAACTTTCATGTGGGTTGGAATGCTCTGTTCCTTACTTTTTAACTGTACAGCTCTTCTAATTATGAACTGCTTAAAGATCTTTCCTAAAAGTATATTCCTTTCCATTACTGTGTCATTACTTTTACTCTTGTCTTACAGGTGTATTACTTTCACTTTTGTCTTACAGGTGTATAACTTTCACTCTTGTCTTACAGGTGTATAACTTTCACTCTTGTCTTACAGGTGTATTACTTTCACTCTTGTCTTACAGGTGTATTACTTTCACTCTTGTCTTACAGGTGTATTACTTTCACTCTTGTCTTACAGGTGTATTACTTTCACTCTTGTCTTACAGGTGTATTACTTTCACTCTTGTCTTACAGGTGTATTACTTTCACTCTTGTCTTACAGGTGTATTACTTTCACTCTTGTCTTACAGGTGTATAACTTTCACTCTTGTCTTACAGGTGTATTACTTTCACTCTAGTCTTACAGGTGTATTACTTTCACTCTTGTCTTACAGGTGTATAACTTTCACTCTTGTCTTACAGGTGTATTACTTTCACTCTTGTCTTACAGGTGTATTACTTTCACTTTTGTCTTACAGGTGTATAACTTTCACTCTTGTCTTACAGGTGTATAACTTTCACTCTTGTCTTACAGGTGTATTACTTTCACTCTTGTCTTACAGGTGTATAACTTTCACTCTTGTCTTACAGGTGTATTACTTTCACTCTTGTCTTACAGGTGTATTACTTTCACTCTTGTCTTACAGGTGTATAACTTTCACTCTTGTCTTACAGGTGTATTACTTTCACTCTTGTCTTACAGGTGTAAAACTTTGCTGGACATTCATGAGTTGGCTGTTAACCCCGGGTTTTGGCGAGACAGTGAGATTCAGGAAGAATTTACAGCATGCTGGATAATCCTGTGGTAGCTTGAGTCAGTCACTTTCAGTCAGTCTTAAGTGTGTGGACGTGTTCAAGTCCTGTTTACGCATGGACTTTGTTGTGTGGCAGTTTTAACAATTTACTGTATTCTGTTAGAGCTCGGGTAAACTGTATGGATGACTGTGTGAATCATGAGTTGGACTTCAGGATACTGTCAATGTGATTTTCTAGAATGGACAGTTGAGCGGCCCAAGTAAGTTAGGGGTCGGCACAATTAAGGCTATGTGGCACGCTGACTGACGGGGTGTCCTAAGGTGGTACAGAAGGTGCTGTGTTGGCCAGCATGGAGTTGTGATGAGTTGAAAGTTCTGAAAGCTGGTCTACAGAGGGCAGAGTCTCTTAGCTGCTAGACTGCTGTGGTTAAATGGAGCTTGATTAGTGACACTTCAATGAGTGACTGGGTAGTAGATGGGAGGTCTGGATTCTTTTCACCAAGTGGTGCATCTACATTTGGTCCTCGGGTGGCAGGGTCTCTTAGAGGAAGAACTGTCAGAGAACTGTCGTATCATGTAGGTGCGCGATCTGCATGATCAGGCGTGAGTCCCCTGTAGCAGGCACCTATACATAGTTCATCGGGGTGTTTTGTCCATGTTCTGGAGACTGCTGATGTTTGTGAAGTTTTAGGTAGTTGAGTCACTGATCACAAATTCATTGTCGCAATGCATCCGTCCATAATAAAGAGACTGATGGCACTATAAGACCATACCAGGCGAGGTGTAGTGTATTACGCTGTTCTTAGACAGTACTAATGGTTATGAGAGGACATGTCACCTGTGCCAGATATACTATGGTTGTTAAAAAGTTACTTGTCTCTGGGTTATTGTGGTGTTCCAGTTTGGATTAGCCTTCCTTAACTCCAGTTATAATCACCATCAGTATGTTCCGTGCCAAGGACAGCAGGCAGCCATGGTTCATCAGTTGATGGAGCCCTGTGTGTATGTGTGTAGGACTGACATTTATAAACAATACTAGATACTTGGCAAGTGTGAGATGCCTTCCCCAAATGCATGCTACAATTACTTTTCCTTATTCTGTCCTAATAGTGTATTAATTGCACTCAAAAAGGTATAAAGATTGTTACACTTGAGTATACACAAACCTTCAGATAGAAAGTGTCCGTAGAACAGCTGTCCAGGAGTCTTGTACCAGAAGTTTCAGTTAGACATTCCTAAGGTAACAATAGTAACAAATAACATAAAGTACAACAGCATTACTGTCATAGATGATGGCAACAGAACTACTGAACTGGGTATTGGAATGACTAGGGAAGGCTACTCTAATGTGATAGGTGTCATGGACAATGTCTGACTACACATGGCACTGTTGGATGGGTTCTGGGGCCCCATTTAGGGGGTGGGGGTGAACAGACCCACTGCCATCCTAACAAGCATGTCGTAAAAGGGTTATCTTCTGCAGTCAAAGTGTATCTAAAAAACCAACAGTCTGCATATAATTTAGTTCTGTTTGATGTGGACGCAAAACTCAAGTTCTGGAGCAAGACAAAAGTCCAAAAGGTGGAAAATCGACTAGAACTTTTCCACCAAGGTTTACAGCTGGTAAACGTGAAGATGGAGAAGAAGAAGGTGGTTGAGACTAAAAGAGTTAAATAGACAGCCTCTCCAATTTAGTTCTTAAGATTCAACAATATATGAAACTGTACTTACCCACTAAAATGTCCCATACAGGAATATCTGGATGGTTTAGTTTAGTGAGATAACCCAGCACATTCGTGTGAAAATGGAGTGTGGCCAGAGAAACTAGACTGTTTAGCTTGGAGTCCTTCATTCTGATTTCTGCCTTCAGTTCAATCAAACACCTGACGACAGACAGGGCACCAGACGTAGCTGCCAGAAGCAAGGGCGTGGAATGAAACCTATGAGTGGGAATTATGAGAATTAAACACAGCCAAAATTATGTGCATCACAACTCAAAGCAGTATGTTTTATTTTTTCTACATTTGTCCTTGAAAGTGTGGTTGTGTTGTGGTTTATAGCTAGGCTGTGATGACCTGTGTCTTTCAGCCCAATATATCAGATTTCAGCAGATCGTTAATTAGTCACTTGTTTGATATCCAATTTATGTATCCACGGCGATATGTTTTATAGCACAGAGAAATCTGTTCCATAATTTATGTTTTCTAAATTCATTTGTTTTTAATTTAATGCAGGGCAGTTTGTTATCTGATTTCTTTATCCGTTCCTCTTTTATGACAGGACAACTTTTTATCTTGTTTCCATCTTCCCTAGCTATTTTTCTACTACTAGAAGGCAACTTGTTTCTGTCTATCACAGCCATTCCTCTTTCCCCAGGGCAACTTATTATCTTGTTTTGGGAAAGCCACAGGAATATTTGTATTTGTGTGTGGCAGCACAGCTTATTATTATCTATGTAGTCTACAGGCTTTAATGACCCATAAGGCATCTCATTTGTGGGGGTGTAGTGTTAAAGCACTTCCTACCAACAAAACAACAGAAGATAGAGCAGTAAGGCTGATACCAACAGATTAATCTAGTGAATTATACTAAGAAGCTCAATGGTGATCAGATGGGAAAAAAAAGGGTAGTGGGGGGAGTCCCATACACACAGAAACAGTCAGATATTTTGATAGAAGATTTTATCAACAAACACTACAATAAAAAGGAGGAGAGTACTGGCCACAAGTCTCCACACAGGTCGGTTATGTGAATGACTTGTATCCACACAGGTCAGTCATGAGAATGACTTGTCTTCACACAGGTCGGTCATGTGAATGACTTGTCTCCACACAGGTCGGTCATGTGAATGACTTGTCTCCACACAGGTCGGTCATGTAAATGACCTGTCTCCACACAGGTTGGTCATGTGAATGACTTTAAAAAGGAAAACCTGCAGAAAGGAACAACACAACACACAACACAACTGCCAAACAACACAGCCAGGAGTGATGTATAGTTGTCATTAGTCCAATTTCTTTTAGAAAGAACCAGATTTTCGAACCCATGGAATTCATGTTACAAAAGAGAAATTGGCAAGAGGACGAAAATGGCTGTTTACCACTCTACCTATGTACCAGTCCTGACCTATGGGTGTGAGTCATGGGCAATGACAACAGTTCACTGAAGCCAGCTGCAGGCCTCGTAAATGAGATATCTGAGAAAGGTGGTCCAAGTGACAAGAAGGGACAAACTCCGCAATCAGACAATACATCAAGATCTTGATACCCAGTCCTTACAAATCCGAGTGGATCAGTCACAGTTACGATGGGTGTTGAATGGGAGAAAATTGGCCACCATGGCAGGCATGGGAGGCTAAGAACCAGGGAACCAGACCTCCAGGACGACTCAGGGTGCGCTGGGAAGACAACATCCGACAGGCATTAACTGACAGAGGACTGGAATGGAACAAAGCCAGAAAGAAAACTGCTGATAGAGACGTCTGGCGATCTCTCTGGCTAGAAGAGGAGCGACTAAGTAAGTAAGTAAGTAAGTAAGTAATTCATGTTAACGAGTAGAAGTAATGATAGTAGTAATAACAGAAAAGCAGCAAAAGTAACGGCAATGATGATAATAATAGTAATTAGTTTTATTTAACTGATAATAAATCAATGATAATAATAGTAATTAGTTTTTTTTAACTGATAATAAATCAATAATAATAAACACAAGTAAAATTAAAGTATTAATAACATTATTTAGATGAAGGTGTGGTGAATAAACTATGAATAAGGTGATTTTCCAAACAGCAGTGTGTGGCTTGATCATAGGAGTAAGATTTTATGGCGTGGATACAGACTTGTTTTGTCTCTGTGGTCAGAGCTACTAAAAATGGAGAGAGACTGGTTTGACTGTCTCCTTGTGAATATCCCCAAGATGTTCATGAAACCAATCAGGCAACTTCCAGCTGATTTCCCTAGTGTTTGGCCTTTTTGCATCTTTTACAGATCTCTAAATGTGGCTAGAAAAATTTGTTACACCAGAATGGATCTTGGATCAACCCAGCCAAACAACACGTTACCTTGGATGTTACCATCCTTGCTGTTTGTTGGCACTTTCAGTCCCATGTTATCATTTTTGCTGTTCTTCCATAAACATTTTTTAAATCCATTTTCTTGATAACATTTGAAAATCTTCCTTGCAAACTGTGAGTTCTTTGAGCTTTTTCTCCTTCTGTTGATCTGTTTGTTTATGTTTATATATTGGATCCACATCGTGGTATACATGTGTAACTCATAAGTACTCCATTCTACTTCTAACTCAAGTCTGAGTCTGAAGATTTTCAGCGCGGTGCACGAACTCCGTTGCACCGGGGAGGATCCTGAAATACTATGGGTAGATTTTTAACTCAAAATTTTCCCCGGGCAGTGCCGTTAGGCTACTCTTTTCAATTTCCAACTGCCAAGGGATTTTTTACGTGTGCAACATTATCCAGGGGTGTAGGATATTACTACCCAGAAACTAGGGGGAAATTACAAGAAGTCCACGTAAAAAAATCCCAGTTTTCAGCCTTTGATCTTCCCACTTGTCCCAACCTTTTCCAGATCTTGTCTTCACATGTGACTACACTGATGATTAATCTCTTATTACAGTGTCCTCTTTTTTTGTTCCTTTTTATTGGATCCACATTTCTATATGTCACTACATCTGCTGGTTATTCACTGTTGTCTATTGATGGCTGGTTGGCCAGTCGATGTCAGTCAGTTTGTTGACCAGTCATGAGATGATGAGACAGTCTGTTTACTCTTTATATTCTTTATCTCCTACTTGGCTCTTGTTTTTCCTCAAATCTAGGACAAATCGATACAAACTGTGATATTTTCAAATCTGGGACAAATATATGCAAACTGTGAAACTATCAAATCTAGGACAAATATATACAAACTGTGAAACTATCAAATCTAGGACAAATCTATACAAACTGTGAAACTATCAAATCTAGGACAAATCTATACAAACTGTGAAACTATCAAATCTAGGACAAATCTATACAAACTGTGAAACTATCAAATCTAGGACAAATCTATACAAACTGTGAAACTATCAAATCTAGGACAAATCTATACAAACTGTGAAACTATCAAATCTAGGACAAATCTATACAAACTGTGAAACTATCAAATCTAGGACAAATCTATACAAACTGTGAAACTATCAAATCTAGGACAAATCTATACAAACTGTGAAACTATCAAATCTAGGACAAATCTATACAAACTGTGAAACTATCAAATCTAGGACAAATCTATACAAACTGTGAAACTATCAAATCTAGGACAAATCTATACAAACTGTGAAACTATCAAATCTAGGACAAATCTATACAAACTGTGAAACTATCAAATCTAGGACAAATCTATACAAACTGTGAAAATCTATCAAATCTAGGACAAATCTATACAAACTGTGAAACTATCAAATCTAGGACAAATCTATACAAACTGTGAAACTATCAAATCTAGGACAAATCTATACAAACTGTGAAACTATCAAATCTAGGACAAATCTATACAAACTGTGAAAACTATCAAATCTAGGACAAATCTATACAAACTGTGAAACTATCAAATCTAGGACAAATCTATACAAACTGTGAAACTATCAAATCTAGGACAAATCTATACAAACTGTGAAACTATCAAATCTAGGACAAATCTATACAAACTGTGAAACTATCAAATCTAGGACAAATCTATACAAACTGTGAAAAAAAAAATCTACTAGACCGGTGATTCGCTAATGGTGTTCTGCAGAACAAATCTGAGCAGCTGTGAAATCCCTGGACAAATAATATAGGCATGCAGCGCTATTTTTATGCAATTCTTCGTTTACCCCAATGGAGAATAGGTCCTGAACCAACTCAGGACAAGTTATTCTATCCTTTGTTATTGCATGCAGTTCACCTCTTGTTCTCTTTATCTTGTTTAACTTTATTCTCTAGCTCCCTTCACCATGTTTTGTTTTTTTAGGGGGGGGGGGGGGGGGTCGGCCTTAATTTCTATGCTTTTCTATACCGTTCTCAGGTTTTCTCAACACGAATCCTATCCAACGCCAGCAATGTATGTTTGTAACAGGACCCTCTTCCATCCCTTCATGTGTTTTGGGCATATAGGGCTAGACCTTTATTTTATAGACTAATCAGCACTTAGTGGGTGATGAGGTCAGTATCACGCCGCTCAAATGAATGTCTGTAGTTTTACAATTGTAATACAGATTTATTCTCAATTTTTTTTTTTTAAGGTCTTCCCTAACCCCACACTTTTAAAACTCAAATTATAAATTACATGTAAATCTGCGTAGTTGTGCAATTCTAATATAGATTTACTCTTTATTTATATTATTAATAGGATTATTTTTAAAAAAAATATGGGGTTCAGTGGCAAACCAGTAAAAATAAGAGTAGTATGAGAACTACTGTAGTAAGTGTATTAAAGATATACCAACTCCAAAAATACAATCATGAGCTAACAGAATGCTATCAGCACAGATTATATGCCTAATCAAAAAATCCTTGAATTCTATGCATTCTTATATTTTTTTTTTTTTAACAGTACACTACCTTAACTTTCTGTTTATTAAATGTTTATCTCATGAAATGTATATTTAAGACTTTAACCTTTAACCTACTCATTTTTAGTCTGCAGATCCAAAAGATCTGGGCTCTTCCGCACCAACAGTCTCACTATAATCTGGTGGTCAAAGAAGGCAGCGTAATGGATTGGAGCCCAGCCTTCTTGATCAAGAGCAATAATATTAGCATGGTTGGCCAGCAGACAGGAAACAGCGTCCAAACTGCCACATCGAGCTGCGACATGCAAAGCTGTAGGACCTAGACAATAGAAATCTTCATTCTTAGAAAACAAAACAAAAAAACTATTCCAAATCTGCTTAGCCGTTGGTCAGATTTCCCATATTACCATTTAAAATCCCTCACCCCCATTTAGAATCCTTCCCCACATTTAGAATCCCTCTTCACATTTAAAATCACTCACCCACATTAAAAATTCCTTACCCACATTTACAATCCTTCCCCCATATTAAGAATCCCTCCCCAAATTTAAAATTCTTCACACACACATTTAGAATTCCTCAACATATTCAGAATCCCTCTCTACATTCCCTGACCCATATTTAAAATCCTTTCGCTACTACAGTTGATAAGTATTCTGCCTGTCACACGGGTGATAGGTGTACAATTCCCCGGCGAGTTGTTTGTCTGCTTGTGTATCTGCGTGTGTGTGGGTGTGCGCCTGTGAATGTATGCGTGGGTGTGCACCTGTGAATGTATGCGTCTGTGTGTCTTGTGTATATGTCTGAATGTGTGTGCACGCATATGTCCACGTGTATGTGTCAGTATGAATTTGTGTATGTGTGTGTGTGTTTCTGTGTGTTTAAGTGTGCTCCTTTGTTGTGTATGTGTGTGTGTGACTGGATATATGTGGCTGTGTATATGTGACTGTGTATATGTGTTTGTCTACATGTGTGTGTCTAGGTGTTTGTCTGCATGTCTGATGTGACTGTGTATGTCTGCTTGGGTGTCCCCGTATGGGTTTGTCTGCATGTTTGCCTTTGTATATCTATGCTGACCGTGTGTGTCTATGTGGCTGTATGTATATGTCCTTGTGTGTGGGTGTCTATATGTTTGTCTGTGGGAGTGTATGTATCTGCGTGTGTCTGTCTGTGTGCATGTGTCGATGTGTGTGTCTGTCTGTGTATGTCCTTGTGTGTGGGTGTCTGTATGTTTGTCTGTGTGAGTGTATGTGTCTGCGTGTGTCTGTCTGTGTGCGTGTGTCGATGTGTGTGTCTGTCTGTGTGCATGTATCTATGTGTGTGTATTGTGCGCGTGTGTCTGGTGTATTTGTCAATGGGTGTCTTTGTGTGTGTCTCTTTGTTGCGTGTATGTGTCTGCATGTCAGAGTATATTTCTGTGTGTGCTGTGTATATGTGTCTGCGTGTGTATTTCTATGTGTTTGTCTGAGTGTGTGTGTCTGTGTGTGTTTGTCTGTGTATGAATTTCTGTGTTTGTCTGTGTGGGTGTCAGTATGTGTTTGTCTGCATGATTATCTGTATTTTTGTGTGGGTGTTTGATTGCATGTGTGTCTATGTGGCTGCATGTTTGTCTACGTGAGTGTATGTGTCTGTGTATGTATGTGTGTATGTATGTGTGTGTGTGTCAGTGTGTGAGCATGTATGTATATATGTCTGCTGTGTGTCTCTGTGTGTGTGTTTATGTGTGTTTTTGGGAGTGCAGGTATGTGCATGTGTGTGTCTCCATGCATGCCTGAATGTATATATGTATGTATGCATGCATGTATGTGTGTGTAAGTGAGTGGGTGATCGTATGTGGGTGTATGTATGTGGGTCTGTGTATTCACGCACGGGTTTTTGCATGCACTTTACAACTCATGCTTTTGTGTTCTTTTATAATATTCATAATATGCATATCATCATATGATCATAACATGCTTTATAAGTAAAATACAACTGCTGTGCCAAAGATGGTTGACTGGAAGAGTCGAATGTAAGACGGGCCTGCGTGCCCAATTTGTGAGTCTTTGAAAATAAAGTTCGTTCATTCGTTCCATCATCCCCCCCTCCCCCCCCCCCTCCTACCTCCCATTTTAAAAATCCCTTATCCAGATTTAAAATCCCTATCCACATATAGAATTTCTCCCACATTTAGAATTCCTCACAAAATTTAGAATCCCTTTCCACATTTAGAATATCTTGCCACATTTAAAATACCTCACCCACATTTAGAATCCATCTCTCCATATAGAATCCATCTCTCCATTTAGAATCCATCACCCACTTTAGAAATTACTTACCTACATTTAGAATCCCTTCCCGCACAAAAAAACATGCTTAAACAGTTTCAGATGGTGAGTGGCATGTCTTCTTCAGGATATTTACCAACCAAACCCAATATTCATGGACTTTTTGTGTAATCCAGAAATGACAGAGAAATAGAAATGAAGGACAAAATAATGTGAATAACAAAGATTCAAAAATTTGACATGTCAGTAAATACTGGGATTAGTTTATGATTCCCTAAATAGGATAGGTAAAAAACCTTTCTTTTGTTGTGTTTTTTCTAGGCAATTTTAAGTTTAGTAGTTTGTCACTGCTTTCTGAATGGTACTATGCTCATACATGTCTACCAACACCACACGGCAGGGAGTACAAGAAAGTTGTGGAGGGACATGACTGCCAACACCACACGGCAGGGAGTACAAGGAGGTTGTGGAGGGACATGTCTGCCAACACCACACAGCAGGGAGTACAAGAAGGTTGTGGAGGGACATGTCTGCCAACACCACACAGCATTGAGTACAAGAAGGTTGTGGAGGGACAAGTCTGCCAACACCACACAGCAGGGAGTACAAGAAGGTTGTGGAGGGACATGTCTGCCAACACCACACAGCAGGGAGTACAAGAAGGTTGTGGAGGGACATGTCTGCCAACACCACACAGCAGGGAGTACAAGGAGGTTGTGGAGGGACATGTCTGCCAACACCACACAGCAGGGAGTACAAGAAGGTTGTGGAGGGACATGTCTGCCAACACCACACAGCAGGGAGTACAAGAAGGTTGTGGAGGGACATGTCTGCCAACACCACACAGCAGGGAGTACAAGAAGGTTGTGGAGGGACATGTCTGCCAACACCACACGGCAGGGAGTACAAGGAGGTTGTGGAGGGACATGTCTGCCAACACCACACAGCAGGGAGTACAAGAAGGTTGTGGAGGGACATGTCTACCAACACCACACAGCAGGGAGTACAAGAAGGTTGTGGAGGGACATGTCTGCCAACACCACACAGCAGGGAGTACAAGAAGGTTGTGGAGGGACATGTCTGCCAACACCACACAGCAGGGAGTACAAGAAGGTTGTGGAGGGACATGTCTGCCAACACCACACAGCAGGGAGTACAAGAAGGTTGTGGAGGGACATGTCTGCCAACACCACACAGCAGGGAGTACAAGAAGGTTGTGGAGGGACATGTCTGCCAACTCAAGAATTTTATTGATTAAAAAACTGCTGGTTCAATTATAAATTAAAAATAAAATAAAATAAAAACAGTTAACAACAGAAAATGTAACAAGAACAACAGAATTTTTATTATTAACATTAACGTAAGATACCATCACACTGTCCTCGATAGACACTTCCTTTTGATACCATTTTTGGAAACACAACTGCCAAGCTACTCTTAGTAGACATTTTGGGAACCTTCCTATAAGCTAGAACATAGACACATTACATACAAATAATAATATTATCATGGGACAGGTAAACTTTAACACAATCTATTACCATGTGGGTTAGACGGCCCCATTTTGGCAGAAAAAAAAATTAATTAACTGCCCATGTTCAGAAAGGTGACTTATTAGGGGTTCTTCCTTCAAGAGGCAAGGAACCAACAGTCTGCACACAAATAAGACAGATCTGTAAAATATTCTGGAACAAATATTCAAAAGTAGGCGGCGAATGACCAAAAGTAGGCGAATGACTAAAAATAGGCAAATGACCAAAAGTAGGCGAATGACCAAAAGTAGGCAAATGACCAAAAGTAGGCGAATGACCAAAAGTAGGCAATTGACCAAAAGTAGGCAAATGACCAAAACTAGGCAAATGACCAAAAGTAGGCGATTGACCAAAAGTAGGCGATTGACCAAAAGTAGGCAAATGACCAAAAGTAGGCGAATGACTAAAAAAAGGCGAATGACCAAAAGTAGGCGAATGACCAAAAGTAGGCAAATGACCAAATGTAGGTGAATGACCAAAAGTAGGCAAATGACCAGAACTTTCCCCTAGGTGTATCCAGCCCATGATGGTAAATAAAAATAAAAATAAGAAACAGTTCAAGAAAGTTTAAAAATTACCAGCTGGGCATCGAGTTGATGTGGTGTAAAATGTTAGATAAAAAGCAGTTAAATACATTTCAAAGGTTAAACTGCTAACCTCTTTTTTGGGGGGGGCCACAAACAGGACGGTGTGTCTAAAGGCACTGCTGCTACCCTACAGCATGTCCTTCAATGTAGCTCTGTTGGACCAGATCCCTAACCTCTGCCGGGAGTAGTTGAGGCAATCCTGCACAACATGCCCAGGAGTCTGCCGGGAGTAGTTGAGGCAATCCTGCAGTACATACCCAGGAGTCTGCCGGGAGTAGTTGAGGCAATCCTGCAGTACATACCCAGGAGTCTGCCGGGAGTAGTTAAGGCAATCCTGCAGTACATACCCAGGAGTCTGCCGGGAGTAGTTGAGGCAATCCTGCAGTACATACCCAGGAGTCTGCCGGGAGTAGTTGAGGTAATCCTGCAGTACATACCCCTTCCTACATCAGAAACAACACTCCAGCCACATATACCAGATCTATAAACCTGTCACAAACCTCTGGGTGACCTTGCTGGTCCGTGGCTCAACACGCACACCCTACAGTGTGGTCCATTCTGCCACTGAACGTACTCACAGGGTTGTGACAAAACCACTAATCAGTAGCGGGTGTGGTGTTAGTTGAGAACTGTAATTCTGGGACATCATATTTAATAAATACACTTTCTGCACTGGTTTTTGTGTTTGATTAGCTGTCAAGTGGGTTGTGAAACAATTTCCACTCTTCTGGCGGGCCACGGTTGTAAAAATGTTGAGGAACACAGCACTAGACAACACAGTAATTGAAAGCTGTAGTTACCTTGCCAGGAATCAAACTTGTCACCTCCAAATAACAAGAGCGCTTAGCCGCAGCAACAAGAGCGCTTAGCCGCAGCAACAAGTGCATTCTTTGATCAACTAGGCACCCTTTATTAATTTTTGTTTAATTTTTTGGGGGGAGAATGAAAAAAATAAAAATGAAGAGATATACTCACCCCCAGCCAAATAATTGTTGCGACAGACATTAACATTGACAGAGCTCAGCAGCAGACGGCTAATGATCTGTGGGCGGTTGTGCATGGCTGCATGATGAAGCAGTGATAAACCTTGCTCATCCTCTTTTCCGATTCCATGTTTAGATCCTGAAATTTTCCGCGTTAAGAAAGAGAATATGGACAGCATGCCTCGCTGAGCACAGATTTTCACTCCTGATGCTGGCGTCTGCAACAAGATAATAATGAGAATGTCACATAGAGGCTAAAGATGAAATAAGTTCAATAACAGGCTTGCAAGGCACACAAAAAGGAACTCCCATACTTTTAGGATAATACAAAATAAAGCGGAAAATTTTCCAATACAAATAAACAGTTTTATAATATAGATGTTCATGGAAATGTTAAAGATCCATGTATGTAAACACAGATGTACCGATAAAAACAGGAGAAAAACATAGATTTGTATTTTATTTGTGTCTTCCTGCTTTGTCTGTAATTTAGAATATTAAATTATTCTGTTCAAACATCTATTCTCACTTTGTATTTAAGTGCTTTTTTCAAGCCGAAATTCTTTTTAAAATGTTCCAACATCTGTATTTCTGTGATTGGTAGTCTGCCTGGCCTCAACCTGTCCATTTCATCAGAATAGGCTCGAACCCAGAGTGGCCTAAACGGTGTCATGCCATAGTAGGTCTCAAAATCTATTACAATGGCATAGTACCTGGAAAAAAAAGAGAAATGACAATAATGTGTTATATAAAGTTTCTAGAGTATATTATGATGCTACAGTGAGTGTCAGCATGTTTCACAATGGCATAGTGCCAACAGCATCTAAAACTTTGGTTTGTTATGAAACATTTTTTAACGTGTTTTTTTCTCCTCCTCTACTGCAGTCTGTAAAATCTCAAGGATGAGAATCAAACAGGTAGAAATCCCAGAAACCACCATTCAGCTGTACAGCCATACTGCACAGTTATATTGGAGCACCACGATAGGGTCAGGAAGTAACCCCTAGGGCTGTGCAGCACAGGTTGTAAACTAATGAGACATCGCAGTGGTGAGCGTGTAGAGAGAATAGCAGACAACAGACAGATTTTAAAAAATGTTTATGCAAGAGCTGAATAGAAGCAGACAAAGAAGACAGCGAAGAGCTAATATTGAGGCAGACCTACAAACACTTAAGAATCACTAATTGGAAAGTGACCAAAAGCAAAGATGAAATAAGGTAGGCAAGATCTGCAGCAATCAACCTTAAAGGCTAGGAAAGCTGAAGAATAAGATAGTGCTTAACTGGAAAAACAAAAACCACATATGACCACAAATTTCATTCTTATACTGGATCTAGAAATCAATTTCCTTTTGACAGCCCAGGGGTGCAGGGTTGTCTATTTATGGTAGTTTAGTCAGGTTGACTTGTCAGGGCTTCTAATGGAGCACTGATGCGCGATGCAAAACTCTTAATGTCTCTTAGCCTCTCTTGCTCAAGCCTACCCCACCTTCACATGGTGGACCCTGTTCTCCTCGGGTTATCAAGTAGAAAGGTGGGGTTTCAACTCCAGGCAGGAAATTGGATGGGACTACAAGATGAGTGCATGGTGCAACAATGTGACTATGAATTCCATAGGTAAACGCTTTTATCTGTGCTCCCGGACATGTGTGTTGTAAACTGCATAATCAAAAAATTGCGAGCGGCTGGTTGCCAACGAACTTTGGTGTGCCTTATGCAGTTATGCATGCACCTGCTGGTTTGTCATGACTCCAGCATCCATCAGCTACAAATTAAAATTTCGCGGTGTGGGCTCCACATTGTGAGAAAAAAATTTATAACAGACCCTCTGTCTCTCTTAGAAGCATGTCATAAAAGTCGACTAATTAGGCATATTCCTTTGAAGTCAGAATGCATCTGCCTGAGAAGGGAGAAAGCAACAATCTGCATACAAATAAGCCAGATTGTTAAAATGTATGCGCACACAAAACTCAAGTTTTGGAACAAGAGCTGGACAAACAACCAGAAGTTTCCGCCAGTGTTGTTTGCAGCCACTGAACAGCTCCCACTTTTTTCACCACTTCACAAAATTGTCAATATAATTTTAAACAATTTTATAATAATAAACGCCCAATCTTTAATAGCTAATTAACATTCAGAGAGAACATTCTTTCACCACAAACTTCATGTCCATTAAGGGTAAATCAAATTCAAATCCACAATATCTTTGCCATAATAGGAATACAGCTATTTCCTCAACACTTTTCTGCAGTTTACTTCACTGAACCTTTTTCTTCTGATACATTTGCCCTTAAAAACACGGTTAGCACATTGTGTTGTGGTTTACAGCTAGACTGCAATATCTGTGTCTTTCGACAATAAATATTCAATTTAAGCAAATCTTTAATTAGTAGCTTTTTACACCATGCTTGTTAAGGGGCAGTGGCTATGTAGCACTGCTCTCTTCTTCGTTGCGTATGTTCTTGTCAGACCCAGGTTCGTTTTTAGGTTTGCTACAGGAGGAGTCGATTTGGAAGATTATAGACGAGGAGAAAGATGGTCGTGTCGATAGTGGCAATGATAAGGATGATGTCTTGCAATCTGTATGTTTCTCACGTGCACTATAATGCTTGAATAACAAAACATCTGGTAACAACTGCTCAAGTTCTCTGAATTGCCTCCTTCTTTAATTTAAGATTACAACCATATCACAAAAATAGAGAAAAATTCACACTGTTGTCCATTGACTCTAAAACCTTGTAGATTCGGGTTGTGTTCTATAATTAAACTATTTCTAGTGTCTCAAACTGCCACCGGGCTACTAGTGCAGATTAACCTAACACATCTTTTTAACTTCTTCTTCTTTGTTACATTGGGAAATCCCCAGGTGATCCGGCTCACATTGTATTGGTTGCAATACTCTAAGAAGTGTCACAAGATCAAACAAATCACATACTCTATACACTAATTTCTTTTAACTACTGCCTAAGGTCTGGCCACATCTTCATCTGACTCTGAAGACGAGTCCACGCCAGAATCTGTATCGAGCGATACTCGGTGGAAATAAATATCAGTTTCCCGTACTAAATATCGGTACAGCCGGGCCGTTCCATCGTCATTTGTTAGGACGATAGTAATCTCTTGGAATGGGCCATAGCTTCTAACAGTAATTCGGATTGAATACATGTATACCTTTGAAACTGACCAGTACTTCGCTCTACTATTCGTCTGGCTCTAAGTCTAGCCTGTCCTCTGGCCTGTCCTCTGTTATCCTCTTTCTTCTGTCACTGCTCAACTATCCTCTGTAGTTCGTCTCGTGTTCGTCTGTCCTGACTGTGCGTGCGTCTGCCTGAGTCTGTGAGCTCCAATCCCTGAATCTAAGTCTATCTATTTGTCTATCTATCTGAGCAAACCGCTCTCTCTGTTTGTGTCCCTCTATCTATCTGAGCTAAGCGCTCTCTCTGTGTGTCCCCCCGAAGGTTCCGGGCAATCGCTTATAAAGGGGCCACTAGGGGGCTCCTACCCCTCCTTGTTTTGCAGCTAGTGCAATCACCTGAGCTGGCCGGGTCTGTAAAATTTTGATTAATTACTTTGGACATTGGACGGGGAGAGTCACATGTCAGATCATGCGATTCTTAGTACATGGGAAACAAGAGTATCGACTAATGGAAAGTTTTACAATAAGGGTGAAAACGACCAGGGTCATACCGTACAAACAATGCAATACTAATAAAAGGGGGGGTTGCGGAAAGGGGTTGGGGTGCGGACTCTGCTACAGCTATATTCTCCCCCCCCCCCCCCCACCCCCTCCCCCACCCCCCAAAGAAGAGGACTCTTGAACCCCACACAGAAATCACTTAACCACTTTTTCTTCACAACACAATCATTCGACATTTTGAGTTAGACGCTCTACATCAGGACCATTCACCTAAGTTTGCTCAGGGGCCACAATTGATAACACTGGGATCGCCATGGGCCACAGGCCCGACCCTTTCGCATAGACATCATCAATACAATACAACTAGCAATAATATGAGGGCCCCCTTGTTAGGCCTCTAAGGGCCAGAATTGACCCATGGGCCACCAGTTGAATAGCCCTAATCTATATGAAGAAGATGAAAAAAAACAAAAAAACATTATGATTTCAATCACACATGATCACAAATTAAAACTCACAACTTATTATCGATAGTGCAAACTGGTATGTTATAATGTTCCTTGTCAATGTTTTCTATGTACATCTGGTGTGAAAGTTCACGCACGGCCATCTTTACAACTTCTGCGTGCCGTCTGCCAAACTCTTCTGCTGCTTCAATAACTGAATCTGTTTCTATATCAAATGAGATTCCTGAAAACAGTTACAAATGTCAGTTTCAAAATCTACATATAAAATTTAATATAATCTACATGTATGTGGGGGTGGAGAGGGTTGACACAAACTGGATTCACTAGTTTGAGCAACCCCTATGCCACATCTGCAGATAGCACCATAACAGAACTACTACTCAGCTAAGTCAATGACAGACACAAAAAATACTGCTGTCGAGGGGCAATTTTGCTAACAAAGCTAAGGAGACTAATTAAGAATACAGAGCAGTGTTTTCCAATTATTTTTAGCCCAACGCCCTCTTTTCAATTAATTACTCCTTGGAAATTTTATAATCACCATTATGTGCCACGCCAATTAGCACAGGGATCATTTTTCGCCATCCCACACGATCTGCAGGATTGCGGATCTGGTCAGTGCTCTTGTCCTACCCCCATGCATGTGACCAAGACATCATGGTACTTTTTTATTTGCCTTCTCCTTACCCTCTCTGCCATCAGTTTGCTTAGTGTTCCTAATTCTTTATTGTCTCAGTGGACTGAGATTGTTCAGGTGTGCGGGATAATGAGGAGACTGATAGATCGTCTGGTGCAGCTCCTCTGGGTGGTGAGCTACATTATTATCAAGCGAAAGTGGTGAAGGCTTTCTGGGATCAAGTGGAGAGTGCAGCAGAACAGATCTAGTATCCATACATTTATTTAGCAGAGGGTCTGAAAGATATTCAACACTGAACGGAAAACATAAGTGGACCTTTTAATCAGGTTGCAAGATTTACTACTAGCATATTGATTCTTCACTGGCTATTGAGGAAGGAGACAAAGCACATGCAGGAATGTCCTAAGTGCAGGAATGTAAATTCTTGATTCCTTCATCAGTGGACTAAGACCAGTGCTGGTGTTTCTTCACCTTAGTCTGTAGACTGAGACCAGTGCTGGTGTTTCTTCACCTTAGTCTGTAGACTGAGACCAGTGCTGGTGATTCTTCACCTCAATTAGTAGACTGAGACCAGTGCTGGTACTTCTTCACCTCAGTTAGTAGACTGAGACCAGTGCTGGTGCTTCTTCACCCCAGTTAGTAGACTGAGACTAGTGCTAGTACTTTTTCACCTCAGTTAGTAGACTGAGATCAGTGCTGGTGCTTCTTCACCTCAGTTAGTAGACTGAGACCAGTGCTGGTGCTTCTTCACCTCAGTTAGTAGACTGAGACCAGTGCTGGTGCTTCTTCACCTCAGTTAGTAGACTGAGACCAGTGCTGGTGCTTCTTCACCTTAGTCTGTAGACTGAGACCAGTGCTGGTGCTTCTTCACCTCGGTCTGTAGACTGAGACCAGTGCTGGTACTTCTTCACCTCGGTCTGTAGACTGAGACCAGTGCTGGTGCTTCTTCACCTCAGTTAGTAGACTGAGACCAGTGCTGGTGCTTCTTCACCTCAGTTAGTAGACTGAGACCAGTGCTGGTGTTTCTTCACCTTAGTTAGTAGACTGAGACCAGTGCTGGTGCTTCTTCACCTCAGTTACTAGACTGAGACCAGTGCTGGTGCTTCTTCACCTCAGTTAGTAGACTGAGACCAGTGCTGGTACTTCTTCACCCCAGTTAGTAAACTGAGACTAGTGCTGGTGCTTCTTCACAGTTAGTAGACTGAGACTAGTGCTGGTGCTTCTTCACCTCAGTTAGTAGACTGAGACCAGTGCTGGTGTTTCCTCACCTGTCTGTAGACTGAGACTAGTGCTGGTGCTTCTTCATCTCAGTCTGTAGACTGAGACCAGTGCTGGTGCTTCTTCACCCTAGTCTGTAGACTGAGACCAGTGCTGGTGTTTCTTCACCCTAGTCTGTAGACTGAGACTAGTGCTGGTGTTTCTTCATCTCAGTCTGTAGACTGAGACCAGTGCTGGTACTTCTTCACCTCAGTCTGTAGACTGAGACCAGTGCTGGTGTTTCTTCACCTCAGTCTGTAGACTGAGACCAGTGCTGGTGTTTCTTCACCTTAGTTAGTAGACTGAGACCAGTGCTGGTGTTTCTTCACCTTGGTCTGTAGACTGAGACCAGTGCTGGTGTTTCTTCACCTTAGTCTGTAGACTGAGACCAGTGCTGGTGATTCTTCACCTCAATTAGTAGACTGAGACCAGTGCTGGTACTTCTTCACCTCAGTTAGTAGACTGAGACCAGTGCTGGTGCTTCTTCACCCCAGTTAGTAGACTGAGACTAGTGCTAGTACTTCTTCACCTCAGTTAGTAGACTGAGACCAGTGCTGGTGCTTCTTCACCTCAGTTAGTAGACTGAGACCAGTGCTGGTGCTTCTTCACCTCAGTTAGTAGACTGAGACCAGTGCTGGTGCTTCTTCACCTCAGTTAGTAGACTGAGACCAGTGCTGGTGCTTCTTCACCTTAGTCTGTAGACTGAGACCAGTGCTGGTACTTCTTCACCTCGGTCTGTAGACTGAGACCAGTGCTGGTGCTTCTTCACCTCAGTTAGTAGACTGAGACCAGTGCTGGTGCTTCTTCACCTCAGTTAGTAGACTGAGACCAGTGCTGGTGTTTCTTCACCTTAGTTAGTAGACTGAGACCAGTGCTGGTGCTTCTTCACCTCAGTTACTAGACTGAGACCAGTGCTGGTGCTTCTTCACCTCAGTTAGTAGACTGAGACCAGTGCTGGTACTTCTTCACCCCAGTTAGTAAACTGAGACTAGTGCTGGTGCTTCTTCACAGTTAGTAGACTGAGACTAGTGCTGGTGCTTCTTCACCTCAGTTAGTAGACTGAGACCAGTGCTGGTGTTTCCTCACCTGTCTGTAGACTGAGACTAGTGCTGGTGCTTCTTCATCTCAGTCTGTAGACTGAGACCAGTGCTGGTGCTTCTTCACCCTAGTCTGTAGACTGAGACCAGTGCTGGTGTTTCTTCACCCTAGTCTGTAGACTAAGACTAGTGCTGGTGTTTCTTCATCTCAGTCTGTAGACTGAGACCAGTGCTGGTGTTTCTTCACCTTAGTTAGTAGACAGACCAGTGCTGGTGATTCTTCACCTCAGTCTGTAGACTGAGAACAGTGCTGGTGTTTCTTCACCTTGGTCTGTAGACTGAGACCAGTGCTGGTGTTTCTTCACCTTGGTCTGTAGACTGAGACCAGTGCTGGTGTTTCTTCACCTTAGTCTGTAGACTGAGACCAGTGCTGGTGTTTCTTTACCTTGGTCTGTAGACTGAGACCAGTGCTGGTGTTTCTTCACCTTAGTTAGTAGACTGAGACTAGTGCTGGTGTTTCTTCACCTTGGTCTGTAGACTGAGACCAGTGCTGGTGTTTCTTCACCTTGGTCTGTAGACTGAGACCAGTGCTGGTGTTTCTTCACCTTAGTTAGTAGACTGAGACCAGTGCTGGTACTTCTTCACCTCAGTCTGTAGACTGAGACCAGTGCTGGTGTTTCTTCACCTTAGTCTGTAGACTGAGACCAGTGCTGGTGTTTCTTCACCTTAGTCTGTAGACTGAGACCAGTGCTGGTGTTTCTTCACCTTAGTCTGTAGACTGAGACCAGTGCTGGTGTTTCTTCACCTCGGTCTGTAGACTTAGACTAGTGCTGGTGCTTCTTCACCTTAGTTAGTAGACTGAGACCAGTGCTGGTACTTTTTCACCTTAGTTAGTAGACTGAGACCAGTGCTGGTACTTCTTCACATCAGTCTGTAGACTGAGACCAGTGCTGGTGTTTCTTCACCTCAGTCTGTAGACTGAGACCAGTGCTGGTGTTTCTTCACCTTAGTTAGTAGACTGAGACCAGTGCTGGTGTTTCTTCACCTTGGTCTGTAGACTGAGACCAGTGCTGGTGTTTCTTCACCTTAGTCTGTAGACTGAGACCAGTGCTGGTGATTCTTCACCTCAATTAGTAGACTGAGACCAGTGCTGGTACTTCTTCACCTCAGTTAGTAGACTGAGACCAGTGCTGGTGCTTCTTCACCCCAGTTAGTAGACTGAGACTAGTGCTAGTACTTCTTCACCTCAGTTAGTAGACTGAGACCAGTGCTGGTGCTTCTTCACCTCAGTTAGTAGACTGAGACCAGTGCTGGTGCTTCTTCACCTCAGTTAGTAGACTGAGACCAGTGCTGGTGCTTCTTCACCTCAGTTAGTAGACTGAGACCAGTGCTGGTGCTTCTTCACCTTAGTCTGTAGACTGAGACCAGCGCTGGTGCTTCTTCACCTCGGTCTGTAGACTGAGACCAGTGCTGGTACTTCTTCACCTCGGTCTGTAGACTGAGACCAGTGCTGGTGCTTCTTCACCTCAGTTAGTAGACTGAGACCAGTGCTGGTGCTTCTTCACCTCAGTTAGTAGACTGAGACCAGTGCTGGTGTTTCTTCACCTTAGTTAGTAGACTGAGACCAGTGCTGGTGCTTCTTCACCTCAGTTACTAGACTGAGACCAGTGCTGGTGCTTCTTCACCTCAGTTAGTAGACTGAGACCAGTGCTGGTACTTCTTCACCCCAGTTAGTAAACTGAGACTAGTGCTGGTGCTTCTTCACAGTTAGTAGACTGAGACTAGTGCTGGTGCTTCTTCACCTCAGTTAGTAGACTGAGACCAGTGCTGGTGTTTCCTCACCTGTCTGTAGACTGAGACTAGTGCTGGTGCTTCTTCATCTCAGTCTGTAGACTGAGACCAGTGCTGGTGCTTCTTCACCCTAGTCTGTAGACTGAGACCAGTGCTGGTGTTTCTTCACCCTAGTCTGTAGACTAAGACTAGTGCTGGTGTTTCTTCATCTCAGTCTGTAGACTGAGACCAGTGCTGGTGTTTCTTCACCTTAGTTAGTAGACAGACCAGTGCTGGTGATTCTTCACCTCAGTCTGTAGACTGAGAACAGTGCTGGTGTTTCTTCACCTTGGTCTGTAGACTGAGACCAGTGCTGGTGTTTCTTCACCTTGGTCTGTAGACTGAGACCAGTGCTGGTGTTTCTTCACCTTAGTCTGTAGACTGAGACCAGTGCTGGTGTTTCTTCACCTTGGTCTGTAGACTGAGACCAGTGCTGGTGTTTCTTCACCTTAGTTAGTAGACTGAGACTAGTGCTGGTGTTTCTTCACCTTGGTCTGTAGACTGAGACCAGTGCTGGTGTTTCTTCACCTTGGTCTGTAGACTGAGACCAGTGCTGGTGTTTCTTCACCTTAGTTAGTAGACTGAGACCAGTGCTGGTACTTCTTCACCTCAGTCTGTAGACTGAGACCAGTGCTGGTGTTTCTTCACCTTAGTCTGTAGACTGAGACCAGTGCTGGTGTTTCTTCACCTTAGTCTGTAGACTGAGACCAGTGCTGGTGTTTCTTCACCTTAGTCTGTAGACTGAGACCAGTGCTGGTGTTTCTTCACCTCGGTCTGTAGACTTAGACTAGTGCTGGTGCTTCTTCACCTTAGTTAGTAGACTGAGACCAGTGCTGGTACTTTTTCACCTTAGTTAGTAGACTGAGACCAGTGCTGGTACTTCTTCACATCAGTCTGTAGACTGAGACCAGTGCTGGTGTTTCTTCACCTCAGTCTGTAGACAGAGACTAGTGCTGGTGCTTCTTCACCTTAGTTAGTAGACTGAGACCAGTGCTGGTACTTTTTCACCTCAGTCTGTAGACTGAGACCAGTGCTGGTACTTTTTCACCTCGGTCTGTAGACTGAGACCAGTGCTGGTGCTTCTTCACCTTAGTTAGTAGACTGAGACCAGTGCTGGTACTTCTTCACATCAGTCTGTAGACTGAGACTTGTGCTGGTGCTTCTTCACCCCAGTCTGTAGACTGAGACCAGTGCTGGTACTTCTTCACCTCAGATTATGTAAGTCTGTCTGCCCTGCTTATCATCTTAGGTGGGGAGTCTGAGCCTTATGCAACTGTTCCTTTAGCAACTTGATCTGGCCTTGAGGTTTTTCCCCTCACCCTGGAAGACTTGCCCGCACTGCCTCGCTTCTAATTCATGCTTCATTATAGGGTATGCTGGCTGTGACTGCCACCTTCATTGTGTTCTTGCACTCCTGGATGTATAGGCAGCCGAGGTACAGGTGAAATTCTGGTCTTTTCTTTTGTTTACAGCCCAAGCTGTGTGGTTTTGGTCATCATATTTGTCGACAGCCTTCTGTCATAAGTACTGTCAATCATTTCCAGTAGAAATATTTCCTCTTGTCCTGACGCTCAGCCATCTGCCATGTTCTCCTATGCCTCTCTCCTCCTCCAACTTCCCTAATTGTTTTAATGTTCAATTATCCTCTTCCCGTGATTTGTCTAATGAATGTAGGGCTTTTTTGTTAACATTAGCTATTTTTATTCATGGGATTTTTTAGTGTATATTTTTACTCTGTATTCCAGGGGAATGTGATTTTTTAAGCCAAGTTTAATGGATAAGTAAATGTGATTCTCAAAGCTGGCTGTAATGGATAAGCATATGTAAATGTGATTTTTGAAGCTGGGTGTAATGGATAAGTAAATGTGAATCTCCAAGCTGGGTGTAAAAGATAAGTAAATATGATTTCTGAAGCTGGATGTAAAGGATAAGTAAATAATATTCCCCAAGCTAAGTGTAATAGATAAGTATATTTGATTTTGCAAGCTAGGTGTAATGTAAAAGTAAAGTACCTACTTCACACTTCTGGGTTAATTTGGTGTATGGAGGTAGCCCCAGTCTTTCCTAGACCAACTGACACTTTAACTCTGATGAGGTGTTTAAAATCTTGCTGGCTATCTTCCATTTTCAGGACATTTTCTGGTATAAACTTCAGGGTAGGTCAACCTGAAAGCCAAGGTCTTCTTCTACTTCTTCTTCTTCTTCAATTCCTTTTTTTTTTTTTTTTAACCTCTTCAGGTGTCAAGGGAGATATAAGGTTCTGCTTCGTGCTCTTCTGGTTGCCTCGAAAATAGACACATCTTGCTGTTATATATTTGATGTTATCTTTCCACATTATTTTAGGTCTACCTCATGATCTAATCCTTCTCACCTTTTGATGTATGCCTGTATGGTATGGCCAAAGTCATTTATTATGCATCTCAATAAGAATCAAACTCATCCTACCAAGCCAGCAGGCAAACACACAAGCCACTATGCCACTATGCCACCATAAAATGGGTGGCTTCAATAAAAAACTAGATATTCTGTTATTTATTTGTAACAATACAAATCATTATTTTTAATACATGTTTTGAAGACTGTCTGCCCAGAAAAACAATGTGCAATAAATATTGCAAGTAAAAAGGATGTTAAATGCAGCAGGATAAAGTAATACACAAATGATAAAAAGGATATGTCAAAATACTGTAGAGACACAAACACAAAGCATAACTCGTTAATATATTTTTGCAGGATTAACATCCTTATTTTGTCTCAATTTTGTTTAATGTGCTGATCATGTTACATAGAAATTAAATAATAACCAAAAAAAATTTTTTTAGAAGGCTGGAAGGCCAGAATTTACAGCCAGCATTTCTAAATTTTTTAATGGGATACCAGTTTTATAACTAAATTGCTGGGTTTTTCTTTTCTGGTCATAGATTTAAAGTATAATTTTAGTCATGTATAGTTTGTAGAAAAAAAGTTTAAATCCAGTTTTAAAAAGCACTGAAACTGAACAATACTAAACCAAATTAGTCAAAAAAATTCCATTGTTAAAAAACAAACACACAACCAAAAAAAACTACAGAAGCATTTTAATACACTATTTCTGACTATAGTTAAAGACCGGCTCTAAAAGTGTACAACAAAATATAAATACATATTATTACCTCCATGCAGATGAAAGTAGTGGTCAACAGGAAATGTAAAATTTTTGCACTTGAAATCAGGACCCAAAATAAGAGGTGGAAATTCCCTTTCTGTCCGACACCTGTCACCTAAAAAATGTTGTCACATGAAAAATACCAGCTTAGTTTAATGAAGTGAGTGAACTTTCTCCTGATTGTTAATAAACTTTGTAAATGTTCTATCATATGTGCACAAGAAAAGTTCTGTGACAATGAAATGAAATAAGTGTTGCTGAATTTTATAATGAAATGTGCTTTGAATAAAAGGCTAAACAAGTTAATATTATGAAGTTAGGCCAAACCTAAACAACCACGATAAAGAAATAATAATTCTTTCTCAAGAATATACATGCCAGGATATGCCAGGGTGAAAGGAAATGAAAAAGCTGACAGACTGGCTGTGTCTGCAGTAGTCAGTAGAGGAAGAAGTATGGACAGGGCAGATATAATCTTCTTCTTTTTCGAGTTCACCAGCAGTAAACTCCGGCGGAAAGTTCTGGTTGTTCGTCCACTTTCTGGACTGCAGTCCTGTTCCAGAACCTGAGTGTTGCATGTGTGTCCATTTTACAGATCTGACTCATTTGTATGCAGACTGTTGGTTTCATGCCTCTCAGGCAGATGCACTCCAACTTCCAAAGAAGCTCCCAATTTGTTGACTCTTACGACATGCTTTTGGGTAGGCAGTGGGTCTATTCTTGTTTTCCCTATTTTAGGGCCCCGTAATCCACACAGGGAGGCAGACATAATAAATGCCCTGTGTTTTAGTGTTGAGACAAAGGACTCTGAGACGATGACTAGCCGGTAGAAACCAGTTGTGGTGCAAAGAAAGATGGCATGCCAGTCAACTCCTACTGGGTGCGGTGAGCATGGAGATGGCTGCTGCATGGGAGGACGGATCATGAATGGCAGGATGTTGATACAGATAACAAGTAACAAAACAGCCCAGTACCAAAACACTGTATACTGGTTCGGAATTTAAATGGAGTATTGTGAGAAATAAATATGCCTCTTCTGATAGTTAGCATATCATTCACTGATTTCTGAATAGTCTCTAAAAAATATGGAGCTAGCATCACATGCCCAACAAACTTCAAGGGGTAGAAACTGATACTGAACAAGTATTGATAATTCCTAATGACCAAACTGAATGGCAGTAATGTTATAAAAGCATTAATACAGATAAGTGTACACTGCAGTGTACTGATTAGATGCTGGCCTGCCAGCCCAAAGCTTTAGAGTTCAAATCCACACTGAGGTGGACTTTTTCAAAACTGACCTTGGCTCCAAGGTCAGCCCAATCTAAAATAGGTACAAGGGTCTTGGGAAGTAAAGGCAGCCGTGTGTAGTTGATCACATCACTGATCGAGTGCTGATTGGTCTAAAGGTTAAAGTCGAGAGGATCTACTATATTGCACCTGGTTTTATCCCATTCAGCTCAGTCTCTCTTTGCAGAACGGCTAGCTGCCTGCTAAAGCGTCGCATAAACAAACATGTAACTATGGCGATTGCCCCAGGAATCGCCATAAAAACTGCACTCATGAACTGAACAGCGCCACCGTGTAATGAACACTGACCTTCAGAGCACAAGGCAAATGGCTTGATCACTTCACCATGGAACTGGTCTATAAAGGTACAGGTCTACCAGAAAAATGGCAAATGTGCTAAGGATGTGAAAAGGGTCCTTCTGTTCTACTTTATTTCAGTGAATACAGCTGCCCTTGTTGAGTAAGGTGGAGGGAGGGATACACCTGACTTTAAATTTGCAGTTCATCTGCCCGAGAGGCAAGGAACCAATAGTCTGTATATAAATAAGCCAGATCTGTAGAACAGATGTGCATGCAAATCTCAGGTTCTGGAACAGGACTAAAGTCCGTAAGTAGGCACAGGACCAGAACTTTCTGCCGGAGTTTTACAGCTGATGATTGTGGGAAAAGAAAACACTACAACAAGTTGGAACATTAAGACTCACTGCCGTAATGTGGCAGCAGTTTGTGGACATCAGGAATTTTCATCCTCTTCCGCATTCCCATCAAGAAAGGCACGAGGTAACTGATCAGCTTCAGAAGTTCCAGCTGCCTACATGTTTCTTGCTTGGCTGCAAGGTGTTCCTGGACAGTTCAGATTTGCAGATGTAATAAAACACTGAAGCACTTGCAAAATCATGGCACACACAAATAAGAAGTGTTGAGATGGAGTAAAGAAGACAAATGAATCAATCAATCTGTCAAAAACTGTCACTAACCATCAGAATAACAAATCCAGAAAGTTTTTTAAAAGAACTGAAGTCTGTAAAACGAGGGGCATCAACACAGTATATCTAGTTTTAAGAAGGGAGACAAGTATAAATGTAACAATTAAAGAGAAATATCACTCTTATCTACAAGCTATATGAAACTATCTGTGGTACTGCTAAATAGACTAAAATCATATGTCGAAGATACAATGGGTGATTACCAAGCCGGTTTCTGACAGAACAGATCAACAATGAATCATATATTGTTACAGTGGCGCGGTGATTTCGGCCACAGGCATGAGAGGAAGTTAAGTCTGATGTGATGTGTATAAGGAGATATTCCGTACCCCACTCGGGCGCCAGTCCTTCACTGTTCTGGTTTTACGGAACCTCATGCAAGACTCCTGTTGCACGTCCCCGTCGTGCGCCACGGATAATGTCTCAAATGAGCATTAACAGAGTTGGCAGGGGATCTCGGAGCTGGCGGCCCCTAGAGGTGTAGAGTCCTTTCTGGCTCTCACCAGCCCGCCCCCAAACGCATGGGTGAAAAGTAACAAAACTCAAGGACTGCTTGCTAAATGTACCATCAAATGACAACTCTTGGTTAAAATTCGGGAGCGAATGGAAAACTGTGCTGCTGACACTCAACCCTGACCGAGAGATTTACCCGCAGCCAAGACGAGTAACATCTCTTGTGGGCGACTTCTCGCAGCAAGATCCCACCTACGTACATCCTCTGTCAATCCTCAGTGTCGTCGTCACCACGCTGAGGTACACCATGGCAGCAACTATTCATATGCTGGCTTGAAAACAATGTCCCACAAAGTTACACCCCACGGCACACATGCAAGCTCAAAGTCCGACGATCATAACTCGTACTAATTAGGAAAAGTCTTAATGTCCGTATCCACTGGTCCAACTCGCCCGAGTGTTGGGACCAAACAGGTGAAGCCACGCCTGACGCATTTTGCTTCCTCATTCTGTCGTGCTAAGGGCACAGCTGAAACAACGTTAAAGGTGTCTAACGTAAGATGAAAAAGAATGTACCTATTTGTGTGGCCACAAACGTCCTAGACCTGCGGGCTGCTCCCCGCTGATCTCCGGAGAGCGCAGCCTTGTAGCGCGGGAAGCTCAATACACGGTTGTGAGGTTAAGCAGTCATGGGCAGGACGTGACGATTCCTTGGGTGAGCCCAGAACCAGAGCATCATGTGTCGGCTCTGCATTTATGGAAGCCTCCTTGGATGGCGGGGAATGCCCATGATCTGCCCCTGCCTTCCCTTGAGGGCTGAAAACTCTACATAGAGCTGCCTTAAGGACGACATGCCGGGGGCCACACTTGTTAAAAGTCAAAGAGGACACCACACAAATAAGGCAACATCTCGACCCACACAAAACAATGGCCACAGTCAACCTAGAAATAGGCTTGACGTCTTCCTCCGAAGTCGGAGTACATCTGCCGGAGAGGCGGGGAACGAGTACTGCAAACAAATAAGCCAGTAAAACGGATGTACACGCAAAACTCAGGTCAAGGTAAAAGCCAAAAGTCCATTTTGGACGAACAACCGTGACTTACCGCCGGAATTCACAGCCGGTGAACAAGAAGAAGAATATATATTGTTACAGAAAATGAACAGGAGACTGTAAAAACACTGACTCTCTTACAAGAAGCAGCTCACAGAATTGAACTAGTCACCAATCAAGATAAGACAGAATACACAATAATAACAAGACAGGGAAAAGATATCAACTCCGGCCACATACAAGTTGATAATATATAAATCAAACGAACGGCAACTGCTCCAGCAAGCTGAGAGAAGAAATACAATCTAGAATACAATCTGGAAATAAAGTATTCTATACCCTTCAATATCTGCTAAAGTCAAAGTCTCTATCTGGCAACACCAAGATCAAAATATATAAAATATTAATAAGACCAGTTGCTTTATATGGCTCTGAAACTTGGAGGTCAACTAAAATAGATAAAGCCCTGTTATAAATTTGTGAAAACAGACTCTTACGATTAATCTTTTGACCCATCAAAGATGAAAACAGCAAGGAATGGAGTGTGAGAAGCAACAGCTAAATTCATAACCTGTTTAAATCACCACTGATCACCGGCATCATGAGAGCTAATAAACTAAAATGGCTGGGCCTATTGAGAGAATATCAGATGACAGAGAAGTAAAAACTGTGTACACAAGGGAGATGAATGGTCGTAGACCATGAGGCAGACCAAGAAGACGATGGAGAGATAATATTTCAGACATCTCTACAAACACTTGGTGTCACCAACTGGAAAGAGAAGGCCAACCAGAGAGATGAATGGAGGCGGATGATACCTGCGGCAATGAGCCTCAAGGGCTTGCAATGCTTTGCATCACCCTGTAACACTGTGTGTCATGAAGTCACCAGTTGCTGCTGACTGTCTGACCAGATCCATTCACCTTTGATGGTCAGAAGTGATGGACTTCATGGCTGCATGCCTAAGGCCTGACCAGTCAATCCAGTTCCATATCCAGGTCTTTCTTACAATGTAAATGACTTTAAATATATAAATGCTGGATTATTTCCTATGCTGGTATATTAGTATGTATAGTCAGCATCTCATCCATCATCGGATGAATGAGACTGTATGGTCACCATATCAAATGTCTCTGAATCTGTGCAGTGACATCCTCGTCATTGCTGGCCACTGTGAGTCAGAATAATGACCACCTCCTGATCAGTCAGCAGGTAATTTATAGAACATTGCACTCTTAGGGCATGCATGAAAGTCTTTCTTTCTCTAGCCATTTCTCCTGCCCTATTTGCTTTCATAGCAAATGCACCTTTAATGTCTTAAATCCACCTTCAAGGAGGTCAACCTCTGCCTCTTCTTCTATCACTGTTCTCTCCAGCTGGTATCCTAGATCACTTTCACCAACTGGTCTATTCAAATATGTGTCTAGCACCATATGCGCAGTAGTGCCCCAATGGTATGAAAACGGTCCTTAACTTACATAGCTATTATTCATCCCAGTTCTCATTTCTTTGTCTTCTTCTTGTTCACTGGCTGTAAACTCTGGTGGAAACTTCTGGTTTTGCGCCCAACTCTGGACTTTAATCTTGTTCCAGAATCTGAGTGTTGCATGTCCATCTGCTTTACAGATCTAGTTTGTCTGTCTACAGACCTCTCGGGCAGATGACCTCTGCCTTCAGAGGATGACCCCAGATAGTCAACTCCTAGGACATGCTTGTATGGAGGCAGTGGATCTGTTCTTGTTTCCCTATAATGAAGCCCCAGAACCTATAATTGGACCCCAGAACCTATAGCTAGACCCCAGAACCTATAATTGGACCCCAGAACCTATAATTGGACCCCAGAACCTATAATTGGACCCCAGAACCTATAATTGGACCCCAGAACCTATAATTGGACCCCAGAACCTATAAGTGGACCTCAGAACCCACATGGGGGGGGGAGGGATATTCTCCTTTCTTTGAACATCGATTGTAGGCCTCCATCTACCTCCTTTGTCCTGCAGTTAATTTGTTACACAATACTGAATGCCATTAAGAACAAAATAGGCACTATGTAGTACCTGAATTACATCTTCATGCATCTGCAATCTTGTTTTCAGTCGTTCAAACCCCACATTGTCAATAGAAGAGTCGAGCAGACGCACAATACTTGACACATAGTAGTTTGCACTGAAGGAAGTACATCAAAATATTAATGTGAGACAACAACATATTTGGATGATAACTGGTATATATCTAGAACTAGGTTTACATGGAATATGGAAAATTCCATCTTCACACTTTAAAAACTAGTGCACCTAAACATTTTGTTTACTAGCCAATCTTCCTTGATGTTCTGATCTTTTAGGATGTCTGTATTTTTTTTTTTCATCAATGGCATTCTGATTATCTTTCTATAGCATTTCAGCTCAAAAGCAGCTACGTTCTTCCTTAAAAACACTGAAACGACTCCTCGCATCCATATGCTGTTACAGGGAAGATGCATGCTCTCAATAAATTTTGATTTTGATTTCCTTGCTGGTGCTCAACCACATTTTTTTGTTGCAATTTAATATTTGCATTGCTATAGCCATCCCCCTTTTGACTTCTGTTGAAAAGTCTCCATTGCTGTTTATTATGAAGCCTAGATATTCAAAGTATGTGATATTTTCTATTTTTCTTCATCCTTTATTGTTACTTTTTGTATGACCAGCAGTTCTGCAAGCAACATCTGATGTGTGAAGAACATAACCCTTTATTTCCCTCCATAGCATAATATGATCTTTTACTCAGAACATTTGGTCACAGCAATTTTAAGAAATCTGACTTTTCAAATGGTCACCACCTGTATGTAAACTGCCACCTTGAAACTAATGTATTCATGTTTTGTTTTTTTTAAATTATGATTATATCTTTCTTTTGGAATCTACCGCTAAACTTTCTGATACTGAAACAGCTGAGATTAATAAGTAAAAAAAGTAAAGGACCCTTTTCCACGCCTGTAAGCGTATAGGGCATATAGGGCTAACCTATATTTTTTAAAGACCAATCGGCACAAGATGGGTGATGTGGTCAGCATCACGCCGGCCGCCTTTATTTTTCTGGGACTGCACCCGGTACCCACTCAAGGCTGGGTCGACCTGAGAGCCAAGGTCATTTTTGAAAATAAGTCCGGCTCCGCCAGGGAGCGAACCCACGACCTTCCGATCCGCGGCGAGCATCTAGCCGCTCGGCCACGGCGACTGCTGAGATTAATAGTTATTTATTTAGATCTTCAACGTTAGTTTTTGTGTGTTTCTTAACTGTTACCTACTCTTAAAACATGATAATAGTTCTACCTAATAGCTAGAGTACAAGCTTTACTACAATTCACAACTTTACTAACTGCAAACATTCTTACTTGACAATATACATATTTTTATAATTTTCAACAGTTTCCTGGGAAAATGTTAGCTGCATCGCCATGTCATCAACGAAGCTCATGAAAAACTGTCGTTCTTCAGCCACTTCTTCATCATCTGGTATATCCTCAGGAAGTTTATCATATACATGAGCATAGTCTGCATCTTTCGTGATGTCAATAAGGCCTGATACAGAAGAAAAAAAATTAAGAAATTGTTAATTACATCACTAAACAAACATTTGTAGAAATACATAAGCATGTATCTAAACCAATAAAGAAATTCATGAATATGTCACTAACCAAAAATGAAACTATATGAACACATGATTCAACAAATATACAAATATGTGTAACTAAACAAATACAGAAATATTTAGGTATGTCACATAAATAAATTTATTGACACATATGGATATGTTACTAAATAACTCAATAAATATGTTTATATTTCACTCAACAAATAATGAAATATATAAACACCAAATATATAGAAATACATGCCACAATTGCTTAATAAATATAGAAATACATGAAGACACCCCAAAAGATATAGTGCCAGGTAAGAGGGGGAGAGCCAGACCAGCACCAAGATCTCCTGCAGAGTGTATATGTTCATGTGCTGACACCCCTCCCCCCCCCTCCCCTCAAGCCATGAAAAAAGGCTATCAAGAAGCTTCTTATTTAATTTTTATCTCTCCTGTCACAAACTTTCCAGTGGTCACAGCATGTTCATACTTCCCTCTTCTCAAAACCTGGCCAAACAATGATGGTGGTCTATTTATGATGTCCTTCGTGATAAGTTGTTTCAAGGTCATCGCCTCTTTCAACACATCTGGGTTTTCATTCTAGCTGTTCAATTAGTTTTAAGCATTCTGTAAAACCACATTTCTGAGGCCCCAAGAAATTTGTAGGCCTTTTTTTTTTATTAACTGTCCAGGATTCACATATCAAAACTGGCTCTATAAAGCGTGTAATGAAAGATTGCAAGAAGAGAAGACAAAAGTCAGCTGACACCTATGGAGAGTACATCAATCTAGACCAGCGGTTCTCAACCTATGGGTCCCAACCCCTCTGGGGGTCGAATGACCCCTTTATATGGATCCCCTAAGACCATCGGAAAACACACATCCACTAAAGTTATAAAGTAGCAACGAAAATAATATTATGGTTGGGGGTCACTACAACATAAGGAACTGTATTGAAGGGTCGCAGCATTAGGAAGGTTGAGAACCCCTGATCCAGACTCAACACCAGCAAGTTCATATGCGCAATGATGGATCATGACCCATTTACACAATAATATGTTTCTGCAGGGAAGCCACAATAGTTCAGTGGCCAAACGCTCGTCTGTCAGCCCACAGGTCTTGAGCTTGAATCCTCACTGAGGCCGACTGTTTTCAAAACTGACACTGGTTTCCAGGTGACCAAGCCTAAAATGGGTAACAGGTAATGTCTTGGAAAGTAAAGGCAGCCAACAATATTTTGATAAAACCACCCACTAAAGGCTGACTAATCTATAACAATATAAGTCTAGCATTTATATTTACGATATGCTGCAGATGTAACAAGGATCCTTTACTGTTACTTTTAATTATGCTTCTGCAGATGTGTCAGTCCATCCTATTAGTTTATGGATGTTTCCCTCTACAGAGCCCTGTAGCATCAATCTGGAGAGGCCAGTCAATTTGGTTATATGTCCGTACAATTTCTTGTATGATTTTCAATGTTCTTTAAAGAGGTTCATAGTTGTCAATTCTTCTTCTTCTTCTTTCGTTCGCCTGAAATAAGTTATCTATATCAGCAGTTTTGTCTCTTGTCAATGTGTTGAGTAATTATATGATGAACTTTGTCCTTTGTGATGTCTCTGTATGACATAACTAAGATCTTTTTAAAAGATCTCATTCCAGAATAAAAACATGGAAAAATCAAATGGTTTAGGAAGTCAACTTATGTTATATGATCATGAAAACCCACCTGAGGTTTGAAATTCTCCAAGTAGTGGTTTTCTAGTTTCAGGTTTACCAGATGCACTGATATTTAGGATCTCACGCCAACGTTCTGTGAACTTCAGTCGTTTATCTCTTGGAATGTAAGCTCCATGCCACAGACTCTTCATCATGTAGTCCACATTGGTTAGCAGCTGGCCAACCCGTGTATCCAAGTAAGCAGGTGGCAGGTTACAGACTGTGGCTTGATCAAAGTTGGCTTCCAGTGAGATTGCTGGCGTCTGGTTGAACACATAGATTCCTAGTGTCAACTCTCGAACAATATTATGAACCTCTCTGAAAATAAAAAAACAAATTTTTTAAATTACACACCTGAACTGATTTAGTCATCTTCTTCTTCTTTTGTTGTCTTACTGATACCAGGTTGTAGCCCAGTGTCATGGGTTTTTTTTGTCTTGCGCTTCTTGGGTGGCTTGGGAGATGGATTTGGTGGCTTGGGTGATGGATTTGGTGGCTTGGGTGATGGATTTGGTGGCTTGGGTGATGGATTTGTTTATCTTTTTTTTTTTTCAGGTTTCAGCTACATCGTTTATCTGTCTTTTTCATCCTTTATCTGTCACTTTAATTTATAATCGTTTTAGTCCCATTAAATATTTTCCACCTCTTTTCCTCCAACTTCTACTTCTCCTTGTCTTTTTCTTCCTTGCAACTGGTCTCATATGTTCAGATTATCAGTTGTGTTGTCTCTATGAACCAGCATGTCAGCAGTAAGTCTCAAAGATGTCCCCAAAGCTTATCCTTGCTGTCTATTCCTTCTAGCCGTTTTCTTGCAATTTCAGCTTTATGGGGTTGTTTTGCAGTATGTGCTCAGGTGTTTAAAGTGAGGTTTAGCATGGACACTGGGCAGATTGTGCAGTTTTCACTCTGTGCATGTATGGTTTAAATCTGCCAGGACTTGTTCTATGTTGAAAAATTATGGTTTACTGTCTTCTGTTGAGTCTTCTGATTCTTCCTCTACTAATATCACTGCCACCAACACTACTGCTAACACTATTTCTATCTACTACTGCAACTACCTCCAAGTACTACTAAAACTATTACTGCTGCTGCTGCTACTACTACTATGTTATGTTGTGGTTTACAGCTAGACTGTGATATATGTGCCTTTCAGCCCAACACATCTGATTAATTAAAACCTTAATTAGTCACGTTTTACGACATGCTTGTCTATTCTTTATTGTTCCGGATAAATCCAGGCCCCAGAAAGCACACTGGAAAAACATATAATCAATTTGTGGTGCTTTTTAAAGCTGAGATTCCTTGCAACACCAAAAATAATGTTCTATTTTATCAAGTTGCTTCCATTCCTCATTAATTCCTAACATTAATCCCTTAGTCCCTTACAGTACGATGCAAAACCAACTCCAGAATTTGTTGGCTTTTGTGTTTTTTCTAGGCAAATTTACGTTCAGTAGTTTGCCATTGCTTACTGAATGGTCAGCTCTGGACACCACTGTGGAAACATTGCAAGGGGGGCGGCTGCCAAACTGCTTGCAGCTGGGTTTGAACCCAGGACCCGGATTTACGAAGCACAGATGCTACCACATTCATCATAGTGACCATATTTTACAGTGAAATAACACACTCCAAGTCGTGGCCTCCAGTAATTTTCAGAAACTTTAGACTGATTTATTATTTGACGTGATCTCATCATAATCATCATTATATTCCAATAATATTGTGTGTTATATTGTATGTTAATATTGTGTAATATTCCATTCAAGGGCTCCAGATCATCTAGAACCACATATCCTGCGGGATGAAGTAGAGAAAGTTATCAAAACAAGTAAAAGACACAAAGCAGCTGGTATCGACAGAATAACAACAGAAGTCATCCAGGCTGGAGGGGACACTATGATCACCTGGCTGGAGAGAATTTTCAATAGAGCATGGGCAGAGAGAAAGGTACCAGTGGATTGGCAAAGATCAGTTGTAGTACCTATCTGGAAGAAAAAAGGAAACAAGAGAGAATGTGGAACTTATAGAGGAATATCTTTACTAAGTCATGTGGGGAAAATGTATGCAAAGATCTTAGAAGGTAGGATAAGAGCAAAGGTTGAACCTCTACTGAGTAAAGCACAATTCGGTTTCAGGAAAGGGCGAGGTTGCACTGATGCCATATTTGCACTAAGACAAGTCTGTGAAAAGACACTCGAATACGATAAAGAGCTGAATGTGGTCTTTGTAGATCAAGAGAAGGCATTCGACCGTGTAGACAGAGATGTGCTGTGGAGAATTCTTGACGATTACGGAGTGCAGGGTCAATTATTAGACAACATCAGAGCCCTCTATGAAAAAAGTGAAAGTGCAGTAAGAACATCTAGTGGCCTTTCTGAATGGTTCAAAGTCACAACTGGTGTCAGGCAAGGATGTGTACTGTCACCATTACTTTTCATAACATACATGGATAAGATCACTGTAGAAGCAAACCCAGACGTGTATGCTATAAACGAATTACTTTTTGCTGATGATCAAAGCATACTGTATCAAAATGAATATGATCTACAGGAACATCTGACTACTCTCAACAACAGCTGTTTACAACATAATATGAGAATCAGTACAGAAAAAACAGAAGTTATGAAGATCAGCAGAACACACAGGCCACTGAATATAAATGTTGGAAGTGCCAAAATCAAGCAAACCAAAGAGTTCAAATACTTGGGCAGTATATTTACAGAGGATGGAAGAATGGACAGAGAGATAGAAACAAGAATACAGAAAGCAAATGCTGTCACATACCAACTATCACCTCTGCTTAAACATCCAGATATAACCATGAAGACCAAAAGACAATTGATAAACACCATCTTCATTCCAACACTCTGCTACCAGTGCCAGACATGGACAATCAACAAGACCCATGAAAGAAAAATAGAAGTCTGTGAAATGAAATGTCTAAGAAAAGCAGCGAATAAGACCAGACTAGACAGGATAAAGAATATAGACATTAGAAACACTGTCAAAACTACACCATGTTTAGACTACATAGAACATCAAAGAATGAAATGGTTTGGACATCTAACCAGGATGAAAAATGATCAAATAACATCACAAATTTTCAACCAAAGAAGCTCAGGATATAAGGCAAGAGGAAGACCAAGGAAACTGTGGATTGACGGGGTCTTCGAAACCTGCCAAAAGCATGGCCTCAGAACATCAGATGCTGCCCGCCTTGCTTATGACAGGAACTTGCATCTCCCCACAACGCTTAGCGGCATACGTGGAAGGAAAAAGTAAAGTAAAGTATATTGTGTGTCGTTAACTGTCTGATCAGCTCCCTTTACTGCTGTCGGTCAGTTACCAGCTGCTGTTTACTGTCTGATCAGCACCCTTTACTGCTGTCAGTCAGTTACCAACTGCTGTTGAGTGATCAGCTCCATCCACCACTGTCTGTCAGTTACCAGCTGCTGTTTACTGTCTGATCAGCTCCCTTTACTGCTGTCAGTCAGTTATCAGCTGCTGTTGAGTGATCAGCTCCATCCACCACTGTCTGTCAGTTATCAGCTGCTGTTGATTGTCTGATCAACTCCCTTTACTGCTGTAGGTCAGTAACCAACTGCTGTTGACTGTCTGATCAGCTGCCTCCACTGCTGTCGGTCAGTTACCAACTGCTGTTGAGTGATCAGCTCCATCCACCACTGTCTTGTCAGTTACCAGCTGCTGTTTACTGTCTGATCAGCTCCCTTTACTGCTGTCAGTCAGTTATCAGCTGCTGTTGAGTGATCAGCTCCATCCACCACTGTCTGTCAGTTATCAGCTGCTGTTGATTGTCTGATCAACTCCCTTTACTGCTGTAGGTCAGTAACCAACTGCTGTTGACTGTCTGATCAGCTGCCTCCACTGCTGTCGGTCAGTTACCAACTGCTGTTGATTGTCTGATCAGCTGCCTCCACTGCTGTCTGATCAGCTCCTTCTACTGCTGTCGGTCAGTTACCAACTGCTGTTGACTGTCTGATCAGCTTCCTCCATTACTGTTAGTCAGATGCAATGTATTGGATTTTACATGTTTGAAGCCTGCCCAGTCAGACAAATCATATATCCACGTCTTTCTTGGTTTGCCTCTTCTCCTCTAAAAAGCCCTGTAGTATTATTTTTGGAGAGGCTCGTAAATCTGATTACATGTCCATACCACTGCATTTTCTTTTTATTTGCTGTTGTTTAAAGAATTTCATAGCTGCCAGTGTCTTGAGTTGTGATGAACTTCATCATTTGTGACAGGATCCCTATATGATGTACCTAGGTTCTTTTGACTCTTCTGAATACTGGCCCCAAATTATTTACTGACTAAAACATCCCTTTTAGAACCTCAAGGGGTTAAGGGGTTATAAAGAGGTTGAATAATTTGGGACCGTTATTAGGAAGAGTGCCGATAAAGATCTCCTTCTAATGTTTGTATTTTTCTTTCATGTCATGTAATAGTAATAGTACTGATAGCTAATGCTTTAAGCAACGAGACATAATCTATTTAGATTCAGTTTATATGTACGATGTGTTTCTCTCCAGCTTCAGTTTCACAATCATATTCCATTATGAATGTCACAATTAGAATTATAATATGAACCATAGGAACATACCTGTAACAAAGTGGCGGACAGTTGCTGTTGACTGGAAACAAGATCACGGCTGGTTCTAATGAATCTTTTGGTTGCGTGACTCCGTTGGCCAGGCCTGTTAACGGCAATGACGGCAATTTAAATGCATCATTGGAAAGCAGCCAGTGCGCTGAAGTATACGACAACAGCTCCTGGCTTTCATAACGGTCCAATTGTTCTAGGTGTGAACTTGCAGTGCGGCAAAAATTGGCATAATCTACATTGTCATCGTCTGACAACGACGAAAAAGACATTGTTGTTGGTCTGACTATGTTTCTCACTTCACCTTGAGCTTGCTACGAGCTAGGCTCTATCAAACAAATTAATTATGTGATAAATAACGACAATAATTTTAGACTCGCACACACTGTCTGTGCACTGTCAGTTTCAATTTAGTATTTAGAGCTAAATATCCTAATCGTAGAATTTCAAGCTAACGAAATCAAAACAAACTGGAAAGTAACTATTTGTTACGTGTTTTAACGCAAAAACTACGCATGTGCTAGCAGTTACAGCATATTTCTTACAAACAATGCTAACAATTTCAATTATTCATTGACTTAAATTCAGTCATTTTGAAAATGGAAGCCATTTTGAAATGCGGCGTCCATAGTTTCCACTTTGAGTTCGCTGGTTCACACACATTTTAAATCGTTGGGAGAAATGTGGATCAGTATAATTTATTCCAGTCTCTTTACATGCTTTTTTTATAGCCAGTAATGACAATCGTGATTTATGTTTAAATTTGTATTGCCAAAGATTCAATATCTTCAGGATAAACAAAAACAACGAATGCAAATATTCACGGCATCGCCATGACAGCCTCAAACTTCAATTGGATTGGCTGCAGCTAAGGCACGCAGTTGTAGTATTGTGGTTGTAAGAGTAGTAGTAGTGTTAGTGATACTTGTAGTAGAGTTGAGTTCAGTTGAGTTTCAAGAATCGATATCACGACACGCGAGACATTCCCATAAACCCTCAGTCCTCATCTTCAGTAGCCAGCGAAGAGTAACCCTTTGGAAATAAAGTTTCGTTCATTAGTTCGTTCGTTCTCTTTCCATCAATGCTGACAGTTGTTACAAAGTTTTGGAGTCCATTTCTTATCAAAACATGCCCAGAACACATTAAATGTCGACGTCTAATTATTCTAAGTAAGTGAATGTCATCTTTCTCGACGACATATGTTTCGTGGGTTCCCCCCCCCCCCGGTCCATAATAGACTTCGCATTTTTCTCTTGAAACCATGACTCTACCGCGAGTAAATTCTTTTCAGTTTGTTTGCTTTTGCTCATGTCTTACATGCATATAGCAACACAGGTTCTATAGAGCCCTTTAACACCACTTATTAAATGCAAATTCGACCCTGTGACTACCGAGCCGGAAGGCTAAAACACTATCCACTCGAGATAAGAAATTTCTACCCTGAGCCTCCGCAGCACCGGTGACGAGGCGTGCATGTTACGACTGTAACCACCACTTACGCTTTCACTTGCCAAGAGAACATGCTTTATGTTACTATTTATTATTAACGTTTACAATATATAACAATAATAATGCGGCTTGAAAAAGGAGTAGATAAATGCCTACTTGTGGAACAAGCAGGATTCAGAAAGGGCAGAGGAACAACTGAGCACATCTTCGCCATACGTAACATTTTAGAACAATGCAATGAATGGCAGAGAAGTATATATATTAATATTGTGGACTTTGAGAAAGCTTTTGACAGCGTCCATAGAGACGGTCTGTGGAAAATTTTACGCCATTATGGAATTCCAGAAAAAATAGTCAACATAATTGCTCTCTTCTATAAAGACTTTTCCTGCAGTATAAAAAATTACAATACATCTTTCCCATTAAAGACAGGTGTAAGACAGGGATGTGTTATGTCATCTCTCCTCTTCAACCTTGTGATTGATTGGATACCAAAGAACACAGTAGACAGGACATTAAGAGGCATACGATGGACTCCATTCACCATGCTTGAGGACCTTGATTTTGCAGATGATTTAGCACTCCTACCACATAAAACATGAACATATACAAGAGAAAAGTAACAGACTACACTGCACAGAAGAAATGGTGGGACTGAGAATAAATACAAAGAAAACTAAGATCATGACAAACAGTCCAAACCAACAACCAGTGACCATAAGTAACCAATCACTTGAAAATGTAGAACATCTCGCATATCTTGGCAGTGTGGTGTCCCTACTGGGAGGGACAGAGGAAGACATACAGTCACGCCTGAACAAAGCTAGAGCTGCTTTTGGAAGGATGAGGCAAATCTGGAATCCAACAATTACTGCAGAGGAACGAAACTCCGGCTCTACAAGAGCATCATTTTGCCAGTTCTTCTTTATGGAGCGGAATGCTAGAGAATGACCAAACAGGATGCACACAAGCTGTCCACCTTCCACCACACATGTCTATGTAGAATTATCAAAATTTCCTGGCCAGATACAATCTCAAACACTAAACTACTTCAAGCCACAAACCAAGAAACTTTAGACAGTATGATTACCAAGAAAAGATGGAAATGGCTTGGCCACGTTATGAGAATGACTTCTGATATACCTGCCAAAACAGCTCTTACGTGGACACCAGAGGGAAAGAGAAAACAGGGGCGCCCAAAAACAACATGGAGACGAACGATGGAAAGTGACCTGAGTGCGGCATCTTTGACATGGAAAACTGCACTGAAGATTGCACAGGACAGAAAAGCATGGAAAGTCCTATGTGAAGCCTCATGTGCCACTAGGCATAACGAGAACTAATGATGATGATGATGATATATAACAAATAGGCAAGTCAGTATATGTTTTGAACATAGCATACAGAACGCTCGCTCCACGTTTACACCACTCATGCTGAAACTGTAACATGTCAACGTTATCAGATGCTGTTAGATTTAGTACTATGGGTCTAGCTGCGCACGCATACTCTCAACAGCAAAGTCGCGAGGAGGAAAATGTCATGGGATATTTCCAGTTTATTCGTTATATGCCAACCCTCACACGTGTGAACTGATCACGCCTTGCAACTGAGCGGCACATGATATTAATCTGTATACATTTCAATTAAGCCCCTGTCAGTTCTGTAGCCCAGTATTACCCTGAGAGTCTACTTTAGTCGGATTACGTTGTATCGACAGCCATATGTAATCAAACACCGCCGCGATTAAGGAATTCTCATTTTGTTAATAATAGGATATTCCAATATAAATAAAGTGGCACTTCTGATATTTCTCAGTACACACATCCAGACACAGACTAGACTGTTCTGTCTTTATTCAAACACGTACGGTTGTGTACACATATTACTGCTGTAGAGTGTGAATACGGTTGCTAGCGAAATCGGCTTTTAAAGACTGTTGGCTGTGTTAAGTTTCATGTCAACCTGCTGCCATTTGTAAGAACAGTTTACTGTCATGACAAAGGGAAGACAATTTGTCCCGTCCTGTGCCAACGATGGGACATGGGTATCGTAATTTTTTTTTTTTCATTTTTTCATTTTGCATTGCTGTTACGTATGTTTTGACAGAATCGTTCAAGTGCATTTAAAATATAAATATACAGACACCCTCCTGGGTTATAAAGAGCTATTAGGATATATATATATATATATATATATATATATATATATATATATATATATATATATATATATATATATATATCCTAATAGCTCTTTATAACCCAGGAGGGTTGAACAGGAAATTAATGATATGAATATTACTTCTACATAATATTAGGCTTTATCATATTCTTGTATCACGAGACTACAAGTTACAGTAGACCGGCGTGGCCGTTACAAGTGGCAATGCAATCCAGCCATCTCCTTGTGAGATTCAATTTTTTGTTATTTTGAAGCCCCACCCTGGCTCTTGCCAGGGGCCGCAATATAGTCCGGCAATAAATATGGTATAATGGCTGAACGCGGTTTCTGGGACCTCTCCACGGGTGATCCTCATCCACATCGTGGCACTTTGTGTCATCGGGTGTTTATCGCTTGTGTAATGTCCAAGTGGGGTAAAAATTAACTACTACTACTAAGTTACAAGTGCCCCAATTATAACTTCTTGAGGGATTCAGCAGGATATTTGGGATTCGCTCGGTTGGTCTGCTATCCTGACTGAGATTTTGTAATCTCAAGGTGGTCAAATCTTCATGCAGCAGCCCAGACAGGGCAAACGGAAGGAAACTAACAGTGCGCTCCCATTCTTTACAGACTTCTTTCGTTCCTCGGACTGTGTAAATGTTTGTAAGCGTTAAAAACAGTTGATGCAATCTGTATTGATAATATACCCCTACCCGGAGTAGTAGTAAGTAGTAGTGTTTCTAAATATCCTGTTCAACCCTCAGGGTTATAAGTGGGATACATAGTGTTAATCGAGTTCTCGGAGTATATATTTGTTATTTTATATTTATATATCGTGTAATTATTTAAGGGGAGCCGATGTTGGCTAGCGTGCTCGCATGCTGATCGGAATGTCGTGGGTTTGGGTCATGATGGGGAGATGACTTTTTTCAAAAATGACCTTGGCTCCTAGGTCGACCCAGCCTTGAGTGGGTACCAGGTGCAGTCCTGTGAAGTAAAGGCGTCCCGCGTGATGCTGACCACATTACCCACCCGGGGGCTACGTGGTCTCGAGGCATGGTGTCCGCCTCGAGTGCTAGAGGTTCCGGGTTCAATCCCCGGGAAGAGCTGGGATTTTTTTCACGTGGAATTGGAATTCTAGTAATTTCTACTGGTCTCTGGGTAATAATGTCGTACGCCCGTGCCTATTTGTTTTGCACGTAAAACATCCTTTGACAGCTCGAAATCGCTGCCCGGGCATTATTTGGAGTTTAAAATCTCTCTAATTCCCTTAACCACGGATTTGAACTTTTAAGGCTTTCGGGCTGGCTGGCGATTGTTTAACTACTACGTTTATAATAATAATAATAATAATAATAATAATAATAATAATAATAATAATAATAATAATAATAATAATAATAATTTTCAAGTCATTAGCAGCAATTTTATAATGTCTCCCTTAATAACAAGTAGGTCGCCGCCCTTGACTCAATCAATTATGTGTGTGTTGCCGGTTAGGATCAATCATAAAACGATTCAGCGTCAAAAGTTATTGTTGCCAATGGGCTGAAAGAACGGCGATTTTATTACATAACTATAGAGTATTGATTTATTGGTGTCGTTAAACTGCTGATAGCTTGAATAGTAAGTATGTTGATAGTTAATTAAAAACTCAACCAGTTAGCTAGTCAATCACTCAATAGACAAGTTAGTCAGCCAAGCTGGTAAGGAATCAGTCGGTCAGCAAGATAGCCGCTTTATGAAACAAGCAGTGGAAGCAGTAATCACGCATATGGAGACAGACAGAAAAGATTAACATGTCAAGACAAATTCACGAGAGTCTCTTTCAGCGACCTCTAGCCATGCACTTAACCAACGTTTGGCAATAATACTAGGATGTCTTTTCTAGAAGAAAAAAAGCACAACTACAACAGTCTATGGTTATATTTGTGGTCTGGTTTATTTACGCCATTTTTGTGTTTAAAGTTCTTATTTTTGCGGCAGTTCTATGGCCTAGTCCTTCTTCCGTCAAAGTCAGACGGCTCGATCATTTCCTGTGTCCGAGCGTGTATCTCCTCCCCTAATATTTATATTTTCCTCTTGGTTTGTGCTCCTTTTAGCTTGGCCAGGCAAACTGGGATGTCAGCTCGAGGTGGCTTTGATTTCCAAAGCTGAGTGGCCAGGTCTGCTGGTTGTTGCCAGGAGACAACAGTCTTGCCAGACAAGGTCTGAGTCTGTTCAGCACAAAAACATTGTCAGTGAGCTTTTGCCTCAAGCCTAATGTATGTTTTAGAGTCTCCAATTAGTCCCGTCTTGTAGATTTTCTCAGTGTGATGCAACTCTTCAAAATACCGCCCTTAACAGCATTACGCTGTCAGATGATCAAAAGTTTAAACTGTATTTCGCTGCTTATGCCCCTCCCCCACCCTTTTTTAAACAGTGCTCCCTGATACGAGACCATCTCTCTGTATCAAAGCATGCCACGACCCTGACTCCAATGTACGAACGAACGAACGAACGAACGAACTTTATTTTCAAAGGGTTACAAATTAGGCACGCAGGCCTGTGTTACATTCGGCCTTCCAAACTTCCATCTTTCACAGAGTGCATAAGCGTACTGGTGAGTGAGCAGAGAATTTGATTATATTTGACGCATGGGGGGGGGGGGGGGGGGGGGATTTGATTCAAGAACGACATCACAGCACTCGGGGAAAGAATCAGTTAAGTTCATCTTCTTTAAATTCACTGGCTGTTAACTCCGGTGGAAAGTTCTGGTTATTCGTCCACTTTTGGACGTAAGTCTTGCCTTAGAAATTGAATTGTTAAGGTACATCCGCTTTACAGAGCTGTTTATTTGTATGTAAATTGTTGATTCCTAACGTTTCGTTCAGATGGGCTCTAACTTTGGATAACAAATCCCTAATCAGTCGTTTGTGTTTTTTAACATACTTGATAGGCATGCAGAGGGTCAACCCCCCCCCCCTTTTTTTTTTCTCTCCCCAGGAGGGCATAGGAAGCCATACCTGGAAGTCAGTCAATTCATCTGTTAGCCAGTTAGTTATTAAGTCAGTCAATCACTCAATTGATCGGCGAGTCAATCGGTTAGCTAGTTTAGTAAGTCAGGAAATCGAAAAATCAGTAAACCGTGTAACTAGTTTAACATTCATTCCTGAAGTCATCAACCACTTGGACAGTAAGCTAGATATTTAATCAGTCAGTCTTGCAGTCAATTAATCGGACAGTCAGTAAATTACCTAGTTAATCAGTCAGTCAGACAGTAAGTTACTAAGTTAATTATAATATATAGTTTAGTAACTAGCCAGTTAGCTAAGTGAATAGGAAAGTAGGTTACTAAGAGTGATACTCTTTTAGGATAGTGCCTAACCAGGTAGGCATTCGTGTAGCTATTAAAAAAATGGATTGGCAACATGATCACAATGGTTGGACAAAACAAACTAATTTATTTTAAAAAGCAACCCAACAAAATAATAATTTAAATAATAATAATAATAGTAATAAAAATTGCACCCAGAAATGTGACTGTCATTATAAATCCAAAAAGAGAAAGAGGGAGAGGGGAACTACACTTTGCTCGCTGAGATCGAATACTAGCAAACCTTGAACAGTTTCTGCACTGTGTGATTAATGTGGTGTCACATTACACTGCAGAAATCGATCTGTCAGTGCACATTTCAATAAAGCCATTTCCTGTGGGGATTTAGCTACACTAACCATAGAAAGTGCACATTTGCATACCGAGACAGAACATTTAAGTATACTTCATTAGAACAGGGACGCATTGGAGTCTTAGTATTCGTCGAGTCTTTAACTTCGCGGCAGTCGAGTCAACCCATACTTGTTCCGTTCGTGTGCCAGTGTAAAATCAAATAAAATATCCCTCACTTTTCCATATGAAAAAATTAGTTGGAAACAATTAGTCTCATCACAATTCAGAAATATGTGCACGCAGTAAATGCATATGGCAGTTGTTAGAGGCGTCAAAGGCAATAGTAGCCTCCAGAAATGCAATTTGTCATTGATGGCAGTTGTTGGTCACAGTACAGTAAGTTTGCTATGCACGCGTAAATTAATTACATAGGTTATTTCACCAGCCCATACGTAAACCGACCACCTGCTATATTGAATACCATGAGTGCCGCTTTACAAATAAAAGGCATTCCATAATAAAAACACAGCTCACAGTGCTGCTCCAAACACCAAGCTCAGTAGCTCAGGCAGCGTACCTGTAGACTTCCGTCCGTATGTAGAAACTGCATTAGCAAAGCGCTGTCGGAAGCAAAAATAACTTCGAAGCTAAATATTTTGCAATGCATAGTCCTCCATACTGGACCGGGATATGACTTGAAGGGGTCGAGCCAAATGCATTCAGATTAAATTCTCGGGAAGTTAACGCTGTCAAAATAATATCAATGAAGTTGGATGTTTCGGTCGAAAGGTGCAAATATCGCAAATTTGCTGTAAACAGGCTCAGCGCATTTACATCATTCGGACGAACGAAAAGAAAAGATTAAATTATGTTTTCTTTGTATTTGTAAGGCTTCTTGCACTAGATATTGAAGTAATTTCGTTATTATTCTTTTTACAAATCATCTCTGTCAATCCCAAACAGTTTTGCTGACTAGGTGCCAAAGAGGAGGATACACGATATGAGAGAAAAAATAAGATATAGGAAAGAATGATCAAGAACCTGAGTGTTGTGTTGATCTCCGTTTTACAAATCTGGCTTGTTTGTATACAGACTGTTGTTTCATTGCTTGTCAGGCGGATAGATGCACTTCGATTTTGAAAGAAGCCCTAATTAGTCGACTCTTACGACATTCTTGTTGGGGAGGCAAAACTTTTTTAAGAATAATATTTGGTGTAAGCTACTGCACTTTTTTTAAACCTTGTATTGCAGTTTGCTCACAAGAGCCAGGGTGGAACACAAGAGGGAAATAATTGTAACAAGACAAGCAAGTCAACGATGTTGCAAGCCCAGGTCTCTGCGAGGTCACATCCTAACAATCTGCCACGTCTCTTCATTCGCAGAGAGAAGGTCGGGATCAGTAACTGACTTACAACATTCAACTGACTGTCAGTCTTTCTTCCATCTAGATTATTTTTTGACTCCTTCGTCACTTTAGTGTCTCTATAATATGTAGCTTCTTAGAACAAATAAAAATAACGTTTTGGAATGACGGGGACAATAAATGAGCCAGTTATTCAAGAAATAGATGAAACAATTGTGAGTGAGTTGATTTAAGAACCGACATCACAGCACTCGGGGCATTCTCATAAGCGCTCCGTCCCCATCTTCAGCAGCCAGTGAAGAGTTCCGATGCTAATGGTGCCAGTAGCATTCTGATTAAACGTCCGTCTTGCCTTTCCTCTGAGCCTCGAGCATCTGCCAGAACCTCTCATCACTCCCCGCTGCATCAATCTCACCAGACTGGTGATCCATCTGCTCCTCCGAACCGTACACGCTCTCCCGCAAGGCACTAACCACGTCTGCCTTATCATGCATCAGTATTCCACGAAGCTCTGCAGAGCCAGCCAATCTGTTCGCCTGTTCATTTCCTAACACACCGGCGTATCCCAGTGATAAAATCCAGACAATACTCTTCACCCGTGTCCTCCCCAGTGAAGCATGCCACTCTTCACGAAGCATACCTGTTCTGATCTTCCTCGGCAAGCTTTCTGAATCGGTTACAATCACGATGTGTGTGTGTGTGTAGTGTTCTCTAGCCAGCGGAAAGCTTCACCTCCATTATCAAGCTGGATGTTGTGGTGTCATATATTAGGCACACTTGCACCAAATGTCGACAATTAACTTTTGCTAAGAAACGCCAAGCACTTCTTTTGCCTCTTGACACTGAACCGTCTGTGTAAATAATCAAATCCTTTGAGCGAGCATTATCTTGAATTAATTACCGAATTTCCACCTCTGTGGCACCTGCTGGCCAGTCTCTGCATTACCGGCTCCGTGTGACCATGACCCTACACAAGTCTGGCTGTTCATGTGGCACTTTGACCTACTCCTCTCCTCGCCTAATGTGCTCAAGGATGCAGTGCCCTCTTAGCAAGCATGTCGTAAAAAGCTACTATCTAGGGAAGTTTCCTTCTAAGTCGTAGTGTATATGCCCGAGAGGCGAGGTACCAACAGTTTCCACGCAAATCGGTCACATATGTAAAACGGATAAGTACGCAAAACTCAATTATTTACAAAGAGACCCTCTTTACATGATTAGAGGAATCCTTTAGCTAAATTTTCCGGGGAGGGGGGGGGGGGGGGCTGGGGGTGAATGGGACGCGGCTTCTCTAAAAATAGACTCGTGGCTTGAGATATTTGAGTCTTTAATTCCTGATGCCCCTATTGTAACATGCTGACTGACTTTTTATCCCACTAGGACATCACACTGAGCGATAAACACCCGGTGACACAGAGGTGCTACCATTCGGATGAGGATCATCCGTTTAATCGTTAGGTTATATTAGGGCCCCCTGCAACAACCAGAGTTGGGCTTCAAAATAACGAAAAATACGTCCCACATGGGGACGGGGATTACTGAAAAATGTGAAGCTTCGTATTGAAATAACAGTTAATGGTATGCGTTTGTTTCGTTTAACAGGCTTTCGCTACATGTTCTGTGATGCTTAAAAATGTTTTTTAAATCTGCAGACATCCTACCGGACCTCCAACCCGTTCTCAGTCCACGACAAAAGACACGTCATCGAAAGCCAGGCTGAGTATCTAGGCAACGTAAGTAATGAACTGAAGCTACTGGTCTGTGAAGGGTTAACTAAATCGAAAACAATAGTAGTTATTTGAATAATTAGAAAGTCCATGTTTAACTATTTTTTTTTTAATAAATGGCAATTACTTCGAATGTGGAATGTATCTGCCTGAGAGTCTACGAACCAACCAGCCGGATACTTCTTTCTCTTTCGTTCGCTTGAAATAGATTATCTATAACCACAATGTCATAGGCCTCTCTGGTAAACGGATGTGAGAACATAACTCAAGACCAAAGTCCACAAGAAGACAAACAACCACAAGTTTTTACCAGAGTTTACAGCTGGTGAACAGTGAGAAGAAGATAAATGTCTAAATTGTACCCACCATGTAATGTCATCAAAATGTCAACATGCACACACACATCACACACATAACTGTACTGTTATTTAGTCACTAGTATTCTACCTTGGAGTGCAGAGGCTTGCCAGAGAGGTTGCCAGACTTCTTTTCTTCTGCCGTCTAGATCCCCACTTAAGCATAAGCCCTCAACCAACTCACGTCAAGTCGTTCTACCCTTCGCCATCGCTTGCAGCTCAAAACAGGCTCTCCCCATCTTGTTACCTTCACTCTCTATGGATCTTTTATATGTAATTTTGTAGACATATTCATTATTATTTTTTGTAACTAAAATTAAACGATAATATAGTTTCACCATCCATATATTTAAAAGGCTTATATATTTTAAAGTTTTCTGAGATTAGGTGAAGTTATTTAAAACTGCAGAGGTATCGGGTCTTTATAAAGTTTAGGGGCTCATCAAATCCGGCACTGCTGGGGTGGCTATGCGAGTACCGGAACTGCGCTAAACAAACATTATAAGGAGATTAATGGGAAGATTTTAATTATGTCACACCTTTTCTGCAAGACTACATTAGGAAGGTAAGTGAGGAGAAATGACTGCAGATATGTTTAGAGATTGACATCTAAGAAGAACCCTATCAAATGTATGAGGTGGCAACAGTGGTCATGAAATCCCATGCACTTATTGTGGAAGCAAGTCTTGCTGGTCAAACTCAAGGTCCCCACGATCTGGGATTCTCAGGGGTCTTTACAGCACAATAAAACATATCGTCTCAACAGAAGCACAAGTAAAAACAACAACAACAAGGTTTCAAACACGCTCTTTGTTGACTGTGTAACAGTTGTTTCGTTGTTCAACAACGAAATACCACTAAAGATGTTGTGAACGGTACTCGTGTGAGCGTGCGTGCGTGTGTGTCTAAATGGGATTATTACTCCTGACTCTGTCTTGCCACTGGACCCAGATAAGACTCCGGCGAGAGAGTGAGGACGACGACACTGCGCAATTCTTCCTCACTTTAATCCAGGTCACTCTTTCATCACCATCACTACTTGACGAAAAAGAGTGGTCATTATCATCTTGATGGACAACACTAACACACATTATTACTACTGCCTGCTTTCAGGGATCTCACATGCGACACTTTGGTAGACGTCTTCATCCTATTGATTGTCGTCTGCATCACACAGACGCCACATTCCTCCACCACAATAATTCAGACTCTCCACATCGTTACAGCCCTACAACAGCTACAACATACACAGACCCCTGTCTCCTTGAACCCGTAACAACCAGAAGGTTCCCCAAGATTTACAAAACCACGGAGGTAAGTGATAATTGTTATTTGGTTAAATGTATGACAGATGTACTCTACGCAGGGTGACAAACGTCACTTTAGAAGTTCCGGTTAGTTAACGTCCATTGTACCTTTGTGGTATGTTGGGAAACGAACTGAAAGAAAGGTTGGCTGGTTGTTTCAGGGAGTGAGTTGACAGTGCGGAGGCCTCGTGAAATCCTCACGAAGAGAAAGGCGTGGCGAGGAGTGCCATCATCAGAACTGGAACTCTGCACTGGTTGCTGAAGATGACGACGGGACGCTTGTGGGAATATCCCAAGTGCTAGGATGTCTATTATTAACTCATTTCCAATTCTATACTAGAAAAAACTCGAAAACTCGAGGAGGTTCAACCTGCTGTTGCCAGCAGTCTCTGCTATGTATGTGGTCTGGTTTACTTGTGCTACTTGCGTAGCTAAGATTGTGGTGAATGCGCCAGATCTTTGGCTTCATGTTATATCCTAACAGATGGTCTTAACTTAGCTTAACTCTTTACTGGGTTGGTCCTGGTACGTCGTCATGTGTCATCGTCATAATCTTCTGGGATTAATCTCACAATAGAACATAAGCTCTGACCCAGTGCACATCACTCTCTTTGTAAGCTTGTTCGTGGTTGGTTGGGTTTTGTAACTAATGCTTTGTAAAGGCTAATTTTTGGTTAAATATCTGCTTTCATCCGCGTAACAACGACGCAAATCAGAGGGAGATAAAACCAAGAGGAAATACTAAGTAAGAAAAGGAAAGACATGCACAGCTAATAACAGGGTGGATGACGAGTGGTCCGACTCGGAAGGAAGTATTTATTAGGTCCAGAGACAGCGCAAATTATAGAAATTTAGTCACGAAAGTGATGTAAATAACCCAGACCACAAACATAGGCAGAGACTGTTAGCAGCCTCGGCTAGCTAGCAGCAGTCTGAAAGTGATCGACCTTTTAATTTTTTTTTTTTTTTTTCTTAAAAGGAATCGGAATAACGACGCATCGACGCCAGCGTGGTTTACTGCTTCAACAATGGCTGACTCGGTATGTGGTCGGAAAGAATTCGAGTCAACATACCAGCACTGCACAAATCCTTTTTGTAGTTAGTTGATGACCAGCAGTTTTAGGTTTTGAATATCGTGCCAATAAACACCTATCCGCTATATAACAAAACAAAACAACACAAAACGCCCACCCCTCCCTTTTTAAGAGGGGAAAAAAAAGGGGGGGGGGGTTGAACGTGGTCGAGTTTTTCAACGAACTTTGAACTTGGGCAATGATTCGATGTCACATAATTCAGAACAAGACCACAGAAGCTGTGCCCCCCCCCCCCCCCTCCTCAACAGCAAACGAAGAGCTTCCATACAGACTTCACACGTTCTCATCTGGTTAGTTATTCGTCTTGCTTTGCTTGATTAACGTTGCCTAGATTGTGTATTAATTGTAACGGATTGTAGAAGTATAGGCTGTTATGTGTACTTTCAGGGCGCCTTTTAATTAATTGTATATCCACCGTCCCAATACGGGATGCTATTTGTTGTGGTTTTAAAGCCCCACCCAGGGTGTGGTCGGGGGGGGGGGGGCAAAAATATAACCTAACGGTTGAAAGGGATTTCTGAGACCTGTTGCTGAGTGTTCCTCATCCCAATGGTTGTACTTTGTGCTACCAGGAGTTTATCGCTCGGTGCGATATCTTGGTGGGGTTGAACGTCAGTAAAATATTTGTAATCATCAGATTGTTATCATCTTTTGGAATATTTAAAGTGATACAAGATACATTTTTTTTTGGTCTAAAGAATTTTGAAACATATATGCAAAGATCTGTTCTACAGGATAAGTAACCAGTCTCACTCAACGCTTTTTTTATCTTTTTTTTTTTTTTTTTTTTTAAACTAAGGACATGTAATTCCTGCCTGTTGTGTACTTCGTGTTTCTCTGTTACCGTCGGGTGTCGCAATCTAACTGTACAGTTGAATGGGGCTTACTGAGATTTCTATAAGTATGATTCTCATCCTTGAGGTGGTAAACCTGGCGACTGTAATTCTGGAGGGTACAAACTGCAAGCATGCAATACGACATGCATATGTTGACTTCTTTTATGAAATTGTGGCTTCCACAGTGAGTGTTAGCTACAATAGATATGAGCATCTTTGGGAAGACTAGACAGTAAGGGGCGTCTGCCAGGGTGTGACTCTCATACCAGTATCCAAAAGCCACCCGAAAAGTCTTCTTCCTCAGCATCCCGTCGAGGAAAACAGACCTTGGTACGTCGACTATTATAAAACAAGTTCACTAATGTATCTGCCACAGAATTTGCTGCAGTATTATTTTTTCCCTTTGCATGCACATCGGTGACTGTATACATTCGTAATGTTTATTGTTTTAGAATCGTAAATGTTGACACTAATTTGCGTCACCAATAAGTTCAACAATTTCTCCTGACAGACATCTCAGCCACCGACCAGAAGAGCAAGTGGACATGAAATCCCTTACAGGACCCCTCTGCACGTGCTTGCCGTCACCCAGCAACCATTGGCTACTCATAGCGACTGGAAATATAGTTTCCATGGCGACACCAGCGTCTACCCACCTTATCATACGAAAAAATACCATTCCTCGTAAGCTCCAACTAGGACACCGCAAACGTCATTTCATTAGAGAGGAGACTTGAATTTAGAGCTCAGAAAATGACAGAATGTTCAATTGTGTACACAGTTTTCTCGACAGAGCTCCATTCTGACTAACAAATCTAACTGGAATTGTTATTGTCAACAAAATTTTCATTTAAATGAGTCATTCAAAAAACATAAAAATGCCACCTGTGTACGTATAATTGGACCCTGCTGTCTGCTAGACAGATTTCAGTTCCTGGAACTTTTTGACCCTATCAGTGTTTTTTTCTTTTTTTCTGTATTTACTATTTTAATTTACTTATTGTTGCTGCTGTTGTTGTTGCAAGTCACATAGGTCGTAAATAGAGGAGAATGTGTATTCTGTAATTAATATAGTTGTGATATTAAATAATTATTTTTGTAGGTGATCCTTGTCGAGATCTGAACCTTTACATCCTTGTCGAGATCTGAACCTATACATCCTTGCGAGATCTGAATCTATACATCCTTGTCGAGATCTGAACCTAAACATCCTTGTCCAAATCTGAACCTATACATCCTTAACAAGATCTGAACCTATACATCCTTGATGAGAACTAAACCTATAATCTTTATCGAGATCTGAACCTATACATCCTTGCCGAGATCTGAACCCATACATCCTTGTTGAGATCTGAACGTATACATCCTTGATGAGATCTGAACCTATACATCCTTGTTCAGATCTGAACCTATACATCCTTGTCGAGATCTGAACCTATACATCCTTGTCGAGATTTGAACCTATACATCCTTGTCCAGATCTGAACCTATACATCCTTGTCCAGATCTAAACCTATACATCCTTTTCCAGATCTAAACCTATACATCCTTGTCAAGATCTGAACCTATACATCCTTGTCGAGATCTGAACCCATACATCCTTGTTGAGATCTGAACCTATACATCCTTGTCCAGATCTGAACCTATACATCCTTGTCAAGATCTGAACCTTTACATCCTTGATGAGATCTAAACCTATAATCTTTATCGAGATCTGAACCTATACATCTTTATCGAGATCTGAACCTATACATCCTTGTCGAGATCTGAACCTATACATCCTTGTCAAGATCTGAAACTATACATGCTTGTCAAGCAAGATCTGAACCTATACATACTTAACAAGATCTGAACCTATACATCCTTGTCGAGATCTGAACCTATACATCCTTGTCCAGATCTGAACCTATACATCCTTGTCAAGATCTGAACCTTTACATCCTTGATGAGATCTAAACCTATAATCTTTATCGAGATCTGAACCTATACATCTTTATCGAGATCTGAACCTATACATCCTTTTTGAGATCTTAACCTATACATTCTTGTCAAGATCTGAAACTATACATGCTTGTCAAGCAAGATCTGAACCTATACATACTTAACAAGATCTGAACCTATACATCCTTGTCGAGATCTGAACCTATACATCCTTGTCCAGATCTAAACCTATACATCCTTAACAAGATCTGAACCTATACATTCTTGTCGAGATCTGAACCTATACATCCTTGTCCAGATCTGAACCTATACATCCTTGTCGAGATCTGAACCTATACGTCCTTGTCGAGATCTGGACCTATACATCCTTGTCCAGATCTGAACCTATACATCCTTGTCAAGACCTGAACCTATACATCCTTGTCGAGATCTAAACCTATACATTCTTTTCCAGATCTAAACCTATACATCCTTGTCAAGATCTGAACCTATACATCCTTGTCGAGATCTGAACCCATACATCCTTGTTGAGATCTGAACCTATACATTCTTGTCCAGATCTGAACCTATACATCCTTGTCCAGATCTGAACCTATACATCCTTGTCGAGATCTGAACCTATACATCCTTGTCCAGATCTGAACCTATACATCCTTGTCGAGATCTGAACCTATACATCCTTGTTGAGATTTGAACCCATACATCCTTGTCCAGACTTAAACCTATTCATCCTTGTCGGGATCTGAACCTGTACATTTTTGTCCAGATCTGAACCTAATCCTGGTGGAGATCTGAACCTACACATTCTTGTCGAGATCTAAACCTATACATTTAGATTACTTTTAAACCTATACATCCTTCTCGAGATCTATACAATCTTGTCGAGATCTAAACCTATACAGCCTTGTCGAGATCTGAACCTATACATCCTTGTCAAGATCTGAACCTATACATCCTTGTCAAGATCTGAACCTATACATCCTTATCGAGACCTGAACCTATATAAAGCTCAAAAGCTTCTGGTTTTAAACACAATACAATACTACTCAATACGGTACTTAATTTATAACTTACCCCTGACGTCACGACAACATCACAGGAGACATTCCCAATAAATTCTAGGGTGTTCAGGTTGTAGTTTCTCGCGATTTATCTACAGCCAAGTTTAGGGTTAGGGGTAGGGTTAGGGTTAGGATTAGAAGACACTAGATGAACACTCAAACCAAAAAACACACAACAGCACACTTCCACCCCTTTAAATAATGGACTGTCAGGTCAGCTGTGGATTTCCCACGGGGATTTCGTGTTTGGGGTACCTTATAAATTAAGAACCCTCAATACTTCTGCCCCCTGTGTGTTCCTAAGTAAACGGCGACCAATTAGGAATATTTCCTTAGTAGCTGGAGTGCACCTGCCTGAAACGCAAAGAACCAACAGTCTACATACAAATAAGCCCGATTTTTAAAAGAAAATATGTGTGGGAGTGTAGCTGTATGTGTGTGGGCGTGTATCTGTGTTTTTGTGTGGGCGTGTATCTGTGTGTGGGCTTGTATCTGTGTTTTTGTGTGGCTTGTATCTGTGTGTGGGCGTTTAACTGTTTGTGTGTGGGCATGAATCTGTGTTTGTGTGTGGGCATGTATCTGTGTTTGTGTGTGCGTGTGTATCTGTGCTTGTGTATAGGCGTGTATCTGTGTTTGTGTGTGGGAGTGTTTGTGTGTGGGCGTGTGTGTGGGCATGTATCTGTTTGTATGTGGGCGTGTATCCGTGTTTGTGTGTGGGCATGTATTTGTGTTTGTGTGTAGCCGTGTATCTGTGTTTGTGTGTGAGCATGTATCTGTGTTTGTATGTTAACGTGTATTTGTGTTTGTGCATGTATCTGTGTTTGTGTGTGGGCATGTATTTGTGTTTGTGTGTGGATGTGCATCTGTGTTTGTGTGTGAGCATGTATCTGTGTTTGTATGTGAACATGTATTTATGTTTGTGCTTGTATCTGTGTTTGTGTGTGGGCATGTATTTGTGTTTGTGTGTGGGCATGTACCTGTGTTTGAGCCCCAGAGAAGCTTTCATAGCATTATTAACATCCTGAAAGTCAAACGCAATTAAAACTTGTATTAAATTTAAAATATTATTTAACACTAATATCAAATCAACAATGCTGTTCGAAGCTAAAACATATGGAGCAGCTAAAACAATTACTAATAAACTAAATCTATTAATAACTGGTGCTAGAGCAGAACAGAGGTAGTTAAATAGTATGACAGGATCACTGATGTTGAACTGTGAGATAGAACTAAGCAAATTCTGGCGAGTCAAGAGGCTAGGAAAAAATAGATGCTGGCATTGGATAATACACATGTTGTGAAAACTTGAGAACAATATAACTAGAATGTCTTTGTACTGGAACCCACTGGAGCATAGAAATAAAGTCAGACCCCCCCCCCCTTTCCCAACAACAAAATGGAGAAGAGGGCTAAAGAGTGAAGTTAAAAAGATAGGAAGGACATTAGCAGGCCTGAATGAAACAGCAAAGGACAGAATAATTGGCTGACCTGAGCTGGTTGAGGGCCTACGCTCCAATGAGGGATAATGAGCAGAAGAAGGAGAAGAAGTAGGCCAAGGAGCTGTTATTTCACTCCTTATATTCCAAGACGTTTACTTAAAGGCAATACATATTTAGATTGAGAAGCAAATGGCATAAAGGTGGTTAAACTATTAATTCAGACACAAAATATTACTATAACCACTAGTTGTGATAAAAGACAGTGAGATTTTGTAATGTGTTTGGAATGAACATGCTATGTGTGGTCAGTTGTTTGGTAGTGAACCCTCAATGCTCAGAGTTGAGTTGAGTCAAGAATTGACATCACAGCACAATGGACATTCCCATGCATGCTCCTTCCTCATCTTCAGCAGCCAGCGCAGAGTTCCAGTACTGATGGTACCGGTCATAATCTGGTTAAATGTCGGTCTTGCCTTTTCTCTGAGTGTAGTCAGCAGGCCAAACCCTCTGGTTACACTCAGGTGCCTCTCTCCAGGCCATAATAATAATCTTCTTTCTCCACTGATTCCATTGCTTGTTCCCAAAGGACCTTGACCACAACTGCCTTGTCATGTATCAATTCACCACCCAGTGGTGCGGATCCAGCCAATCTGTCCACCTGTTCATTACCCATCACGCTGGCATGGCCTGGAAAAAAGATCCAAAGTATGCTCACTACCCGTGACCTTTCCAGTGAAGCTTGCCACTCTGCTCGAAGCATCCCTGTCTTCACTTTTCTCAGCATGCTTTCAGAGTCTGTTACAATCACGACATGTGTATGCATCTTGTTCTCTTGGCACCGGACAGCTGCAGTTACTGCCTCCACCTCCATTCAGAAGAGTATGAAGCCTTTACCCACAAACTGTCACATCAAACATAGGGTTTCACACTTATATAAATTTAGTAATATTAATTTCAGAATGAGACATGTTATGAGACGAGGTAAAATGGAACATGTGACCACTTGAAAGATTTGTGAAAAGAGAGACAGAGAAAGACAAAGTGAGAAGATTCTTGACAGCTTTTTGTCATGGAGGAGTGTCAGCACATGAACTGTTGTTACATGCTGCTGAGATCACAAGTTGTGGAAAGGCATGGTCGCCCCACCCCTTTGATAGATACACATGTATATTATTTGGCATACTATGATCATACTTGGTCAACTTACTGGCACCAGCAGAAACAGCTAAATAGCTTTCATTCGCGATGCCTGAGAAGAATACCTGGTATTAAGTGGCAAGACAAGATCACAAACTTGGAGGTACTGAAAACAGCAGGTATTACAACAGTTTTTTTTCTCAACTCTTAACGAAGGCTTAGGTGACTGGGCCACACCTGGAGAATTGAGGATGATAAGAGTCCCTAAGGACATCCTCTGTGGTGAATTAGAGAAGGGTGGAAGATGTTGAAGCCAACCTCCACTATGATTTATAGATGTGTGCAAATGGGACATGAATGATACAGATATTGTGGTAGATTTGTTGGAACAAAATGCCATGGACCGTGTTGCAAGAAGGTGCACATGAGGAAAAGAATGAAGAAAGAAATTATTGCAGAAAACATGAAAGCTGAGCGTCTGAGACACTACATACAAATGATAGCAAAAACAGTCCTTATGCTATAATTGTGGAAGGCTTTTCTTAACACGGGCGGGTCTTGCTAGTTACACTCGCCATCCACATGGGCTGTGAGTCACATGCCTCCTCATATCACAATATAACACCATCGTCAGGAAAGACGAAAAGGTGCTAACATGGAGGGGAGGCCAACAGGAAGACTGTGACCAGATCGGAGACTGTAGATCGTGTGTTCTATGGAACCATGCTTGTCCCTGTTTACTTGCGTGGAACAGGATAACGATGACAGATTTGAAAAGTTCAAATCAAAGTCCCGATACTGCACAAGTGGAGAGTGCAACAGAACAGAGTATATCTATACTCGGAGAGACTGACCCAGCGAGAAGTGTGCAGAGGGTCTAGACAATTTTAAATGTGCACGGGAAAAACCAAGCGACATAGGTTATTACTGGCAGCATCAGTATGGAAAAATTGTTGCTGGCTCCTGAGGAAGGGATCAGAGCTTGTGTGGGAACGTCAATTCTTGTTATATTCATCCATCCCATACTGTTCAACCCTGAGGCAGTTATTGTCCTTGAAACATGCATATTTTCACAGGTAAATGAACAAGACACAAACAAGAGAAAATGTTTGAAAAATTTATTAAAGGTCTAAGTTAGTGTCCACATTGTGGAGAAATGATAATGTGAGAGACATGTTTCATGTGAGAGACATGTTTCATGTGAGAGACATGTTTCATGTGACAAACAGGCACAGCCATTAGCAACTACTTCATTTTCTCCAAATGACTTCCACATTGTGCAACTCTTTCTTAGTTAATCCTAAACAGCAAGAGTAACCTATATTTAATATCAAAATAAAGCAAACCAAAGATAAAAATAAATAAATGCCATAAAGTAATGAACTAACCTTCATTTTGCCAAGTGGCAACGGCCATCATGCTTCTCAACACCTGAAAATCTCCAACCATGTGTGCCAATTAAACCAGATCTCAATTTTAATACAACACACACATGTCATACACACACACACACACACACACACCATACCCACTTGCTGGGGGGTCTCCGTGACAAAGTGGTTAAGCCGTTTACCTCGCACTCTGAAGGTCTGAAGGGTCTCCGTGACGAAGTGGTCAAGCCGTTTACCTTGCACTCTGAAGGTCTGGATGGGGTCTCCGTGACGAAGTGGTCAAGCCGTTTACCTTGCACTTTGAAGGTCTGGGGGGTCTCCGTGACAAAGTGGGCAAGCCGTTTACCTCGCACTCTGAAGGTCGTGACTTCGTTTCACGGTGACACCTTTCAGTTCACGAGTGCAGTTTCTATGGAAATCACTGGGATCGTCGCTATAGCTATGGAGGTCGTGCTCTGTGCGACACTCTTGGTAGGCAGGTTGCTGATCTGTGGAGAGAGACTGAGCCATGTGAGATAAAACCCAGTGCAATGAAGTCGATCCTCTCACCTTTTACACACCTGCAGCTGTGTTAGTCAGTGAACATGTCTACCAACATAGTGGTTGGTGGTTCAATCTAAAGATGTACTAAGATTACACTCTAAAAAGACAAAGGCAACTGGCCACCTACCCTGGTATGTGAATGCATGTCCTTATGTCTAAGCAATAAAGAAACTTGAAAAAAAAAAAACAATACCCAAGACAGAACAAATCAACTTAACCCCTTCGCCTGAAAAGCTGAAAAACATACACTTCCAATTGGGTCCAATACCCCATAAATGTCACTTTTCTGACTTGCATATAGTGGCCTGCTTAAGACTGCACATATAATGCTATTGGCCAAGTCCAAACCTGCACAAATGCCTAGGAGGTCAGGATACATAAACAAACAATAGGATGTAGGTTTTTCTATGAGCTAAATGCCTTTTTTTTTAAAGCCAAACTGACATAAGATTTTCTTAAACACCTCAGTGGTAGAGGTCAAGGGATGAGTCACCTAAATTTTTGGGGGGGGGGGGGGGGGCCTCAGAGGGATAAATTCTAATGCTTCACCTTGTTGGTGTTTACAGATTACTTCTTTAATAAATATATTTTTTTTATTCACGAAATCATGAACAGAACCGATCTTGGAGAAGAATAAATACAAGATCTTTTAATTCGTCCTTGTGTGCGTGTGTGCATGTGTGTTTTCCTCCTCATAGATTCCTCATCATCTTTTACCTGTCATCTCTCAGTGAAGTATGGCCATTTACCCAACTTACATCACATCCTTTGCTGACTTCTTCTTTTGTCATCTCACCAATACCATGTTGTATCCCAATATCATGGCTTTTTTTTTTTTTTAAACTATGTTTGTCATCTCACCAATACGAGGTTTTACCCTAGTGTTGTGATTTTATGACTTGTTCACACTTGAAATTCTGCAGCTAAATTTGTCTACGGGATGAGGTAGTCTCTCTTACACCAACCCTCCTTTGTGACGTCTTATGACATGCATGGTTTGTGACAGTGTTTCTATTCTTTGCTTCTCTTTTGAACCTCAAGAAGCTGCCCAACATTCCCTACTCGTAAATTCTGTGTGCATCTCCTCCTGGTTAACTCTGTTGCATTGTTTCCCTGAGTTTTTTTTTTTAATTTTGTTTGGTTTCCCATTTTATTTTAAGTGTGCTACAAATCTAATGTAGGGGGTAATGGAAAATAAGCACAAGCAAGACTTTCAGCAAACTGCACTTCGTCTTAGCATTCATCCACAGTAAACTCCCGTAGACAGTTGTGGTTGTTTGTCCACTTCTGGACTTTGGTTTTGTTCCAGAATTTGAGTTTTGCGTGAACATCCATTTTAGAGATATGGCGAATTTGTATGCAGACTGTTGGTTTCTCAGCACTCAGGCAAAAGCATTCTGACTCTGAAGAAAACAATCCTAATTAGTTTTTTATGCCACGCTTGCTGGGACTACGGCTTAGGTGTTGCAAACGCTTTTCGCCAGGTTCATCCCAGCTGCATGGGATTTGGAAGCAGAGCGTTTTGTGTTGGCAAACTAGTGAACGTCAATTTTGTCTAGAAAAAGAAAAACCATAACAGCCAAAAAATGCTGGGGTTGGTTCTGCAACGTCCTGTAAAGGATATGCAACTAACTTTCTATTTCTGTTGTAGTTGTTATTAGGATTGGAGAAAAAAAGAGGGAGCGGGAGGTGGGGGGGCAGAGCTGGAAAAAAAATATTTTTTTACCGTAACCCACAGAGGGAAGCAACTGTACACAAATCATACTATTGGCAAACTGTTCTACTAACTGACAAAACTACGAAAGATCATAATCATGAGTATGAATAAAAACAACAACAATGATAAGAGGTGTACAAGATTATATTTAAAAACTTGTATATACATGTTAGCTGACTGGCTGATTGTGAACCCTCTGGAAAATTTCATTTGAAACTCTCTAATCTGAAGCACAGTTTTTCATGTTTTATGAGCTACAGGCAGGGTTGTATCTACCAAACTAAGGTGAAACTAAGGAAAGTGCAACCTAAAGCAATTTACCGTACAACAGGACTTCAAAGAAAATGTGTTCTTGAAGTGTGCAAATTCTCAGTAGCAGTTAGTGAGGATTATTATCATGGACCTCCAGAGGGATCCACAGATGCCTCCAACCTCCTCCTCAAAAGCTCTAGAAATTTAACACAAACAATGGCACCTGTTTCATGTTAATTTCTTGCAGCTCCAGGCTACATCTCCATGTCCCTCAGCGTGGAAAGCGAAATGGAGTCATGTCCACTGCTGTATTTCGTCCTCGTGGTAACTACTGTGCATAATATTGACAAGAACACTTCTGTTCTGTACCAGACCAGCTAAAGCAACCGCAGTTTATGCAAGATAATCTGCACTCTCATTGCCTTGAATGCCTGCATGACCAGGCACACAGATAAAGATTAGGCTAGCAATCCGCCAAATGCTTATTGTTACAATCCATTAACTGAGTTAAACAACACTGTCAGGGTGAGAATTGTAATCTAAGCATAGTTTGATTAACTATGATGAGGTCAGCAAGGCAGGCAGCCAGGGTGAGGACCGTGAACAGTCATGCAGCAGGTCCATCTGGTGTTTACTATCATTTACATAAATCAAACACTTAGTTTAACCAGGTTTAACTAAACATAAAGCCAAGCACTAATAGTCTTAATGTTTAAGAAGCTAAGATGTTCAAGCGAAAGTGGAAGATAAGAACACAAATATGATGTCAACAAGTTGGTACAAGCAATTCATCTGGCAGGCTGTAGGCCCAATCCGGCCCGCAGAGGCCTTGCAAGTGGCTCACAGATCATTGGCATCATTATATCGTATTAATGATCTCTCGACACTAGAGTTCAGAACTATGGCCTGTGATGATCCTAATCTTCAACAGTTTGGCCTCTGACTAAACATAGTTGAATAAGCCTTGCCTTAAACAAACACACACAAGGACATTACCATTTTCTGATACTCTGTAAGAAAACTAAACCAAAAATGGCGGCAGGACAGTATTAGGCTCCATCACTGGCAAGAAAATTCTAAACATTTAAAACACAAATTAAGAGGAATGAAACTGTTCACATAACGAATACTTTCTCCAAATCCGCAACATGAAAGACTTCTTGAGTCCGAGGACACACAACTTTACCATCAATATCAGCCATTGTCTCCAAAGCCTGTAAAATAAAATGTTCATATTTTGTACTGCTCTGAAGATTAACAGTTCAGTAAGATAAATGTTTCCAATGTTCAGTGTAATACACTAACACAAGTCTACTATGAAAATGATAGATATAGTGAATTTGTACATTTTAGATACTGAAAACCCGCACCTGGAGAGAAGGTTGCAGCCGGGAGTGTCTGGGCTCTAGGCGCCACTCGAGACTCTGGGAAGGGGGTGGTGGGGGAAAGACAAGACGAGTAGTTAACCAAATGATAACAGGCACCACCAGGGAGGAGACTTTTTCCTGGCTGTAGTGAAGAAATGGAGCTAATATGGGCTTTTCCTGAATGCTGGGATGTCGAATCTATACAGGGGTGAACCCAGATTTGTAAATGATTATGTTATGTGCAAAGCCACTGTTGCCATGAAAAGCCAGATCTGCAGTGATGAAATTTGAAGTCAGTTTGGTAAACTGATAGTAGGAACCAAACACAGAAGAAAGAATAGGATGGCTAGCCATATTCGGGAAAATACAAGCACTGGAAATGAGATCTTTTGGATAGATCCTTTAAAAATTATACAGAGATCACATCACAAATGACAAAGTTCGCTGCATCATCACTCAACACTCTGGCAACAATAAACTTCTCTCTTTTAACAACAGTGAAAAGATGGAAATGCACTGGTACAGACATGTTACAAGATCAATCAATCTATCCAAAAGGATACTATATTACTTGAAAGATGGGAAGAGAAGAAGTTGATTGAGGAAGACCTGGATACAGAATCTGGCTGAATGGACATGCCTCAGACATGCAAACATCAGGTTCATTGCATCTGACTGACAAAGATGGAGGGAACTGATCATACAGTCAATATAGACTGATGATCCAATGAACATAGTAATTTTGGACTAAGATGAAGATGAACAGCATTCTAAACAAATCAAAAAGTATTAATAAAGGGTGGCGGCTGATCAAGTTATCTATAATATAAAACACAAACCCCTTCTGTATTTTGTGTGTTTGTTTTATATGAGCTGTTTACTACTTCAAAACCGTGACCAATACACGGGTTAAATTTTCAACTGCCATTTTGGCTACAATGTTGAATTGAACAGTCAAATTGGCGGCCATGTTACTGTGCATTTCTTTTATTTATTGTGACAATCAGCAAAAGTAAACGTTTGGCGCAGTTATATCCCTTCAAATATTTTTCATCTTCTATCGTCCTCATATTATTTAAATTTAAAAAAAAAATGTGTTTCATTTTTATCTTCCTAGAAACACAGACTGTAAGATAGAGGCCTTAGAGGTTGTTGTTGCTTTATCAGTCAGGTCTGGGGAAAACTGCTAACATGCTGAATTTTAGCCCTGAGTCACTGCCCCATCACTCCAAAGGGATGCTAAAGTGGTGGTAGTGCTATGGGAAGAACTGGTCTAGGACGATCCTACCTCTCCACCTTGGGCTGTGACTTAGGGGCCAGCTCCCAAACCCTGTACAAATTCAGAGAATCCCAGACATGCCCTGAAATAGGACACTGACACAATAAGGCATCCAAGAAAAACTTAAAGACAGAAAGTTTATGTTGTGCTTGATCCTCCATGGAGTTTCTACTACATTTACGACAGCGGTGAAGACCAAGATGAGAACAGAACTTTCTTTCACTATCCCGGGTGAAGCCATGCATTTATATCTAGTGAAAGCATTTTTTTTGTTTAAAACATTAATTAACAGAGGACAACTTATCAAGTTCTGAAAGTTTAGAACATGAGCTTAACGAATAAGGCTGACCAAGTAATGAATTGCAAAAACAAAAATCTAAAAAAGATGGATGCAGTAGATCTGTGAACACGGGACACAAATTAATATGAGGATGGTGAAGGTTAATTTAGACATATTAGTAGATGTCTTGTATTTAATATATACACATCAATGTTGCAAAAACATTTTAAAAATTATCATAGTAATCAATCATTTATCATAGCAGGAAGTTACTACTAAAGATAAAACCGGTATTTAATGCAGAGTATTTTCTTCCGGAGCAATTTTCATTGCTGTGCTTAAATGCTTAAAAGAGAAGCAGCTGGCCAGAAAGTTAAGAATGTCAGGTTCTCAGGTGTGGGATCTGGGTTCAAATCCTCATTAAGGTTGAGGGTATTTTTTTTCTGTCGGGGTCAAAAATAAAATCCTAACCTGCACAGTATGTGGTGACAGCACTAGCCATGTAGCCTTAAATACTAGGCTCAAAGACACCCCCCCCCCCCCCCACTGCATGCACCACAAAAGTGGTTAATAGAGGCAGTTTTGGGGTTAAATGACAAGCAGAAATGAACACAGTTTTCTAGACACAGATCATGGCCTAATGTGTTTGTTTGTGTTGCTTTTCTTATAACACAAGCACACTCTTCTTCTTTTCTCTACTCCTGGAAAGCCTCGCGGCGTCAGGGTAGGAAGAGATCCCTGGAACGGGCCTTAGCTGGGGTCTCATATGAGTGTCCCACAAAGCATTTACTCTAAAGCTCTAGCAAACACTCCTAAAGATTTCACCACCAAACAAAAACTGCACTTATAATTAAATAACAGTGAAAAACAAACCTACAGACTACAACCATAAGGTTAAAAACGGCTTGACTATTTGACAACAGGAAGATATAGATTTTCAGTCCAGGATATTCTGGTTCTAGGGGTAATGAGCAGGCTGAGAGATGCTGTTGCTGCTCCTCTGGGTGGTGAGCTTCTTTATGATAAAGCTGACAAAATGAAGGCTCCCTGTGATTAAATGGACACTGCAACAGAATCGACAGAGAATTCATACACAGAAAGACTAATTCAACTTGAATGGGATGGGGAGGGGGTAGAGGTTCTGGCCCAAATTATTAACATGTCAGCTCTTCGTTGGCTACTGAAAGAGGAGGAGCATTTGTGGAAAATGTCCCGAGTACAGTGATGTCAACAGGAGAGAAAAAGGTGGATTTTTAAACTGGCTACAACTCATATTATTAAGATATCAGCTCTTCGTTGGCTACTGAAGAAGGAGAGGGAGCCTGTGTGGGAATGTCCTGAGTTCAGTGATGTCAATTGTTCATTCATTCATACATTTACCAGAGAGACACCTGATAGTCAATATCACATTACCACAGGCTCAGAATGATTCCACCCTTCCAAACAACTGAAGATCTTACCTTCAAACCATAAATCCGACCGTTCGGCAACATCATTGGGGGGTTGTGCTCATTGAGAGCGTAGCCTGTGATACTACAGACCAACTTTGAATTAGCACAGTGAGCAAACGGCAAGGGTTGAGCCAGTTCATTCATGTGCGTGCTACACACGGGACAGTCTGGATTACGGACATTTGTGTCATCCTTGTAACAGTGACTAGGGCAAAGGTTAAGGAATTATGCAGAAAAAAAGGGAAATTACACAGTATATATGTCTAGAATTTATATCTGAAAATGTTAAATAAATTTTTTCTTTTACTTGCCGCTCACTAGCGGTAAACTCTGATGGAAATTTCTAGTTGTTTGTCTACTTCTATTTAAAGATCTGGCTTATCTGTATGCAGACTGCTGGTTCCTTACCTCTCAGGCAGATGCACTCCGACTTCAAAGGAAACAGCCCTAATTAGTTGCCTGTTACAACAAGCTTGCTGGTCTATTCTTTTTTCCTCCACCATAGCCTGGAACCCACATAGGGGGCCTTAGAATACAGAAAGTAATAACACTTCCACCCCCACATGAAAATAGGGCCAAATTTATGAATCTTCACCTTTTCATTTTTCGTAGGGAGGGGACACAGCAATTATGCTTCTGCTTAATGTGAATTGTCTCTGGTCACAAATTAAAAAACATCAACAAAACTACATTCTTCAATAAAAGATACAGAGTTTTTAGAGCTGAGAGGCCAGCTTGTAATGTGGCTGTGAACACGGAGGTGCTGTTCAACTGATGGAGCTTGAAATTTTCTTGACGGAACTGAAGAATTAATTTATTCCAGCTTTCAGCAGACAACAGTTCCTGGAAATTACAGAAAATACAGCCTGAACTTTTAACATAATAACTACAGGTATACAGATTGTGAAAGATGAGTATAAACATCAGTGAAATCATGGACAGATAATATATGCTATCATCTATATGTTACTGGAGCTTTTAAGGAAAGGAGATCAGTAAACTCTGCAACCAATCAGATGTGTTGTCTCTGTGTGGCTTTCTGACATTCATTGTTTTGTAGGGATGGGGGGGGGGGGGGGGGGGGGGGGTGACAATCACTGCTCCTTAACAAGCATGTCTAAGTCGACTAATCAAGGATTTGTTAAAATCAGATGTGTTGGGCCAAAAGATGCAAATATCACAGCCCAGCTGTAAACAACAACACAATTTGAATCTTCCCTTTTAAGGACAAACACAGAAGAAGATGTGTCACGAGAGGCAACAGTGGAAAGTTAGCATAAAACTGATTATGCCATCACACATACAACTGTATCCTCATAGAATCACTCTAGACTACCACAACCCCTGAAATGTCTTCTCAGATTCATTAAATACTGGAATATTTGTATTATCTTTACATATAATGACCTGTAAAACTTTCTCCTCTGTAGAACTATCGTAAATAGGACTCCCCATGTGGATTCCGGGGCCCTACTGTGAGGGGAAAAAACCCAGACCCACTGCCTCCCCAACAAGCATGTCCTAAGAGGCGACTAACTGGAGGCTGCCTTCAAAGTTGGAGTGCATTTGCGTGAGAGGCAAGGAACCAACAATCTACATTCAAATAAGTCAGATCTGTAAAATGGATGTGCAAGCAACACTCAGGTTCTGGAACAAGATTACAGTCCAGAGGTGGATAAGCAACCAGCACTTTCTACCAGAGTTTCAGCCAGTGAACGTAAAGAAGAAAAGACAATAAACAAGATTACAGTCCAGAGGTGGATAAACAACCAGCACTTTCTACCAGAGTTTCAGCCAGTGAACGTAAAGAAGAAAAGACAATAAACAAGATTACAGTCCAGAGGTGGATAAACAACCAGCACTTTCTACCAGAGTTACAGCCAGTGAACGTCAAGAAGAAAAGACAATAAACAAGATTACAGTCCAGAGGTGGATAAGCAACCAGCACTTTCTACCAGAGTTTCAGCCAGTGAACGTCAAGAAGAAAAAGACAATAAACAAGACTACGCACCACACAGAAAATTTTAGCTGCAAAATCCAAACAATCATGAACTAAAACAAGGAAGACAAAAACAATAGATTGCACAAATTAATTTTTTGCCAGGCATATTTCGCTGTATCTCGTCAGGTGCAAATTTTTTTTAATGAAGGGAGTAAATGAATTCTTCGAACTGTAACAAAATCGACCACATTCGAAAACTGTCTGTTTCGTCAGGGTAAATACAAGGTGAAGGGCATATCTCTGAGCTCAAGCCAGGATCTGTTTCTAGGCTGACCGCGAAGGGACACAATTAGGTCTAGACCAATTTGAGCTCTGGTCCTGGGGTACCATCATATGTTCCTCCTCTTCAGGCCGTGCCTTGTGCTTTCTCATGAAGCATAGCACCTCAACTAAACCATAAGCCTTTTGTAACTATTTCACAATTTCAAAGCAGTGTTTTCCCCATTGTGAATTTGAACAAAGAAGATACAAACAGTAGATTGCACAAATTCATTTATTGCCTGGCATATTTTACAGCAAAGAACCAATAGTCTGCACACAAATAAGCCAGATCTGTAAAACCATTGTACATGCAAAATTTAAGTCCTGAAATAAGACCAAAGCCAGCAAATGCAGAAGAAGATGACTACAATATGAGAGACCTTCAACTTGCTAAACAGGCACATTGGTCCCTGTGACCCTTTTCAGAAAAGACAAAGCATCCAAACAACTACTACAGAAGCAGGAAAGTAAGTTTCTTACTTTTGTAATGACACACTACTAACATCATTGCTAACACTATTGCTAACACCATTGCTAAAACAATTACTAACACCATTACTAACACCACTGATAACACCATTACTAACACCATTACTAACACCACTGATAACACCATTGCAAACACCACTGCTAATACTACTGTGCTGAAACTTGCAGGTGATTAATAATCAAACATAAGAAACTTACAGAATATGGGTTGTCAGGATTGTTGCTGTTAAATGCTAACATTCCCATCAGTCTCTGGATGTCTCCTATTTGTGATGGTTCCACCGAGGAGAAATGCTTACGGGCGAATCTGTCAAGATAAAACAATGTTCACACATTTTAGTAAATCCAGGCAGACAATTTAGGAGTATTTCAGTGATTTTCATAGTTGTTATAGTGCAGAGCAAAGCTGTGAGGACAAAACAAATGTTCATGTATTTGAGTAAATCTAAGCAGACATTCTGGGGTCATTTCAGTGAATCTGAAAGGGATTTTCTTAGTTGTTATAGTGCAGAGCCAAGCTGTGAGGATAATACAAATGTTCACATATTTCAGTGAATCTGAGAAAAAGATTTCCATAGCTGTTATAGAGTAGAGCTTTTATGTGAACACAAACTTCACATGTAGCGTGGTGTAGTAGTTAGATCCTGTGTGGAGATCGGAAGGTTCGGGTCCTCATGAAGCTAGACTTTTTTTTTAAAGAAATTAGCTTGGCTTCCAGGTTGACCCAGCCTTGAGTGGATACCAGGTGCAGTCCTGGGAAGTCAAGGCGGCCGGCATGATGCTGACCACATCACCCACCAAGTGCCGATTGGTCTATAAAATTTAGGTCTAGCCCTAGATAATCAATACACCTAAAGGTGTGGAAGAGGGTCTTTTCCTTTAACTTATTTTAGTGAATCTAAGAAGAGATTTCTGTAACTACGAAAGTCTAGTGACTGGCAGACATATTTACCAGCCTGGCAATTACAGGCTCTAACTACTGATTTAAGAATGGGCATCATAGTGCACGCACACACACACATACATGCTCCGTCTCCCACAGCAAATGTCTTAAAGTTTAGATAGATGCCAACAGTTCCCATAGCACCCTTATCATACACACGTCTTTCTCTTCCTCTTGTACATCCCTCCTTGCTGCATCCACTCTTAATTTCTCGTTCACATATTCTTACACCTGTAGTTCCATCTACCCTTGTGTCTGTATGATCTGATCTCTATCAGAGGATAAAACAGATCTTCATGTATTTCAGTGAATCTGAGAAAAACAAATATCAATTTGGACTCTAGGTTGGGACAACATAAAACTGATATAAGGAAATGTTTTGGGAAGTAAAGGCAGGCAGTGTAAAAATGATCACATTGTCTATCAAGTGTTAATTGGTGTTTGTCAAGAATCCTTGCAAAGTTAAGCTGCAAAAATATGCACAGAAGTAAATACATTAAAAGAACACCCGAAAGATTAAACACTCAAACAGATTTTCATGACCTTTTTACACTCAAATGTGTATGAAGCCATAAAATACTTATGGAAAATTCCTATACTAAACACATTCTGATAGGTGCAAGCTCTTTCTGGGTTCAGATAATTCTTCCCCATGTAGGTTTTAGGGCTCCCTGGGGGGGGGGGGGGGGGGGGGGGCAACAAAAGGAACAGACCCACTGACCTTTTAACAAGCATCTTGTAAAATCCTTCTAATTACGGGCACCTCCTTTGTAGTTGGTGTGCATCTGACTCAGCACCTCCTTTGTAGTTGGTGTGCATCTGACTCAGCACCTCCTTTGTAGTTGGTGTGCATCTGACTCAGCACCTCCTTTGTAGTTGGTGTGCATCTGACTCAGAGGCGAAGAATCAGAAGTCTACATAAGCCAGATCTTATTCCAGAAGGAATAAACGAACGGACTGGTTTGTGGGCAGGACCACAAGAGATACAGGACAAGCAATGGGTGGGGCTTAAGGAGATGACACTGAGTCGACAACTTTCACAAGACTACCAGAACTTCAGATCAAAAGAGGTACTACCAGACATGAACACTATACAGGCAGTCAAAGAAGAATAGTAAACCAACACAGAACTGGTGTTATCAGTTGCCACATGCTGAGGAACATACTGAAGATGGGATCTGCTCGCTTATGGACTTGTCTGATATGTAATAAGGATAATCTGTCAATTAAATAACTAACTAAGCCAGATCTGTAAAACTGGTGTGCACGCAACACTCAGGTTTTGCAACAAGACTAAAGTCCAGAAGTTAACGAACAACCAGAACTTTCCACCTGAGCTTACAGCTGGTGAATGTGAAGAAGAAGACAAAAACGCTGAACATCAATGTATCGACCATTATATTCTAGAAGATTCCTAAATAACCATTTCTCATATTATAAGAAATGCCTAAAAGACTTTCCTGAGTATGATGTTTCTTATTTTTTTTTTTTAAACCAATTATCTGCCTGTACATGTATATGCAAAATAAAGAAACAAGAGTATCTTACTTGACAGCATCAATGCGTCGGTTTTCTCGAATCAATTCCACAAATTCTTGCTTTCTAATATTAAACTCTAGGGTGCTCTAGAAAGAAGAGACAAATAAACACAGTCTTCATGAAAAGGTTGTATTTCATTAACAACAACAAAAACACACAAAAATCAAATACAGAGATTGTGAAGAGTCTGAAAAAGAGTGTGCAATAAGGATGAGTGACAAGAGTGTTGAAGATCCATTACAGCCTAACATTACTGTGGAGAGGGTATCTCATTGATTGAATGTCATCATTAGAAACAATCAGGACAAAGTATTCATCAGCTGCTGCCCACTTTAATGTTTATTTCATGAACAATTTTAGTAGACTCCATCACACGAGCAAATTACTTTTTATTTTCTACTTCTTTGCTGTTGATATCCACTAAGCTGTTTTTCTTCTTTCGTTCGCTTGAAATGATTAACTGCATCTGCTTTGTTGTCTCTAGTATGAAATTCACTGTCCTTTTTTTTTTTTTTTTTATTCATTCAGCGGTCTGGAAGGTTTGGCTTCCACCAACATTTCTCTTGGCCAAAAGTTTTGCCTTGTTATGCTGTATCTGGGACAGTCTTAGCGGATGCAATCTGTTGTCTCAGGTGTCAATCCACATGCGCACACGGCTGATTTGCCAATCTTAAATTTTGTGCACATGCGGCTGCAAAGCCAATTAGTCTACTTAGTGTATAACTATAATTTCTCAATACAAAAAACTGCCATGTTCTGATCGTCTGAAGGGAATTTGAGACAAAATGAGTAATTTATTTTCAGTGCTAACAAAGAAACGAAAAATCAAAAAGAAAATAACACAGAAACAAAACATTTATGAGGAATTCTAAATGTAACAAACAGAGCTTTAATAACAAACAGAGATGTAATAACAAACAGAAATGTAATCAAAAATAATTATATCAAGAATTATGTAGGGCCAGAACAAGTGTTCGACTATACACACATTAAAGGAAAAAGGAAATGGTTTGGTCATGAAACATGTTTTACCACAAGGCTGTCGAGTCTGCCTGGTAAACCTTCAAATGCAGCATAGCCTTCCCTAAGTCATCGCACCACATTAAAAGAATTCATAAAAATTACAAAATATTTGTTTACTTCAAACCCCCCCCCTCCCCCCACACACAGTCCAATGTAAATGTTTTATGTGATTAAACAGGGTATCTAGACTTTGTTCCTGTATAACTGGCATCCAGAAAGTTACTCTTTGAGCTGCTGGGTGTTAAACTTTCAAAAAGTAAAACTTTAAAAAAAAAAAAGATATATTAAAAACGGCCGGGAAATGTCGTTTGCTTGGCACAAAGTAGAATGCCACTATTTAGACTCTGGATTCACTGTAACCAAGGACAATGCATTTCAAATTCTTTATAAGACGTCCAATGGTGCAGTCCTGAGATTTCTTGAAGCTGCCATGATTGGTTACCTGCTCTTGAACTTTGTAAACAGAAAGACATGGTTCTGTCATTACAGTTAGCCTGGTAAAACGATGCAGTCGCTTTTGAGTGTGGTTGAATTTGTACTTCAGTTATAAAGGATTCGTTCATATGCTTCTTTTGTTTAACCTTTACTGTAGTATGCAGCTGACAAGATACAGTGAAATATGCCAGGCAATAAATTGTGCAATTTATTGTTTGTGTCTTCTTTGTTCAAATTTGCAACAGGAAAACATAACTTTAAAAAAAAGTTTGCATTACATGCTGATGAAGTCTTTCTACCCGCTACATTCATTTGTTGTTTATGACTGGGATAATCTGAAGCAGACTAGTTCTACTTCTTGTGTGGTCTGATATCTTTTCGCGGTAATAAAAAGACAAAACGGGAAGTGATCAAACCTTCATTTTGCGCAGCTTGGACCGGTTGTCTGTGCACCAGCTGATGCACGGCTTGGTGTCAGATTTGGCGAGTGCATCCTCTATTTCTTTGGAGGTCATAAACAGGTCTATGTTGGTCAAATCCTGGCAATGATAAGACATTCCTACACATTTGTAATCATTTGATAAATTTACATGTCTGTAATCATATGTCATAATCACACATCTATAACCACACACCTGTAACTACATTCCTGTAATTACATGTCTGTAATCACATGTCTTCTATAACCACATATCTGTAACCACGCATCTGTAATCACACAGCTGCTGTAATCACATGTCTGTAACCACACATCAACATGTACTGTAAGCAGAGATGTACACAATCCTACAGTAGATACTGCTAGGGTGTGGAACATTAGGCAAAATACTTGTTTTGGGAAAATCATGTTTTAAAATTGAGAAGCAAATGAAAAACTGTTAACTGCTTGAAAAGTAATAAAGTAATACTACACTGTAACCTATCTGGTATAGGAATTCACACATGTGTCTCTGGAGTGACAAATAACAGTCCTATCTGGTATAGGAATTCACACATGTGTCTGTGGAGTGACAAATAACAGTCCTATCTGGTATAGGAATTCACACATGTGTCTGTGGAGTGACAAATAACAGTCCTGAAAATGCATTTAGCTGAAAATCATCAAAACTACACATGGGCGACTTGGGTGTGATGCCAACGATATGAGTTAGAGTGACCAGTCCCCTTACTCACCACATTTCCTTCATAAACTTTTCCCTGAATAATCTTTGATGTTTTAACTGGGTATAAAAGAGTGCTGGGAAATGAACAAGCAGATATACTGGTTGGTTCTATACCAACAGGTGGTGAGTTTCTGCACAACAAGCTTGATGTGATCAAGGCCCTTTAGGAGCAAGTGAACAATATGGAGGCAGGAATAGATCTTTATGGTCTGGAGAGAATGGTACAGCTGGGAGTGACCACGGTATCTGGTCAAAACTCTATACTCAGAGGAGAGAATGGTACAGCTGGGAGTGACCAAGGGATCGGGTCAAAACTCTATACTCAGAGGAGAGAATGGTACAGCTGGGAGTGACCAAGGGATGTGGTCAACACACTACACTCAGAGGAGAGACTGGTACAGCTGGGAGTGACCAAGGGAATGTCAAGAGTGCTGTGGTGTAAGTTTTTAGCTCAATACTCAACTACTTCTGGTAAATTGTGAACAATGTTTAGTGCCTTTTTGAATGAGGCTGGGTAGAACCTAGAGCCATAATAGGTGCAACAACTAGATGAAAGATAATAAATAGTCTTGAGGAGTCAACCTGAAACACTCTCTTGCCAGCCAGTTATACTGGACCAACTAGCAAGCAATGCACCAACCCAAGTAAGAAGAAGCATGGACAGAGCAGATATCATCAACACTGTAGGGACTGGGCTAATGGAGAATGGCAAATCTCTGACATAAACATGACTGCATGACCTGGAATTAAGGCAAATCATGTTGCTTTTGAGGCCAAGATTGGAGACATAAGCAGCTTCTCACAGGAATAATCAGTGGAGATACCTTGGAGTGGCTGCTGTGATGGAGGACTGAGCATGCATGTAATGTGCCATGATTTCAATTGTGATAACATAAAAAACATGAACCATACTTGGTAATGGCAAACTTGTAAGCAATCAACAATCAAACAAGTTTTGAGCCACTTTGGCAAACATGAGGGAACACTGGGTAGAACTGAAGTGGTATACAACGTGTTAAAGGGACAGAAGAAGGTGTTGCCACACCACAAGATACCAGTAATTACGCAGCCACTGATGATGTTGCCAGTGAAAGGCATAGCAAATCAAAAGCTTTATTATTTTACTGCAGCTTTCCTCTGGCTCACAGAGCATGTTGAGAAAGACGGAGACGGGTATGCTTCATGCAGAGTGGCAAGCATTGCTTTAGAGGTCCCAGGTAGCTAGAGTCATTTAGATATTTTCTTCTGGGTACATTGGTATGTTGGGAAATAAACAGGCAGATAGAATGGCTGGTTATGCACCACTTGGTGGTAAACTGATGCATGACAAGCTGGATGTTGTAATGGCCCTCTGGGAACAAGTAAACACTGCGGTGGAGGAACAGATGGATCATCACTGTCTGAAGAGAATGGTGCAGCGAAGAGTGACTAGAGGATCTGGCCGACACTAAATACTTAGGGAAGGGGCGAGACAGACATACAATCAGACTACTGCTGCTACCACTGGAATTGAAACTCTAAACTTGCTGCTGAAAATGCGGATGGAAATGTCCCAAGTGTGTGGATGACAGTTCTTAACTCACAACTCACAGCTTTTTTAATCAAGCTAACATTGAATCCAATGCTGAACTTAAAGTAGTACCTCAATGTTTGAATGTCTGGCCAGTTTCAAAGCTGAATTGTAGTAGCCGGCTCTCAGGAAGTACTCCACCAACATTCTGTCCAGTCTGTTTTTCTGCCAGAGCTTTGGTGGCATTCCATCCTGGCCATCTCCCATCTCCCTCTCCTGGAGATGTTCTAGCCTACGTTTGATCACATGAGTCACTCCCAGTTCTTCCTGGATGCTTTCTTCAGCCTATGTAGGAGAATCATAAAAATTATGAGTTATAATTCAGCAATATTGCAGATTTAAAAAAAAAAAAACATAAACATCAGAAATATGAATAATGTATTTCTGATGAAGGGAACCATAGTGGCATAGCAGCCTGCATATATGCCGTCTCAAAGGTCTTGGATTCGAACCCGCTTTGTGGCAGATTTTTAAAAAAACTTAATTTGGCTCCCAGGTTGAACTAGCCTAAATTAGATAGCAAGTAATGTCTTTGAAAGTAAAAGTGACTGGATGATTTTCATGACATTATGTAAAGATTACCCACTGAGCTCAGCATCAGATGTTTCACTGGTGTAAAAAGGTTCTTTGCTTACCTGAGGCTAAGGTCCTATGCTCCACTGGGGGATAGAAGGCTGAAGAAGACTTATTTACTATTGTCTTGACTTAGACACTTCAACAGTGTTATCGAGAGCTGATCGATGAGGAAGCCATAGAAAACTACTCAATGGAAAATTTCCTAGTGAAACTACTGAATAGAAAAATTGCCTAGTGAAAACTACAAACAACCAAAACATGCTGGGAGTGGTCCTGCAGCGCCCTGTAAAGGACACCCAAGTAACTTATTATTTTATTGACAATAAACTCTAACTTAGACTTCCAGTCTGACACAGTCTTAAATATGTCCAAGGAAGTAAAGGCAGCCAAAGTTAGATTCATCTATGAAGTATCAACCTGTCTATAAGTTATAGGGCTACTACCATATTCTTAGTACGCCTCAAAACAATGAAAAAGGTCTTTAGATTTTTTAGAACGCTCAATGTGCCCAAAGAATGTGACCTTGTTTCTCAGATAGTATCTCCCTGAGTTGTTTTTTTAGGGGAGAAAAACAGAATGGACCAATTTCCTATAACAAGCAAGTCGCAAAAACACAACTAATTAGGAGTGTTTCCTTCAAAATAAATACACCTGCAAAACTCAAGTCCTGGAAAAAGGCCAAAGCTTAGAAATGGACAAACAGTCAAGACTTTTCTGCTGGAGTTGACAGCCAGTGGAGGCAAGTAAATAATAAATTGAAATTTTTTTTAAAAATGTACAGAAACCATGAGTTGTTAACCCTCTGGCTCGGTACTATGGATATCGCAACTCTTCAGCCTTGATTTCATGATAGATATCGTAAGTCTGGGAGAAACGTGGCTTTTCTGCCCACCACCAGACGTGAACTCTGGCCACAAGGAGTTCAGCACTCAGTCGCCACGAGGTCAGATTTAAGCAACTATGCTAGCAAGATAGGCTAATCGGGAAAAAAAAAATTTAGTTCGAGAGGATCAACTTCACTACACCGGATTGTATCTCAAAAGGGATTTTGTGCTCTGCACAATGGCTGACAGTGTTGCACAAAGCAGGAAGCACGGGTGATGATCTCTGGGAATCACATTACAAATTGCAATTGTGAACTGTAATGATGCAGTCTGTGAAATAAACTCATGACCTTTGGAGCATGAGGCAATTGTCTAGTGATCAGTGTGAAATCTTGTCAGAAAAAGAAATGTAAAATCACTCAAATGTTCATTAAGAAAAAAGAAAAGTTAGTTAACTTCTTCTTTTTTTTTTTCTACTCCTGGAATGCCTCGGGGTGTCAGGGCAGGTAGAGATCTTTGGAACGGGTTCTTCTGTTCACTTCATATAAAGTATTTCTGAGTGTCTTTGATATTTTGTAGTCAATGCTCTGTGTGGTCGACCTCTGGCTCTGTTAGCACTGTATCTGTATAACATTGCTCTCTGTGGGGCCTTGTCTGCTGCCAATCTTGTTACATGGCCAGACCATTTGATTTGTTTCTACCTAAAATGTTCAGTACTGGTTCTGTGCTGACTCTCCTCCTGATATCATCGTTCCTAAGTCGATCTTTCCTCGTTACACCCAGCATAGTGCGTAAACATTTCACTTTTGTCATGACTATTTTCCTTCTGTCTTTTATAGACAATGTGCCTGTTTGACATTGACAGTGTTAGTAAGAATACTGTGTTGATCAGTGTTCTTTCAGTGTTCATAATCACAAGCTTGCATTTCAAAACTAGTGCCATTTGGTCTAAAACTTGCTTTTTAGTTTTCTAACTCCGCGATCAAAACCCACGGCTGGCTGTGTGGATTTGTATCATGGTATGGGGCGTCGCAGGTCGACCCAGCCTAAAATGGGTACCAGGATGGCTGTCCTGGGGAAGTAAAGATGGCCGGCGTGATGCTGACCACATTACCCATCCAGTGCTGACTGGTCTGTAAAAATTATGGGACGCTCTTCCCATATTACCGATGCACCTAAGGCGTGAAAAGGGATCTTTACTTTACTAACATAGTAAAATCATTTAAAAAGAGTTAGAGCAGAATTAGGTAACTGCCAGACAACGCATTCATGATTAGGGAAAACTTTAAAAGGAATGAGATAATTTAAAGACAGAGTAATCTTGGTAATCTTAATTTCAGCTTCATAGCAAACGGGTCATCCCATAGTTGCTCCGCTGTAGTTTCAATTAAGTGTAGTAAACGGTGAGAAAATTATTATTGTGTCATATTTTTGGAAGTGAACAGCGATGACTGCGACTAAGTACATGTGAAGGAATAGAAGAAATAAACTGGCAGAATATTTATTCGAATCCGAGCAGCGTTTCAGTGTTAATAACTGTAAAAAGCTTATTTGATCCAGAATAAACGAGCTATCTTATAAGGTAGCTTTCTTACACATCCCAATTCCAAATGATTCATTCAGCTTTTAAAGGCAAAAACAATAAACCTGCCTTTCGTTTCAGCACTGACAAGTTATCCACCATACTTGACAATGCACATGTGACATCACTGACAGTCAGATGAGCCGAGTTCTCGATTTTCTTCTCCAAATCTGCCGCGGCACTGCTGAACTTGGAGATCTCACGATCGATTATTTTTTGTGACGCTCGGAACTGTTTATTCAACAGTTCATAAGGGACCTAAAAAAACAGAACACATCAGTAACAAATATCATGACTGCAACAAAGGTGACATAATCATGTTTATTTTATCAGGTTTTAACTTAATATTGCTCATTTTGGTGGTGGGGGGGGGGGGAGGGCTAGGGGGGGTGCTTAACTCTTTTAATCCCAGGGGATTTCGCTTCAGAGGCCCAAAAAGTAGCAAAGAGAAACAAAATCTGTGCATCTTGCATTCATTGGGCTTCTAGGTAGGAAATTATGAATGTAGGATGTGTTCCATCAAAAATCTAAATTTATACAATGTGTACAGTGAAATAATAATTAGATCCATGCAGGGTATGTCAGAGAAAATGGCTGGTGGGCATACTGTTTACACAACCTGCGATATGCTGACTATTTAGTGTTGATCACTGAAAATGAAACACAAATACAAGAAATGATGGACATAATTGTAAAAGAAAGTCAAAACAAGGCTCTTCGAATAGCAAAGAAAAAAAAAAGGTAATTACATAGAAAAGTGACCCTCATACATGCAGCATGAAAGTAAATGAGACAGACATTTATGTGGGTACTTTGATAACATCAGATGGAAGACGTACTCAAGAAGTTAAATGTAGAATAGCAAGAGCAAAGGCAGTATTTTACTAAATGAAGAATATCTGATGTAAACTTTCTATATCAACTAAGTTGAAAAAAGGAATTCTTAAAAGCTGTATAAATCCTATGGCCGGCGTAATGCTGACCACATTACCCACCTAGTGCCGATGGTCTGTAAAAATATGGGTGCTCTTCCCAAATGCCCGATGTACCTAAAGGCGTGAAAAGGGATCTTTACTTACTTTATATAAATCCTAGCTTGATATATATGGAAGTGAATCATGGACAGTTGATAGATTAGTGAACAAATATTTGGAACCTGGGGGGATGTGGTTTTATAGATGAATGATTGGAATACCCTGGACAGATACAAACAGTAAAAAAGATGTCCTGAAAGAAACTGACTGCCTGATTCAGAAAGAGACAATTCTACATTATTTGGTCATGTGATGAGAAGAAGGAAAGTTGGAGGGGAAGAGATGCAGAGGAAGAAAAGATGTTGGATAGTTTGACAACATTTCATGCAGGTTCATCTGTATCAGAGTTGACTGAAAGTACACAGTACAGAAGGTTGTGGATAGACATGACTACCAATAAAACATAGCACAGACTTTAAGAAGAAGTTAATCACTTCCAGTGCAGATGAATAGTTGCCCAGTCTCTTCCCATAGAAGACACATGAAGTATATCACCAGACTGCACATGCTCTACAGTCCCTGATAAAATCTAAATGAGTGTATTTACATTAGCCTTCTTCATGTTGACCAGCTGTAAACTCCAGTAGAAAGTTTTGGTTGTTCATCCACTTCTGGACTTCAGTCTTGTTCCAGAACTGGAGTTTTGCATGACAGCAGTGACAGGGCTGACCAGCTGGCAACTAATGCACCAATGCAAATGGGAAGAGTCATGGACACAGCTAAAAACATCAACGCTTTATGGACTGGGTTTGGGGATATTGGTGAATCTCTGATGTTAACACTAGCATACAACTGTGTGACCGAGGAGTTAAGCTTGGTGAAGTATGCCTATGCCATCCTAGAGGTAAAGAAAGTTATAACCGAATTCCTCAAGGTACCCTAGAGTGGCTGCTGCATTAGAGGACTGTGCACACAAGGGGATGCCCAATGTGCAAAAGACGTCAACTGTGATGACATAACAGTAGTGACCTTAGACATCAACACAACCATACAAATAACACACGGGCTGAGCTAACAGCAGTAAGGTGCAGCACGGTCAAAACCAGAACTGGAATCTGGCTGACTGACTGACTTGCAGCAAAGTACAATCAACATAATCAACATTGGTTATGAAATAATGAAATATTGTTTGGAGGATCAAATCACAAATAAAAATATACTACAAGAATTAAAACCCCCAACAACTCGGCTTAGTCATCAGTTGAGAGCGGATAAAGATCACATGTTAAATCAATTAGAGCTGCTTGTACAACAAACCCCCAACAAGGGACTGCTGAATGAATAACTTCAGAAAAATGTACAGCTATCTTTAAATCTACGTTTCATCTTTCATTCATCCGTCGCTCTCTCAACATCATCATTCAGTGATGTTTTCATTCATTCATTTCATATCCGTCTACATTCTACGCTGGTTTTTAGCGATATTAGCTTCGAAAGCACAGCTTATAAACTGATATGCAAGAACCTCGTCTCTCCCACCCAAACCTGGAAAATATAAAACAGTAAACATGGCAATGCTAACTTTCAGCGTCGAATGCTCCAAAGTTTTGACGTCGGCCATATTTCGTTATTTTTTTCCCCTTCCAAGTAGGTTAAAGGTCGCCAGGGTTAACCAAGGGACAGGGGAGGGGGTGAAGGGTCTTCTGCTACTGTAAACAGTTTTAATTCATCCTGCATAATTTTTGTTTAAAATAAATCGTTTCAACAACATCCCGTGAAAATAAATCATCCTTTATAACCAATACAACATGGTTTTTAATTATTTAAAATGAAGTTTTAAAAATAAAATATAAATTTGAAACTAGACACCTTCTCTGCTGATCCCAGAAAGCTGCAGATGGTTGTTTCTGTAATACGTTTACAGTACACGATTATTTTGCGTTGAAATGGTAAGATGAAAAAAGACTTAATTTTATTAAAATATTATTTTAATTTATATTTTATTGCAATAATACAGCATGCGTTGCTTACAAACATGTTTTAATTAAATAATAAATTTGTAGATGTAAGCTCACGAAGTAGGGCCGGGAGGGTACGGGATTGTAAACGCCATTGGTGTCTGTAGAATCGCCGCACGCTAGGTGTTGGAAGGCATCCCGTCCTGTTGGCTTCTTTGAAAATATCACGGTAATTCTTCTGTTTCTCCTGCAGATATGTCGTTTGTTTGAATCTATGTTCGGGTGAATATGTAGTGGAATGAGGGAAAAATCATGCTTTACTGGGTGGTTGTTGAGTCAGTATCAGTAAGTCTCATCATTGGCGGTTCTTTCTTTGATCCTACTGTCTTGTGTCTGTCCCGATTCATGCACTGTCTCTCCTACCGCTCGACGTATTTAAGAATTTCAGCCGTTAACCTGACCTGGGATATGTTACTGCAGTCATTTACTAACTTGTTCTACTTAAACGAGTGAGTTAATATTCGATATTGATGATTTAATCATGTTTTCGACAATTATTTACGGTTACAATTTCATGTCCATGATGATCCATCTTTAAAGAAAAGGCTTCCTCACTTTAGGAAGACATGGATGTCACTTGTATGTCACATCAGTCGGTTAGGTTAGTTGATTTAACTTGAATAACAGAGTGTACATGACCTAGGTTTTAACTTTAAAAGCTACCTTTGCACATCAGAAGAAAGATGTGTATTGTATCTACTATTAGGGCTGTTTTAGTTTTTTTTTATTATAGAAATTACATAAGACTGCAAAAATCAAAAACAACCACTGTCTGAGTGTGTCAGTGTGTTCACGCCACACTGCACAGCTACATTAATAGTTTGGTAAAATTTATAAGAGCAAAGTTTTAAAAAACTTGTAATTGATTTGAACCATTGGTCATCGAACATCTCACTATGCCACTTATTTAAAAATATTTTACAAATTATATGGTTTGTTCTGTGCAACATTGTCATTTGTCTGGCGCTATGTATTAATATTTTTTTGTTCCCATTATTATTTTATATAGTTGGCAGCAGATTAGTTTTACTAATTTGAGAATTGACTTCTAGGCTCTCCTTTCAACTACGGCCGGTAGACAACAGTAGACGGCCGGTTAGTCGGAGTTCTGTCCCCTGGCTGCAGTGCGATTACGGACTAGAGAAGGCACGAATCAGAAAACAAAGTGAGGTCGACATGCCTGGCAGACCCTGCGGTGCGACGCATTACAGAGTGAAATAGAGGGAACGAAACAAGTGACATAATTACTGTGTGTTGGCGATAGACAGCGTGCATTGCCCTACTGTCATCATACGGTTAGGTGTATGGTTAGGGTTTGGGTTGCTACTATGAGTTTGTGCGAACACGAGATGCGACGACACTAACCGTAACCCTAAACCTAACCCAAACCGTAACCGTATGATTATAGCAGGGCAGTGCACGCTGTCTATCGCCAACACACAGTAATTATGTCATTTGTTTCGTTCCCTCCTTTCCACTCCGTAATTGCAATGCAGCAAGGGGACAGAACTCCGACTAACTGGCCGTCTACTGTTGTCTATCGGCCGTAGTTAAAAGGAGAGCCGACTTCTAACATCTCACACATTGCAGCATATTTGTCAACACACACATACATATGATATATCATGCCTTGGGGTGCCTGAGTCTATTTGTCAACACACACATACATATGATATATCATGCCTTGGGGTGCCTGAGTCTGTTTGTCAACACACACATACATATGATATATCATGCCTTGGGGTGCCTGAGTCTATTTGTCAACACACACATACATATGATATATCATGCCTTGGGGTGCCTGAGTCAATTTGTCAACACACACATACATATGATATATCATGCCTTGGGGTGCCTGAGTCTATTTGTCAACACACACATACATATGATATATCATGCCTTGGGGTGCCTGAGTCTATTTGTCAACACACACATACATATGATATATCATGCCTTGGGGTGCCTGAGTCTATTTGTCAACACACACATACATATGATATATCATGCCTTGGGGTGCCTGAGTTATATGATAATAATACAAGTACGAGCCTCATAATTCAAGACTAGCCCACCCCTACTGACTGGCCAGTATCCTACTGTATCCACATTTTTTGCCCAGAACATTGTGCAGACTATTGGTTCCTTGTCGCTCAGGCAGATGGCACTCCGACTTAGAAGGAAACACCTAATAGTTGACCTTATGACATCCATGTTAGAAAGGAAGTAAGACTGTTCTGGTCTCCCACCCAGTGGAATCCCGGACTGCACACAAGGACTTTCCCAAAACATCTTGTTCTAATTTTATTTTTGGTTGACCTAGGAGTCAGTCTAGTTTGAAAAATCAGCTTTGATTTAAAACTGTGATCCTTACACCAGATGCAGATGTGCTAATTACTGTACTACCAAGGCTGTCATGGTGAAGAAATAAAACAACTGTGTTGTTTAGCTTGCTGCCGTTAAGTTATTATCAGTCTATTTAAGCATTTTGTTTCTGCTTCTAGCGGCAGCATGAGTACAGGTTAATCTGAGTTCTTTGGCTCCATGATGCACAGGAAGTGAGTGGATTGAAACCCTCAGTTCATGTTTTGGTAAGCACCCTTGGGTTCTGTCTATTACTGGTTTAAAACATTTGTTTTCCCCACGCCCAACATACCCTTAAGTTGCGTGCATTGTAATGCATTTTCTTAAAGCTAGCTTAGGTGCCGTGTGAGATTAAATATATGACATGTTTGGTAGCTTTCCTTTTTCTACTGTACATTCTCACTTTGTAAAGTTCCTTTTGCTGGTTTCTAATTTCATATTTCCTAATGGAAGGACAAATCTGGTTAGTAGTCAGTAAAAGGGTTACCAGTTACAATCGTATATGAAACTACTAATGCACTGTTTAAGTAATATTGACATATTGCTTATGGAGATAAAACAGCCATTTTAAAACTGAAATTGCAACTTATAAAAGGAAAGGGGAGAAAGTGGAAAAGTCAGCTTTACAAGAACTAAGCCACCGAGTTGATATTGCATCTACAAAATGTTTACTACCAAGCAGAAGTCATTGTAGTAGCTTTCTACATGATTTTTTCTCTCTCTAAACATGCCGTTTGTTGTAAATGAGTGAGGGAGAAACAGTTTGTTTTCAGTTGAATGTGAAAATTATTTCCCCTATCTGTATGTTGTAGTCTTATAAAGTAGTTAGGTGTTCTGCAAATAGAGAATTTTTTTGTGGGGAGGGGGGGGGGGGTTGTTAAAGAAAAAGAGTTGAAATAATTTAGCCACATAAAAAGGTACAACATGCTTTTAAAAATCATACTGAACGAAAAGTTGAAAAAAGCAAGAAGCAGACAGTGTTACAATTGGAAGGACATCTTTGAGAGGTGAACAAGCAGCAGTCTGAGAAAGTGTGCAAGGAGACGGCATGTGTTTGAGATCCATTGCAGGCAGTCTTCAGTGTGAAGACGGCACCTGATTAATTAATGAAAAGATGGCTAAAATTTAGTTTGACTCTGAACATGCTACATTTCTATAGCAGCCAATTCCAACTGAACGGGTTTTACAGAAATAGCTAAAATAAAAGTTTGTTATTCTATATATAACCTTTTTGGGGCAATACATAGATATAAGATAGCTTTTAGGAGTCTGAATTACTGACCTGCCCAGTTGAATCTAGGATTTGAGGAAGACCTAAATAACTCTTAGATGGGAATTAACAGAACAAAATAATATGGTGGGAGATTTGACAAGGTAAGACTGCTCGGTAGGTTGTTTTTTTTTCCGGATACATTGTGAATGTTTGTTTCTTCCAAAAACTTGTCCACGCATGTTTATAGTTCACCAATTGCATTAGAGTTTACTGATTCCACTATTTGATATTCCTTTATTAAATAAATTTGTAGTTTCTTGAATAATCAATTTTGTGTGTGTAACTTTTTTCCCTTTGTGAATTTTGTATTTTATGTTGGTGAAAAAATATCAGTGAAACTAGCTTTCTCAGTGACCACCATGTTTTTATAGGTTATTTTTCTGATCAACATGGAGGATTTTTTTCTAGATTTGGCAATGTCTCGCTTCTTGACATTAGTTGCCTGTTGCATTTGTGGACTAAAAGGATATTATTTCGTTGTCCAGCTGCTGAGTTGAGTGCTTGGTCCGAAACAGGTGGGGGGGGGGGGGGGGGGGTAGACCCACTGCCACTCTAACAAGCATGTTGTAAAATTAGAAGTGGAGGGGGGGGATCTGCCTGAGAGGTGATGTAATAAAAGAGTGCATTTAAATAGGCCAGATCTGAATGTTGTGAATTAAGAATCACAGCACTCAGGACACTCCCATAAGCGCTTCGTCTCCATCTTTAGCAGCAAGCGAAGAGTTCCAATTCCGATAAGCCAGATCTGTAAAACTGAAGTTTAGTTCTTGAACAAGAATAAAGTCCAGACAAGCAAACAGAACTGTCTACCACAATTTATAGCTGGTGAACGCTCAGAAGAAAAAGATATTATTAAGTTGGCATATTTCCAAAACGAAATGTTGTATTCTGAAATTGGTCCATTCTGGGGCTGAGGCATTTAATGTTCATCAGCTTTACGGCCATGCTGTTGGAGCAGATCATCTAGGAATGATAACCTCTGCTGAAAAGATAACACTATTCATAATATTGCAACTCTCATTTTTTATTGTAACTTGGTCAGGTTGGCTTAGTTTTTGCTCTTAAATTAGAGAGACTTCAAAATTGTTTTGTATGTGTGCTTAACTCTTTCAGTCCCAGGTAACTCACCATGCGTTTGTCTGTCCCTACTTCTACGCTTCAATTTCTTTAACTCCTGATAGCCAGCCAGTTTGTACACCAGCTCATTCTGTACCTATGGTTACTTTAACCCTTTCTGTCACACAGGGTTTATGTTTTAATCACTTAGGTAGAAATATTAGTCAAAATAAACATTTCTTATGATATAATGAATTAAAATAACATGTGCCTGGGACTGAAAGAGTTAATATACTTTTCTCACATATAGGTTCAGCGACCCCATTTGGGGTGGGTTGATGAAAAAAGACTGCCTCCCTCACTAGCATTAAATTTTTGTATTGGGCCAGAAGGCTGTAAACCACAACACATTAGGACCTCTTTTTTTTCTTTCTTTGCGAAGGCAGAAGAGAAAGAATAAATACACAGAAAAAATGCTCCTGTAAAGAAAAGGTGCTAGCAGAGGGTAATTGGAAGAGAGAAAAATGGAAAACTAATTGTATGAGCAGTGGCCAAGCACACACTGGAGTAGAGCATGCTAACTGTTGTGTTGCTTTGTCTTCCTTAGATTTGCTTTGTTGGTGGTCAGTCAAGCTTCACCACACAGCAAATTGCTGCATTTTTACAGTTGAAGTATCAAGTTGTAGTTGTCCATTCTTATGCAGGCAGCTTCCAAGAAGGCTAGATTGGAGCCTAACACAAGTAATTATACAACTGTTTGATTGTGTTTAAAACATTTTTTTTTTAATTGATTCTGTATTTATAATTTAAATCATTGTTTTTTAACTGATCTGACCCGTGGAAGTTTCCAGGTTGTTTGCGAAAAGTTTCTACCTGATCATGTATCACAGCTGGTTGTCCGTGGAGGCCTAGCAAGATGCCTGCGTATCATAGCCAGTTGCGTTTCAGTGATCTTTCTATGCTGGGACTGGAGCCTCTGAGCTATGACAATGGTCATTAAAACAATGTTGGCTCCTGAGTTAACTTAGTTAAATAGCCCTTCTGTAACAGCTACATTGTTGGTTGATTTTTTGACTTCCTATATTGTTGGTTGATTTTTTGACTTCCTATATTGTTGGTTGATTTTTTGACTTCCTATATTGTTGGTTGATTTTTCGACTTCCTATATTGTTGGTTGATTTTTCGACTTCCTATATTGTTGGTTGATTTTTTTGACTTCCTATATTGTTGGTTGATTTTTTGACTTCCTATCAGGTTACAAGATTTTCTTGATCATGTCAGTAAAAAAACCCCACATAGGTCTTAATGCAGTGTTTTGTTCATTGGATTTTCAACCCTCTAAGTGGCAACAGATGTCACATTGGCTGAAAATTGTAATTTTGTTATGTTGGATTTAACACATAAACTATCCTTTTTTTTTTTTTTTTTTTATTAGCTGGTGGTCAGCAAAATAATTTCCTCTGCTTCGCCGATCCATGGGTAAAAAGTGTTGATAAACACTGATCTAAATGATCTACTATATAATAAAATCTTTTCCCATGTTAGGGAAAGTTGGGGAGTATATTTGGATGTTTGTGTGAGAAAAGATTGGTGCCAAAATGTAATTCAGATGGATGCATACTTTAATTTTATTTATTTCTGAAATAACACTTTTACAGCTGCAGTAATTGTTGAAATAAAAGCAGCCTTGAAGTATGGCTGTCACTTTTAATAGTAACTGGTAACTGGTTATTATTACATGAAAGCAAAACAGCAAAATAGACCTTGTCCTGATATGATATTCTTAAAATGCTGGCATAGCCAACCCACATTTGCACAGGCTTTATGGCACTCCCAGGTTTATTACACTCAAGAAGCACCTCATTGTCACTTTTGATCATAGTTTTAGTTTTGTCACATAGAAAGGGGAGGGGGTGGGGGGGTTTAACTAAATGGGGGGGCCGTAGGTTATCTAACATATTTGTTTAAATAAAATTTGAACAGATAAGTTGTGCAGCCTTATAACTGTTGCCCATCTGCCCATAATTTATTTATTTATATTCAGAAAACTGTTTACCTTTATTTCATGCAGTGTAATTTAAAGGTGCATTTTTGTTTTAAATTATTGTGGTGAACCCAAACTAAAGATGTTTTGATCGTTTGCAGTGTCTATTCGTGGTCCAATCCCAAACGGGCCAATGCACCCACGCCCATTGGTTGCTTTGCTAGATGGCCGAGATTGTTCAATTGAAATGCCTATATTGAAAGATGTTGCCACTGTGGCATTCTGCGACGCTCAGTCCACACAAGAAATTCACGAAAAGGTAATCACTTTTTAAATGGACTGGTGATGGGGATATCTGCAGTGTGGGGAGCATGCCTGTTGGCTGCCATATGTGGGCTGAGATCATTGACTAGCGTAGTATCCGACACCCTTGTCTGACCTTTAGGGAAGCAAATAATATGGAGTGTGTAATCTGCTGTGCTTGTCATAAAGACTTGTTAGTGCTGACCAGCTGTAAACTCCTGCAGAAAGTTCTAGTTATTCACCTGCTTCAGGACTTTAGTCGTGTTCCAGAACAAGAGTTTTGTTTATTTGTATGCAGACTGTTAGTTCCTCGCCTCTCAGGCAGATGCACTATGAGTTTTAAGGAAAGACCTTTAATTAATCGTCCTTAACAATATGCCTTTTAAGGAGGCAATAGGTCTCTTCATTTCTCCCCCAGAATTGGACCCCGGAACCCACACAGGGGAATCATAAAAGACAACCAAGATGGGTTAGCATGGGTCTGGTTACCCTAGCCAGACGATTATGAATTGGGAAAGATATAGGTGATAGAGTAAATAAAATATTAGGCTGTCATTGTGTAAAGCTGGGTGGAATTAATTAGGCAAGAAAGGCTGAAATCTAAGCACTAAAACATAATATTTGATGTGAAGATTTGGGTGATAAAATAAAATGCTTTAGCAATTCAGATGGGTAAAAGGTACTGGCTCTGCATATGACTCATATTGAGGATCTGTTTATTGTGTAACTAGATCATTGCTTTCCCTTGAACCGGTAGGTGGGAAAAGAGAGAAGTTGTAACACATATGGAAAGAGAATGAAGAGATTCACATGAATAATATTTAGAAGACATGGTAGTTGATGGCAAACAATAGTATGGTTTGAATGGATTAGTTGAGGGCCTGTTCTCCATCGACAGGAAAGCATTTGTCTTATCTCAGGTAAAGGAATGAAGTTTTTATTCCGCTATAGCAGTTGCTTTCACTTTATGATATCCCAGTCCATCATTGGAAATTTTCTTATTTTTGTGAATGTGAAAGTGCTCAGGATTTCTCAAATGTTTTGCTGTTAAAACACAGGTACTAAATGAGGCTGTTGGAGCCCTCATGTGGCACACCATCACACTGACAAAGGAAGACCTTGACAAATTTAAAAGTCTGAGGGTTATCATCAGAATAGGCAGTGGTTATGATAACGTTGACGTGAAAGCAGCCGGCGAAATGGGTATGTAACGAACAGAACATTTGTTAACAAATTTGGCTCACCTTTTCAGTTGTTACTTCTGTTCTTTTTCGCCTTTCAAAGTCTTTGAGGTTCATTACTACAGATATCACCCTTCTCCACATCTATTTGATTGGCTTTCTCTTTAAAGTTGGTTACTGAGTTTATATGTCTGCATTTATTACCCTGTCTTCTTCTCAGTCTGCTCATGGTCTACTGCCATTCAACTCTTTTGTGTATGCAGTTTTTGTCTCAGTTATCTGTTGTTCTCTCTGTAGACCCCAACCATTTCAGTCCGTTATGATGCCAGTAAATAATAGTGATATATACCGATTATTGATTTCATTGTGGCTTCTCACTCCTAGCCTCCACTGTTTTTGTTTCTTATGGGTTCATAGGATTCATTGTAAGACTACTTAGAATTTTTTTAATAAGGCTTTGTCTGTTTTTAATTATATTCAGATTTCAGCATTTTATATATTGTGATCTTTTTGTTAAACATTTGATTTCAATAGATTTAAAGCATAATATACATTATTTCCAGGCTGTTCTAGATTGTATTTCTTCTCTTAATGTGTGGGAGCACTTAAAGATTGGGCCCTACTACTTGTGTGTGCCAAATCATTTAATTTTTGTCTGATCTATTTGTTCGTGTCTAGAGTTTTTAACCCTTTCTCTCACTTGTTGTTACCATATAGTTTGTCTTATCTTGATTGATAAGCAGTCCCATCATTTACTCTACTTCCTTGACTTTTTCAGTGTTTACGCTGCCTCAATTTTTTTTTCCTGCATCTTCTGTGGGGGTGCCCGTGGCGGAACGGCTAGACGCTCAACACGGATCGGAATGTCATGTGTTCGCTCCCTGGCAGAGAAGGACTTTTTTCAGAAATGACCTTGGCTCTCAGATCGATCCAGCCTTGAGTGGGTACCAGGTGCAATCCCGTGAAGTAAAGGCAGCCGGCCTGATGTTGCCCACATCGCCCATCTTTTGCCGATGGTCTATAAAAAAATATAGGTCTAGCCCTATATGCCCTATACGCCTAAAGACGTGGAAAAGGGTCCTTTACTTTACTCACATCTTGTAATCTGCACTCCGAAGTATTCTTGTTGCTTCCCCTTCAGCAGTCTTGTTTACCTTATTTTCTTCTTTATGCCAGGTTGATCAATAAGAATGACCTGCCATCAGCTTGCCTCAAGCCAGATTTTATTGGAAAAGGGTCTGATTTTCTGACTTTAAAAAAAAAAAAAAAAACTATCAGTGTGTTACTGTTACTGATTTAGTAAATACATTTCTTGCTCTAAAATTAGAACTTGTTTATTAATATGTAGATGCAAATCCAATGATTGTGGTTTTATTAAATGTAGTGTTCAAGAAGTTAAAGAAAATGTTTCTGATTTCTGCAGGTATTGCTGTATGCAATGTTCCTGGCTATGGGGTGGAGGAAGTGGCTGACTCAGCACTTTGTCTCATATTAAATCTATACCGTCGTACTTACTGGCTTGCAAATATGGTACGCGATGGAAAGAAGATCAATGGACCTGAACAACTGCGTGATGCAGCTCAAGGATCTGCAAGGATTCGTGGAGACACACTTGGTATAGTTGGTCTAGGTAAGGGATACCACATAGTTGGTGTATATGGTGAATTTGTTTTTCTACATAGTGAGTTGAGTCAAGAATCCACCTCACAGCAATAGCAGTTTGACTATGTCCATCTTGCCTTTTCTCTGTGTCAGCCATATTCCCTAGTCACTTCCCACTGCACCATTCTCTCCAGCTGTGCTTCTGCATTTTTTCACTTACTCCCAAGACTTTGATCACATCTAGCATGTCAGTCATCAGTTGGCCACCCTTTTCATTTCCCAACACACCTGCATCTCGCAGAGAGAAGATTCAAGAGATGCTAATAACAAAGGACCTGGAAACAATGCTTGCCATTCTGCCTGGAACTTACCTGTCTCCACCATTCTCTGCATTCTTAGTGAGTCTGTTATAATAACCTGTGTGTGCAGCTGGTTCTCAGACCAGGGGAAAGTTGCTGTGACTGCCTCCAACTCCATTCTCAAATTAGATGTTGTGGTAACATATGCTAGGCTTTGTTGCATTAAACTTCACCTGTTCACTTTTGCTATGAACTCTAATGTTATGATTTCATAAAATGTTGGTTCATATTTGTACATTGATACTCGCTCAGTATTGCAAGTAAATGCAGTTCGGTTTCTTTGAGCTGTGCTAAATCAAATGGGTCAGTTAACCAAGTAAACCGCTCTAGGGGATCCCAGAGTAGCCTAACCGGGCACAAATTTGGAGTTTAAAATCTGCCCAAAGTATTGCAGGATCCACTGTGCACTGTGCTGAGCTTCTTCGGGCTCAGGCTTGAGTTAGAAGAACGGAGCACTTATGAGTTAGTGCTCATGTCCATGATGTTGATCCGGTGTTCAAACCTTCAAACCAGGATAGCTCATAAACAGTTCACTTTGAGTGAGTGAAGTTTAACTCCAGCAGGACATACACTGAGCGACACAAAGTGTCTATTCATGTGAGACCTCCCAGGTACAAATCCCAGAAATCCCATTCAACCACAGGGTTTTATATTGAAGTCCAGACAGGGCATGGCAGTGGTATTATAGCTCCCTTTGAGAGATGTATAACTACTCTTAAGGTTTTCATTACTGTAAGGTGGGGAGAGGGCAGGGGTTTAGTTGCTGAAGCCTGTTTCCAACTTCCATAGACACCAAGATAGGTGCAGCAGCAGGCAGCCTCCGTTGTGAATGGTTAGGCCACATTGAGAGATCAACCTCTCTGAGCTGTATCTGTTCTTAAAGTAATGAACAGGTGTACATAATGACAAGTAATGCACCAGTGTATATGGGAAGAAGCCAGGATAGATAGAAATCAGTACTGTACGAAATAGTCTTGTAGATAATGACGAATTTGTGGCACTGGCACGATTACATGACCTCAGAGTGAAGGATGTCATTGCTGTCCTCAAGGTCAAGATAGGAGACCAACTTCTCATCGCATGGAGAAAATCAGCAAAGAGACCTCTGAGTGGCATCTGCATCGAAGGACTGAGCACACATGGGAAAGCCCTATGTACAGTGACTGCAGCTGTGATAACCTTTGAGATGGAGATTAGATATCAGGTCAAAGGTCTTGTCTGTGCCTCAGCCTGAAGAAGAAAAGCCAGTTTTCCAGTGTTCACAGCCAGCAACACTATCACATTGATATACTTATTTTATTTATTCCTGACATCTTGTAGGTCGAGTTGGAACAGCAGTTGCAATCAGAGCAAAAGTATTTGGTTTCAATGTCATTTTCTATGACCCATATCTAGCAGACGGTATTGAGAAATCTCTGGGTGAGTGTGTTAGTTCTTTATATTAGTAGTTTTTTTTTAAAACTGTATTATGATGTCGAAGGCATTTAGTATCATGATTATGCATAAAAAAAGTGTTGTTTTCAAATACTATTTATTATTGTTATAGTTTTCAGTGAGAATTGTCAATGGATTTGTTGGTCAGATTCTTGATTAGTTTGACATTTTGTGAATTTTTTTTTTCAACTTATTAACTCACATAACATGAACATCCTGGGGGTAAGCCGATCTATCAGACAACATGAACATCATGGAAATAATTGATATAAAATACCCTAATCCTTTAACCTCATGGATGCTAGAAAATATATAATGAATCCGTTGAAATTTCCAGGGTATTGGGGTAAGGGAGATGGGGGGTGTTCCTTCTAAAGAAAAAACGGCAACCATATTACACGGGTCACTGATAAATTGAAGAAATAAAATGAATCTACATTTAATTAATTTATTTTACAATATATAGAGATAAAAAAGGGGTTATCTATAAGCATAGAGGTAAGCATTTAAAAAGGATACATTTCCCAGGGTGCAAAACAACTATATACATACGGAGACTCGTGCTGTGGCCTCTCACTGAGGCTTACAGGAACATTTGAGGTCAACTTGGTTTTCAAAAAGCTGTTGGGGTCATAAGGCCCCATACTATGCTATTTTTTAGTTACTGTATTCGTATCATAGCATAGACACACATAGGACCAGTGGAATGTAACTACGATTTTAGAAAACAGGTTCCTGCAATTGTGGCTTATGTGTGTGTGTGACTGTGTCATGGCCAGAAGTGATGATTTAGTCTTCTCGGAGCGACAGGGTTCAAGCGCTAGTATTTAGGTGTAAGTGATTATGGGTTCCCATAATATATAAACAGTGCTGCTAATGCATATTGGTTAGTTTGTTTGCTTGCCGCGGCATTAGTGATCATGCCTGCCAGATTTAACAGTGCAGTTTGTTGGATGTAACTTACAGACATTGACTGTAGAATGGTAAATGTACTCTGCAGGCATCACTCGGGTGTACACACTCCAGGAGCTCCTGTTCCAGAGTGACTGTGTATCGCTGCACTGTAACCTCAACGAGCATAATCACCATCTCATTAATGACTACACAATCAAACAGATGCGGCCAGGTAAGCATTAGAATTACTTGCTCTCTAAAACTTATTTTAGCTCCTGCTTTTTGTTTTCCTCAAACAACAAAAAATTTATTCAACACTTTTAGATTTTCATGTTGTTGTGATATCCTGTGCTAAAAAAATGAAGTTTGCCCTTTTGGATAATTGATGTGACTATTTTTGTCGTTATCTGCTTTGTGCTGCAGTTTAACCGATGGTTGGTAGTCAAGCAGACGGATGCTGTTTGGTGTGCTATGACCTTGTGAAGTCTTTGGTTGTCAGTAACTCTTTCAGGACAACATTTTTCTGTGGTCTGGACAACATTAATTTTGAGCGGAATTTGTTTACTGCAGCATGACAAAGCTAAATCCTTGCAGAAGAAAAAGTATTGGCTGTATAGGGACATATATCAAATAAAAGAGAAATGAGTGCAGAATAAATCTAAACTTTTTGTCACTATTACAACAAAATATTATTAAAATCACACAATATTCAAGGATGTTAGACAAATATGAAGATTATTTACACAATAAATATTGTGCTTACCTTACTTTTTACTTGTCCAGCAACACTGCTATTTATTTCTATGATTTCACATGCCTTTTCTGTTAACTTGTGGATCAGCTTGTCTTTATTTGGTATATGAGCTGTATGATTTCCATGACATAATCTAAGAATTGCGTAAAAAGTTATAAACTGATTACGTATTTTCACATAAAACATGGGTTAAAACAGGATTTGCGCAATAGTATGGTGGCAGACTTGTTTGTCATTTTAGTTTTCAGATAACTAATACACAGTCTTAGTATCAGTTTACAATTCTAAAAGGGTCATTACATAATGGGCTGTTTCCTGGTGTGGGTTCCAGCCAGGACTATTTTTATTTTGGAGAACAAACGATAAACCCCCCCCCCCCCCCCATCCCCCCCCCCCCCCCCCCCCCCCCCCCCATCTGCCTGAGAGGCAAGTAACCAATGGTTACGCAAAAGTGAAATCTGGTTCATACCAACAGAAGTGATGCAGTAGATAGGAAGTATGTGGGATAACACTAGTCATAGGTGGAACGAATGAACTTACTTTATTTTCAGAGGGTCACAAATTGGGCATTCCTTCCAAACACCCGTTTTTCACACAGCAATTATATTTTAAAAATAAAGCATGTTATGTTCATATGATAATATGCATGTTATAAATATCAAGAAAAAACACTAAAGCATGGATGGTAAAAATACATGCTCACACTCCCACGTGCATACACATGCCTGCCCACCCACTCAGAGAAGGACAAAGATAGTGAAATTTGTTACCAAAAAAAAAAAGAGGTACAGTAGATAAGAAGTATGTGGGAAAAAACTAGTCAGAGGGGAGGAAAACAAGGATAGCCTGAACAGCTGGGCAAAAGATAATATAAGCAGCAATTTTATTAAAAATATCAAATTAACAACAGACAGGGTGGGAAAGTCATGGTCACACATACTTGCACTGATCCGGACACAAGAAAAAAATGGACACAGTGCGAGAAGCACTGGTATAATTCACAGCGTTACCATTGCAAGCAATGTAATTGTTATTGCTTTGTGCTGTTCCTTTCACAGATCCTTCTGATTGTCATTGCTTTGTGCTGTTCCTTTCACAGATCCTTCTGTCATTGCTCTGTGTTGTTTCTTTCACAGATCCTTCTGATTATCATTGCTTTGTGCTGTTCCTTTCACAGATCCTTCTGATTGTCATTGCTTTGTGCTGTTCCTTTCACAGATCCTTCTGATGTTCATTGCTTTGTGCTGTTTCTTTCACAGATCCTTCTGATTGTCATTGCTTTGTGCTGTTCCTTTCACAGATCCTTCTGATTGTCATTGCTTTGTGCTGTTTCTTTCACAGATCCTTCTGATTGTCATTGCTTTGTGTTGTTCCTTTCACAGATCCTTCTGATTGTCATTGCTTTGTGCTGTTCCTTTCACAGATCCTTCTGATTGTCATTGCTTTGTGCTGTTCCTTTCACAGATCCTTCTGATTGTCATTGCTTTGTGTTGTTCCTTTCACAGATCCTTCTGATTGTCATTGCTTTGTGCTGTTCCTTTCACAGATCCTTCTGATGTTCATTGCTTTGTGCTGTTTCTTTCACAGATCCTTCTGATTGTCATTGCTTTGTGCTGTTCCTTTCACAGATCCTTCTGATTGTCATTGCTTTGTGCTGTTCCTTTCACAGATCCTTCTGATTGTCATTGCTTTGTGCTGTTTCTTTCACAGATCCTTCTGATTGTCATTGCTTTGTGTTGTTCCTTTCACAGATCCTTCTGATTGTCATTGCTTTGTGCTGTTCCTTTCACAGATCCTTCTGATGTTCATTGCTTTGTGCTGTTTCTTTCACAGATCCTTCTGATGTTCATTGCTTTGTGTTGTTTCTTTCACAGATCCTTCTGATTGTCATTGCTTTGTGCTGTTCCTTTCACAGATCCTTCTGATTGTCATTGCTTTGTGCTGTTCCTTTCACAGATCCTTCTGATGTTCATTGCTTTGTGCTGTTCCTTTCACAGATCCTTCTGATTGTCATTGCTTTGTGCTGTTCCTTTCACAGATCCTTCTGATGTTCATTGCTTTGTGCTGTTACTTTCACAGATCCTTCTGATTGTCATTGCTTTGTGCTGTTTCTTTCACAGATCCTTCTGATTGTCATTGCTTTGTGCTGTTTCTTTCACAGATCCTTCTGATTGTCATTGCTTTGTGCTGTTTCTTTCACAGATCCTTCTGATTGTCATTGCTTTGTGCTGTTTCTTTCACAGATCCTTCTGATTGTCATTGCTTTGTGCTGTTTCTTTCACAGATCCTTCTGATTGTCATTGCTTTGTGCTGTTCCTTTCACAGATCCTTCTGATTGTCATTGCTTTGTGCTGTTCCTTTCACAGATCCTTCTGATTGTCATTGCTTTGTGCTGTTTCTTTCACAGATCCTTCTGATTGTCATTGCTTTGTGCTGTTTCTTTCACAGATCCTTTTGATTGTCATTGCTTTGTGCTGTTTCTTTTCACAGATCCTTCTGATTGTCATTGCTTTGTGCTGTTTCTTTCACAGATCCTTCTGATTGTCATTGCTTTGTGCTGTTCCTTTCACAGATCCTTCTGATGTTCATTGCTTTGTGTTGTTTCTTTCACAGATCCTTCTGATTGTCATTGCTTTGTGTTGTTCCTTTCACAGATCCCTCTGATTGTCATTGCTTTGTGTTGTTCCTTTCACAGATCCTTCTGGTTGTCATTGCTTTGTGCTGTTCCTTTCACAGATCCCTCTGATTGTCATTGCTTTGTGTTGTTTCTTTAACAGATCCTTCTGATTGTCATTGCTTTGTGCTGTTCCTTTCACAGATCCTTCTGATTGTCATTGCTTTGTGTTGTTTCTTTCACAGATCCTTCTGATTGTCATTGCTTTGTGTTGTTTCTTTCACAGATCCCTCTGATTGTCATTGCTTTGTGCTGTTTCTTTCACAGATATGACAAACTTACCTACCTTGTTTTAATTATACCTGTTTTACTATTTAAAATATAATTTTTACTTTAATAACATTTTGACTGAATGAATTGGCCTATTTTCCTGCGTACAGTTTTAAAATATATATATAAATATAAATTATGTTTTATTGTTTGGTTTTTCTGTTTTAGGAGCTTTCCTTATAAATACAGCCCGTGGCGGTTTGGTAGATGAACATGCGCTTGCTGCAGCACTCAAGGATGGCCGGATACGGGCCGCAGCTCTGGATGTACAAGAGAATGAACCGATTGTCCTAGCTAACAGTGAGTTGCATTTCAGGATAATGTCATCATTTACTCTGCTGTTTCATGTTAGTGACATTAATCCTGCACATGACAATGTCATCATTTACTCTGCTGTTTCATGTTAGTGACATTAACTCTGCATGTTGGGGTAATAACAGATGATCCATTACAACTGAGTAATGGGGGGGGGGGGGGTAGCTGTTTAATGTTTATAGAATTTTTCACTCTAGTATACATTTTTGTGCCCTGCCTGTGCTTTCTGCTTCCGTGTCCATATCCACAATAGTAGTATTGTTTATTCACCATTGAATCAGCAAATGCTGACTGATTGTGATGGGAAGGGAGCAAGGAAGGAGCTGAGGTTGTCCGAGAAGAGGGAGAGAGAATTGTTATAACTTCTGAAAGATGGGGCAGCAGAGACGCTGATACAATCATGCCAGACAAAAACAAAAGAACGTTTAATGTGTGAGGTATCCGATCTCATCGCATGCAAACATCTTTCATGAGAGCTTTACTTGCGCATCATTTTATTAGTCTGATTCTGTTAACACAAGAATAATGCTGTTTCTGCTTTATTGGCCCTGCATGATTCATATGCACAGACACACTACGAGCTGTCGGTGTGTTTTCAGTTACCATAAACACAGATAGTTGTAACATCTTGGATGTGTACCATGTTCAGATTTATTCATTGGTGTCAGTGTATATGCCTAGGGATATTCATTTGTTGGATCTTGTACACCATGCTAAGCAGTATGTGCTGTTTCGCAAAACTGCTGGTTTGTCGTCTTTGGTAGAATATGGTCAACAGCAATTAAATATTGTACATTATGGTGAATGTGTTCTTTGTTCATCATGGTGAACATTGCACATTTTGTACATCATGTTGAACATTGCACATTTTGTACATCATGTTGAACATTGCACATTTTGTACATCATGGTGAACATTGCACATTTGTACATCATGGTAAACATTTACTCTTTGTACATCGTGGTGAACATTTACTCTTTGTACATCGTGGTGAACATTGCACATTTTGTACATCATGGTGAAAATTTACTCTTTGTACATCGTGGTGAACATTTACTCTTTGTACATCGGGGTGAACATTGCACATTTTGTACATCGGGGTGAACATTTAATCTTTGTACATCGTGGTGAACATTTACTCTTTGTACATCGTGGTGAACATTCACTCTTTGAACATCGTGGTGAACATTCACTCCTTGTGCATCATGGTGAACATTCACTCTTTGTACATCATGAAAATTCACTCTTTGTACATCGTGGTGAACATTCACTCTTTGTACGTCGTGATGAACATTCACTCTTTGTGCATCACCGTGAACATTCACATTTTGTGCACACACACACACACCCCCCCTCCTTTTCCTCTTATCTGAACGCCTGTTGTAGAAGGTTTATTGTAGTTGAGCTAGGTTGCTGACATCAGATGTCTTGATCTGAAAGATGTGGATATCACGGCTGTGCTGTAAACCACAAAACAGCATGTCAGCCACCCTATATATGAGAATGCTAAAAGCACAGTATACTAAACAGCATTTGCTCATCTTCCCCGTCAAGTTCATGTCTTTTCCTCCATGGTAATAGAGAAAATGTTTGCATTTGTTTCAGGTCCCCTGAAAGATTGCCCTAATCTAATCTGCACTCCCCATTCAGCATTCTATAGTGAACAGAGCGTTACTGAGCTACGTGAAATGGCCGCCGGGGAAGTGCGTCGAGCCATCTTAGGCCGCATTCCTGAAAGTTTAAGAAACTGTGTCAATAAGGAATATTTTACGCCCACCACTAGTAAGTAAAGTAAGGACTTTTGCCTCTTATTTCTTTATGTTTTATTAACTTATATTTTACTAACTTATTGAAGGGATTCTTGTTTGTCATTCATCCTGAATTCGCCTTCTGTCGGCTATTTATATTTTTGTGCAGCAACTGTCACCTTTCTTCTGCTACCTTTTGTAACATAACATTCTTGTGTCCTGTAAAACAGTTGTTAGAAACAACTCTTATGGCATCTATATTTATATAGGGGTCTTCTGAGTAAGCGAACACCAATTTTTCTCCTAGCTTTGCTTTCACTGAGCTGAGGGGAGTAGTTTACAACAGTGGCTGTGTGTTTTCATAATTTTCAGTTCCAGGGATTTTCCTATTGGATGCTTAAACTAAAGAGACATACAATTTGGCATATCTTACATTCCTTGAGATTGGAGAAGTTAATTTCACACCTTGGGGAAGCATGATTTTATGTGGTATAGATATATATGTATAGTTCTTGTGGTTGCGATTTCCTTTTTTGTATGTTTTGTAGGCCAGATCTTGTGCAGTCCTCTCATCATGACTTGTCTAATCCCTCTTGGATATTTTTGTGGTTGATTTTTATTTATATGATTTTGTTGCCCAACTGTTTAAACCCTTCAGCATATACCTTTCTCTTCTTCTCTTGTCTAGTATTTTCTCACTGTGAGACATTTCTGTATTCCAGTACTTATGTTGATATGTCTTGTATATTTCATTCTTTCTTTCCTTAGTGTTTGATGAATGAGTTTGTAACACCTGTGGCTTTCAGTTTCTTGTCTGCCCAGATCTCAACAGTTCTCAAACACTGGATGTTCCCAGTCTTCTGTTTCATTTCTCAGTATCCATTTGCATCCGTGTAGAAAACTGAGACTGAACAAAACATGAGGTTCATAGAGACAGCAAAGGGATTCTAGGTGTAAGAAAACCTTACATCTAGTTTTAGAATGGAGGTGGTCCGTGTCAGGATTGTAAGACTCAAAGTTTGTTTAGGAAATATAATACATGTATGCTTCGTACAAAGTTACATGGAACACATCAAGGGTCACATGTTTTTAGCATTTAGATCCTTTCTCCAGGACGTCCTAGTGAGTTCAGACATATTTATTCATTCTGCATCACTGGATGTTGGAATGATGCATGAGTCCAGGCCTGTTGAGATTTCATGGACAATGTCCGAGAGCTGATAGATCATCAGATTCTGGAGAGAATGGTGCAACATGCATTAGCCAGGGGATCTGGCTGACACTCGCTCAGAGAAGAGGCAAGATGGGTATATATTCAGACCGCTAATGGCACTGTTAGGATTCAGAGCTGATTATTAAACGCGTATGAGAAGGCTCCTAATGTTGATTCCCAACTGAGCCTGTGCAGATGCTTATTGGCATGTGTCTAGGTGGTGGATTTAACACAGTGCATATGGACTGAATGAGATGAAGCCTGGGTCTTGGATTCAATACAGCGCATATAGACTGAGTGAGATAAAGCCTGCATCGTGGTTTTAACACAGTGCATACGGACTGAATGAGATGAACACTAGGTCATGGATTCAACACAGCACATATGGACTGAATGAGATGATGCCTGGGTCGTAGATTCAACACAGCGCATACACACTGAATGAGATGAAGTCTAGGTCATGGATTCAACACTGCATGTACAGACTGAATGAGATGAAGCCTAGGGGAGTGTTTCCTTGGTAGGTTTTAGGAATCCCATTATCAGCAGACTCCAGCTTAGTGCCCAGAGATGAATGCTTGCTGCTGTTTGTGGTTTGACAGCAAAGTGTGCTGGTGGATTTCATATTGTTTTCAATTAGAGATTTCAACAATAGAGGCAGCATACATGTATGTTTAGTCATTTCTTATTGGTACAGTTCATTAGGCTGACAGGCTGAGTTTCCTTGTTTGCGTTATGGTGCTGATCACAGTTACACACCATGTTTGGGTAGAAGCAGACGTGTTACCAAAAATAAAATAATACAAGATGAGATTGTTGTAGATTTCAGTCCCTTTTCTATTTCAAAATGAACCGGTACAATTGCGCTTGATCTTCCACACATGCAAGTGTTAATTAGCTGTTGTTGTTCTGCAGTTGATCTGCACTATCCTGTGATCATAAATCAGCTTACACAGCCAGTGTGTTTGAGGTCAGAAATAAACAAGGCTAGAAGGGTAGAATATAAGAAATGAAATAAGGTTAGAAGGATAGAATGTGAGAAATGAAACAAGGTTAGAAGGGTAGAATGTAAGAAATGAAACAAGGTTAGAAGGATAGAATGTAAGAAATGAAACAAGGTTGGGTAGAATGTAAAAAATGAAACAAGGTTAGAAGGATAGAATGTGAGAAATGAAACAAGGTTAGAAGGGTAGAATGTAAGAAATGAAACAAGGTTAGAAGGGTAGAATGTAAGAAATGAAACAAGGTTGGGTAGAATGTAAGAAATGAAACAAGGTTAGAAGGGTAGAATGTAAGAAATGAAACAAGGTTAGAAGGATATAATGTGAGAAATGAAACAAGGTTAGAAGGGTAGAATGTAAGAAATGAAACAAGGTTAGAAGGGTAGAATGTAAGAAATAAAACAAGGTTAGAAGGATAGAATGTAAGAAATGAAACAAGGTTAGAAGGATAGAATGTAAGAAATAAAACAAGGTTAGAAGGATAGAATGTAAGAAATAAAACAAGGTTAGAAGGGTAGAATGTAAGAAATTAAACAAGGTTAGAAGGTTAGAATGTGAGAAATTAAACAAGGTTGGAAGAGAAAGTTGTAAGAAATAAAACAAGGTTAGAAAGGTAGAATGTAAGAAATAAAACAAGGTTAGAAGGATAGAATGTAAGAAATAAAACAAGGTTAGAAAGGTAGAATGTAAGAAATAAAACAAGGTTAGAAGGATAGAATGTAAGAAATAAAACAAGGTTAGAAGGATAGAATGTAAGAAATAAAACAAGGTTAGAAAGGTAGAATGTAAGAAATAAAACAAGGTTAGAAAGGTAGAATGTAAGAAAAGAAACAAGGCTGGGAGAGAAAGTTGTAAGAAATGAAACAAGGCTAGAAGGGTAGGATGTGAGAAATGGAAGAGAACTTAGTGCTCTACCCGCTAGGCCAGCCATTTGTAGCCTAGTTTTAAACCTTAGAATGTAAGAAATAAAACAAGGTTAGAAGGGTAGAATGTAAGAAATAAAACAAGGTTAGAAGGATAGAATGTAAGAAATGAAACAAGGTTAGAAAGGTAGAATGTAAGAAATAAAACAAGGTTAGAAAGGTAGAATGTAAGAAATGAAACAAGGCTAGAAGGGTAGAATGTAAGAAATGAAACAAGGTTAGAAAGGTAGAATGTAAGAAATGAAACAAGGTTAGAAAGGTAGAATGTAAGAAATAAAACAAGGTTAGAAAGGTAGAATGAAAGAAATAAAACAAGGTTAGAAGGATAGAATGTAAGAAATAAAACAAGGTTAGAAGGATAGAATGTAAGAAATAAAACAAGGTTAGAAAGGTAGAATGTAAGAAATAAAACAAGGTTAGAAGGATAGAATGTAAGAAATGAAACAAGGTTAGAAAGGTAGAATGTAAGAAATAAAACAAGGTTCGAAAGGTAGAATGTAAGAAATGAAACAAGGCTAGAAGGGTAGAATGTAAGAAATGAAACAAGGTTAGAAAGGTAGAATGTAAGAAATGAAACAAGGTTAGAAAGGTAGAATGTAAGAAATAAAACAAGGTTAGAAAGGTAGAATGAAAGAAATAAAACAAGGTTAGAAGGATAGAATGTAAGAAATAAAACAAGGTTAGAAAGGTAGAATGTAAGAAATAAAACAAGGTTAGAAAGGTAGAATGTAAGAAAAGAAACAAGGCTGGGAGAGAAAGTTGTAAGAAATGAAACAAGGCTAGAAGGGTAGGATGTGAGAACTGGAAGAGAACTTAGTGCTCTACCCGCTAGGCCAGCCATTTGTAGCCTAGTTTTAAACAGTTTTGTGGCTAGATAGCTCTGATAGTTTGCCTAAAGCTGGGTCACATAGTTGGTTGAACAGATATTATCTAAAGCTTTTGAGGGGTGCTCCAGTGGAGACAGCATGTCCTAGTTTGGCTCAATAACCATGACACATTTTTTTCCAGATGCTACTGTAAGTCAAAGATTTCAAATGATCTTCTCTTGAATGGTGATCCCCTGACTACTTTCCCTCAGGTACCGTGCGCTATCCGTTTCCCCCAGCAGGCCCTTTTGCAGACAGCATCAACGGCACCGCCGGGTATGCGGGATTTAACCCAGCATTGGCAATTCATTCAACGACAGACCATCCAGCAGTATCTCATGGGGGAGCCATTTTGACCGCCTCTCACATCATCCCGGACTCGGGGAACCATGTGTCCAAGCCAGAGAATCCGAGTCCTGTCCACTAGGATGGGGGCCTCCGTGCGGGAAGGTTGAAGGCAGCATGTACCCCTGGCATCATGAGAGGACAAGGTTCAAGTCTTAAAACTTCACAGAATCAAACAGCTTTAGGACTTGAGCTTTGATGAGTGAATGTTCACTGTTTACTGAACACGTGAAGAATTTTACAGATCATTATTTACATCAGCATGTGTATAAATTCAGTAAAAATCAGCTGAAATCTGTGAGTTGTATGATTTGAAAACACTATTGTTAATTAATGAGGAGTTTGATTTTAAGTTGCTAACATTTTATCAGATGTAAATGTTAATTTGGTGAAATATTGTAATGTTCAGTTTCTCTCTGTCAATGACCTCCTTTAAGGGCCACATGATTCAGTATGTATAACTCCCAAGTATATGACTACCAATATCACTCATCACATATTTGGTCATTTCACATTATGTATCATGCACATCAGGTCATATAGGTTTATGTGGCAGTTTGTGAATACATTGTCTTGGGAAATAACAACTGTTACTCATAACTTATTATAGCAACGTACACCAGTGAGTGGGAATCATCTATTTCATATGCAATATGTACAAGCCAGTGATTGAAAGAATAATCAGCAGTTTTCTTTTCATGATGTGCTAAGAATACGTGACTGAGGTGCGTGGCTCTGTTCTTACACCATCTTGCTTCAATAACTAGGTCCTATTTGATGAGTCATAATGATCGTGGCATAGTTAACATAATGGTCACACAGAGGGTAACTGTTTAACAAAGATATGCCAGTTTGTTTGTACCATTTCTTTCTAATTTTGAATGTTTCCTCTTTTCGTTTGTCTTTGTTTTTTGTAGCAGGGTTCACAGTTGCTCTTATTGCCTAGACAGTGTTTGTGGCCAGCATGTGTTATAGATTGGATCAAACTACTGCATCGTTGATCATTTAGAGTACATTTGATATGTATCAGACTGCTTGTCTTTGCTCCCTAATACTAGTTTTAAATAAACTTGCAGTAACTTGGTTTGCCTCAGGGTAAGACAGGAGAATTAGTCTGCTCGGTAACAAACTTTCTATACTACAGGTTTCAGGTTAGTTGCGGTTACATTTTTGTTTTGTATACCAAAGGTTTCAAGTTAGTGTTATTTGGTTAGATATTTCTGTTTACTACTACTGGTTTCAAGTTAGTTTTATTTAGTTAACATTTTTTTAAAAATATAAATATGTTGTTTTGTTGTGTTCTTGTTTAGTATTTAATTTCAGTTGTCAGTAGTCGTGAGAACATAACTCATATTCATATCTTTGTTGTACACAGAAAAGGTTTCATTTGTTCTTATCATTAGTGGAATAAAACAATGGATATATATATTTATATACACTCCACATTAGCTATCCCATATCAAAGACCTTGTAGCGTCATGCATGTTTGTCTTTCTACCATTATCAAGCTGATGATCATATCGTTGGCACCTTGCCAGAGTCACCTATTTCTTGTTTTTAAGACGGTTCCATTTGTACACACCAATCAGATAAAAAGTAATAGCTATGTGTAGTAGGAATTCACATATGTGCCTTTGGCATATTGTAAAATGAATAGTAGCTGCCCCTGAAAATGCACGTTGGTGAAAATCGTCATAATTGCAGGGGGGGGGGGGCTTTTACATAGTGCCCTTATGTATTAGCACTTGTTTGGGAAGTATTTCCAGGCATGTTTTTCCATGGCTTGTTTACAATAATAAACTGACAAGTATTACTATTTGGATCATTTTCACTAGTATCGTAAGAGTGCGAGTGCTGGCTGGACAAGTTGTAGTGAAGTTGTGTCCCCTGTTGACATGGTTTAACCACCTGAACGAGTTGTGTCTTCTGCTCACATGATGTAACCGCCCTAGAGTTCAACAACTACTCTATGGGCATCTCATTTGTACCTAGATTTCATCTAGACTCCTCCATTCAGTAAACAAACGGGGGTGATCTTTGTTAATTTTCATGTATATTTCTGTCCGTGCAGCTTCAGCTTTACCAACTTGTTTTCATGTTGAGCAATTGGGTTGTTCGTTCCTGTTTGTTAAACTTGTACATCTTATAATTACAACATGTGACAATCAGATGGTAACGGATTTACACAAACTTGCAGGTTGGCATCAGGCAGCCATCTAAACTTGACCCATTCTTCTTTGCTTCCTCCCAAAAAATGGAACCTAATTTAAACAACTAACTTTGCAAAATTTGGATTTCACTATTATTTTTGGTCATTATTTCATACGAACAGCTGTTGTCAATAAACATTTGTCTTGTTCATATCAGTAAAAGACAGGATCGAAGCAAAGTTTTTTGTGAGGTTGTATATATTGTACATACCTTGTACGTGCGTATCTCATTTTTGTGGCTTCATTATTTTGTGTATGCATGCAAGCACTACCCATCTGAAATCATACTTTTTTTTTTAAAAACTGTGTAATATGTTAAGCTTTTCATTTTACTCCCCCAGCTCTAAATACTTGTAAATTAAGAAGACTGCAATTTGGCACCCGAGCAAACTTTAAACAGGATTTTTTTTCCTCATGCGCATACATAGTCTTGGCATAATCAATACCCTACCATCCCTATCTGAAGCCGTTTATTTAACAGAATTCAGTTTGTCATTATACAATTAATATTGCAATTTATTTGCTTAGTTAACCATTTCATTGTAGAAACCCTTTGAAGAAAAAACCCATGAACAAAGGATCCAAGTTTGAATGTATTTAATAAACAAATGATGAGGAGAGTAATTAATAAACGTAAATCGAGTTAAGAATTATTCAACTAGTCTCTTGTGCCTCAAAAAAAAAATTTATAAGGTGACTCCTACTGCGGCCCTAATCTCTAAAGGTTACAAGAGATTTATCACATGGTTAACAGGCCATTTTTCCCCGACAGTAACCTCTCCCTAAATGCTGCTTTTAATAATATGACATTGGTTCCCAGGTCGACCCAACCTTAAATGGGTACCGGGTAAGGTCATAGGAAGTAAAGGCAGCCTGTTTGGTCTAAAAAATATATGTCTAGTCTTGTATGCCTAGTGCTCCTGAAGGTGTGGAAACGGGTCCTTTACTTTATCATACACAACTACTCCTAAACACTGCACAGGTGCAAACAGAACCAGCGCCATTAACTAGGCTTCTCGTGTACTTACGTATCCTGGATTTGCTGCATCTCTGAGCCTGGGGGTTAATATTCCAGCTGATTTCGTGCACCTCAAAATTATTCATATTCTAGCAGAAATAGTGATCTGGAAATGTGTGAAATTTTATCAGATTTTGGTCTGCATAATGTGACTTTTTCTGGGCATTAAAAGGTAACCTCTTATCTTGACACAGTTACTTCCTAGCAAACCTTATTTGTTATAAAAACTTTAATAGCACACATTTGTCAGGCAAAGTAACAAACCTGAAATGCCTTAATACATCAGATTCAGTTCTCAGTACACACTTCACCATACCACCTATAAATATATAATCTGGTAATACATCCCATGTTTTGGCACTTTTATGTCCTTTTTGTTGTTGGTTTGTCAACGGTCAGTTACATTGTGCATTCAGATAATACCATAACTTTTTTTTTTTTTTCTCACACAGCAGAAAATCTCATGCAGTGCACAAAATCCCACATACCATTTCTTGAATACACAGTGAAAATTTTGAAAGAACAAAATCCTCTGTTGTCTCAGCACATGGATACACTGACAGTTTATAGTCTCAGTAAATGACAGCCACACTAACACACATACTAGTAGGCCACAGTCGTATCACTAGGAACATAAAATAGAAAATCACAGCCACAGTTCTCAATAACACACTTTAGAAAATTACAGCCACATGCACATTTACTGTAGAGAATTACAGCTATAATTCACAGACACTTTTAACAGTAATAACTGCATTAACACATTCCCAGTAGATAACTACATGCACACAATTCCTCTGGAAAATTAGCCACAATTCAGTCGCACATTTGCAGAAAACTAGGCTTCTGGGTAATGCACCTATTTCTTATAGAATATTACAGGCACAGTTCACATTAACAATAATAGAAAACCATAGCCACATTTAACATTTTAAAAAAAAGTTTTACAGCCACAATTCACATAACACCCTGGCCAAAATAAGTCTTGAAGCGATGGTTGTATCTTGTTCAGTCTATGAACTTCATCTTTCACCCCCTTCCTTATATTCTCATTGAAGTCTATGCATCTAATGATCATGTTATTACCTGTTTAACAAAAGTGAAAGACAAACATTGATTGTGGAAATTTATGCACTACTATTGGGTGTTCAGGTAGACATAACCTTTGATTTTTTATTTTTGTTTGTAACGCAGTATCTATTGTGAACTTTGTGTTGCCGACACCTGTAAGTAACCATTATTGCACTGTACTCACCATTATTCTGACTGTCTTTGTTTTGTTTTTTAAATTTAAAGCACGTGTGTGTAACGTAAACTGTTTTATATATAGTGTTTTATTGATTTTTACATTTAATTTGATTCAGCTTTTGTTTTTGGTGACACAGCTGAAGCCGTTAACGACTGCGTAAAACCTGCGAACATAAATACAGGTATTCAACGGACACAGATATTATCACACAGCACGGTCTGCATTACGGGGGCAAGACACTTGCAGTGTTGGTTATAAATAGTAACATACAGCCATTGGTCAATGATGATTTATGTCTTTTTAACAAGGGGGGACTGTCATATGTACTGCTTTTTATCTTCCACAAGAACTTGTTAATAATAAATTTGACTTTTTGTAACTTGGCTGTGTTCGGTTCTTGTTTTTGAGATATTCTGTGATCACCAAATAGCAGAGACATTTATGTCTCCCCGCAGATCTTGATCTTTTATGTTGTCTTGATGGTCTTCCTCTATTCCAGCGGTTCTCAAACTTTTTTCGTCGCGGCACCCTTCTCAGGCCAAACAGTCTCCACAGCACACATCTTTCAGCGGTTTGAATACTTAGGAAAATAAGAAAAACAGTGC